GTTCTTGGCTATTGTGATACCACAGAGAACTATATGGGGATTGCTGCTCGTGGAGATGATATATCATATTGACGCCACAGTTGTGCTAAACCTTTCACGATCTAGTCGGACTAAGTAGCGCCAAATAACGATTTGACCGGTTTCGTGCGCGCGTATGTGTATTGAATCTACTAGACTTTGGGTCGGACCTCTTACTACATTCGAACATGAAATGGAAAACCTCGTAACAGCGACTCACTATATGCCTGATCTAAATAACTCTTTGATCCGAGACATATCTATTTGTTTACATATTGAAGGACTAAAGGACCAGGGGGTTGATGAAAGCTACCTTTTTTTTTTCTGGTCGTCTGACTTGACAACGGGCTAGCCACGTTCTTCATACATACGTAGTGGGTGTGATGAGATCGGATTAATCTGACATCAAGGGGGCTTGTTGTCTTGGGTCATGGAAATTGTAGGATGGTCTGGACCTCCGGCGATCGTCTTCCCCAAGCCGGCGCATCGTCATCGTGTATGCAGAATTGCTATTTGGGGTGCTTAAGGTTCTGAGAGAGACATGCAGATAACACCCCTGACTCCATACAACACGAAGAAAAAAACAAGAAACAAATAAAAATAAGTAATCATAAAGATACCATATACACTATATGGTTGCCTCCGTATGTGAGTTAATATATTAAGATGGGGGGCTTAAGGCACGGATATCTCGGAGTGGGCCTCGGTCCCGAATCTGACAAGCGAACGAGGTCTTAGAATCGTAGAAGCGCTTCGCAACATGGAACTTTAGGCTCTTCATGAGGGTAATAATGGTTAAGGATAAAATGTAAGAGGTTGATTCTAACCCTGCTATGTTGATTTGGTATACAAAGTGCACTATGCCAAGTGCAAAGTGCAAAAAGTAAGGGGTTTTACGTCTTACACACGGAGCTTCGTATCTAACCATTGCGGGGCTAAGGAGGAGGCTCCTCACAGGGTCCTGTCTCTCGTACCTGTGCGAAACCGATACCCTGTCTTAATATGTTAATGCATAGGTTCGAGGATATGTAACCTGCCCTAGGGTATGTAAAGTTATAGGTAATGGATTATGCGGTGGCGCTTAACTTCACGAACTTGTAGAAACCTGCATATCTACTTCCGCGTACGCGTGTATACACACACAGCATATATCTTACATATTTACTTTACATACTTCGATATGTAGGTAGTGTCCGATACCTATCTAGACACGGTCCAACAAGCGATCGATGGCGGCGACAACTCAACTAGCAAGATCGTGTAGGGCTAGTAATTACCGAATTTTCGGAATTTTGGCGTTCCGACAGCCCTTTACCACTCTACTAAATCATAATTCCTTTGCAAACGTAGTTATGACGGTTTCGGCTTTTGAGGAAGAAAAAAAGAATAAACACCCCTGGGTATTCAGAGTGGTCGACTGGGTATATACTAGTGTATGTAGTATCCCCAGGCTTCTTTGGAGTGGCTTGCGATGATCCTCATGTTGACCCTTCTCTTTCGCGTGGACAACGGCTGGTAGCGCCCAGGAAGGATCAAGCTTCCATGCATCCTTCTAGATCTCTCCAGGTTTGTTGATTCGTCACAGGCGCGTTGGTTGGCTGCCTCGTCGGGCATCTGCAACTGAGGTCCCCGATGGCCCATACAGTGAGAAAGAGTAGGAAATGATTGGCGGTTGGCTAAATTGCCAGTATTTATTAGCGAATCCTTGCGTGAACACAACATGTACCGTAACGAGTTTAGTGGAAGCCGTACCCCGTATGTAAATACGAGCGTCAGATCGTAGCATGGGTTAAAATGCGTCTATCTTGTAATAAATGTTGATCAATTGTTCTTTCTTAGATTCCTCTGTCTACGTAAGGAGTACATATGTATCTCATGACCTTTAGGATCCGCAGCTACTGGGAACTTTGCCTTGTTCCGCTGTTACATTTTGAATCATCCCGTCAAGATAGCGCTGTAACCCAACTTATAGTGATTCCGTTTCACCTAAACTGCAGGTCAGAAAGGTAGCTACCTAGCTTACTTAGGTACATGCCTATCTAGCGCATGGCGCTCCATTACAGGAAGTTGTACAGCTTAAGAATGATCCTAATGTTAGTAATATTCATAACTTTCCCACCATGTAGACTAAGGAGCTCAATTGGGCGTTTGACGAGAATCTCAATCCTCGCTTTTGCCTATCTATCAAAAAATGAGAGCTAGGCTTGATCCGTACCTCAATTCTTACTCCGTACTATTCGTTTGGCCAGGATCCCTTCTCACGCATGGCGCCCGTGCAGCAACGGGATCCGGTTGTAGGCCAGAAGCTGCAGCTTCCCGAGCCCGTAAGCTTATAACGAAGTCGACCATGGTCTCAAATGTGCTAGAAAGGTTGGTATCAAACCACAGGCGATTAGTAGATATCCTCTGTGAGCCAAAAAGATTATCCGGGTTTCTATTATTATGCCATGCTCGATTGGGGGCAGAAATTAGGCCCGCCTTAAAGCGGCATAATCGAGGACAACGTTAAAGTATAGAAGAGCCCATTTACTTAAGCAGTGAGGTCATCAAAATTACTATTCGTAAAATTGAATCTTGGTATCTTTTTATTGCAACTGCTTATTGTCCTGATGACACCCGTTTCATGCTTCAGGAAGGTGTGTAAAAAAAGCTCATGGGGATGGGATATTCAGGGGTCAAGATAATGCTGGCTTCCCTCTGCAAGGTACGCGTTGTTTTCGTAGGACTTCAACTGCGTGGCATGTTTACTTGGTGTATAGCTGCGATTGTCCGAGTCAACATTGAACTACGAGGATGGCCTATTACGTGGTACGCTTTAACTTATTACCGCTTACCGACGGTGGTAGGTATTCATCTCTGGCTTGATTGCCAAATTTGGTAGGAGACAAAGAACAAGAGGCCTTTTTTTTGATACTGACCCGGTCTCGTTTCGCCCGACTACATAGGAGTATGGCATGCAGGGTCCTAGCCAAGTTTGGGTACCCGTGTTAGTATGCGGAATTTTTCCGGAGAGACATGCCGAAATGTGCGTGTGTGTGTGTGGTTGATAGGGCGAGATCCGTTGGGACACAATAACGGCTTGTGATTGCGAGGCCGTTTACTACTACATACTCCGTAGGGAGGTAGGTGGCGTGTTAGTAGTCCAGTGGACTTAGATCCTTCAACTCATTTCCGTTCATCCGTCGCGTGTCCTAATTGCCGCCTCATTATCTCTAGTAGTGCCCGAGTATAGTGTTTACTATGTAGGCCAATGTGGGTTCCTGACAAGTTGACGCTACTAAATTCTTTCCTGACTTTGTATGTCGTCGGTGTATGATGTCTACGCGAGGTTGGCATGTTTATCCATGACACTTGGTTGAATCTGCCTTACGTGGGTACCTAGGTAGTAGCTCTTGGCTCTGGGGGGAATCTTGGCTCAATGGCCGGGAAGAGGGATTCCGAATAGTTGTACAATACTTCCTCCGGTACATGATGCCCCTGGGACTCCTCATACCATGTATCTTATACCATGTATGAGACCTAATCCATATCCATCCTAGGTCGCAAAGTGTGGATGTGGACTTCGGGGCAAGACTTACAGGGTTCCCGCACTTGGACACATTCGAGGCGCCAAACCCTTCTCGTACAGACTCGCTTAATTTTTCCAAGCTTGGATTAATCCTATGATTTTCATACGACGAACAAGTTCGGCCTATGCATTACATCAACCGTGGGATATTCCGCTTTGTGTCTTAATTATGATGTAGGAAGATAGATAGTAGAGCGGAGCGGGGCGGAATTGCAGCTGTTGGAGAAGAAAACCGCACATGGCGTTCGTTGGTACGTGCCGTATTGTACGACTTGAACTAATGAGTTTGAATGTACGTACTATATGGTACGTATCTATACTAGGTATTCTACGTATGGAGTATGTTTCCCCACTAGATGCTGTTGCGAATTCTTGTAAGTTAGATAGGATGAATGTGACCTTGTAAATTATACATGTCTATACATAAATAAATGCAATTAAATTATTTCAAACGCGAAACACACAGCAATTACAGAATAATTTATTAAGCATCAGAGTTCTTCGAATAGTACTTACTATATGTACTTTTCATATAATGTCTTGTATTCCTAAAACAGTTAGACTCAATACTGGGGCGTTGACTTTCGACTTGTGCTTGATTGAATAAGCATCTACACTAGGCCGAAATGGTAAAACAATATGTCAACTTGAGTCTCGGATATGCCGTCTTGGCAACCTTATTTGTTCTTGGTACATTACCACACCCGCATTCTACTGGTAGTACGGAATGTACGTACCTCTGCGTGTATTCAATCAGGGGTTAGATGTACTATGTAAGGAGGGATAATAAAATACTGGACCTTGCGACGTATTACATATATGAATTTCGAAAGTGTCGATATCACAATGCTAATATACTATCCGTAGTGTCAATACATGCATTTTTCTGTGGATTTATTTTTCATGGCTTACGTAGTAGGAATACAATGCTTTCTTGCTTACATATATCTAGGAGTGAGCAAGGCAAGGCACAAACAAACGTTCCATATGTAAGACTTTCAAAGCTCCCGGTCAGTATTTTAAGGGCCGATCTCATTTGTCTATCTGTGCCATATTCTCTACCACGTGGTGTGTGAGATAGGTCAGGTCACTCTGCGTCACCTACCCAAAGGGCTATTTTAGAAAAATTACATGTATGGTGGTGTAGTGTCTGGAAGTTTGGGACCCGAATAGAAGGAAGGTCTTTCGATTGGGTGAACCGATCATAATACGTGAGATAATTACATGGATAAGGAAGGGCCCCTGTTGAGGAAGATCATGAATGACATCGGGGGTCGGCATCTCTAAAACTTAGGTAGATAAAAATTCAGCCCTATGCCCCAGGATTACGGTAGAATTTCAAAACTATCCTGCTAGTGCTTTTAAAATTCCTAAAGAGCCAAGCTATCATAAATAGCAAGTCGGTATGAGGTATAGCAATGAAGGTTTATAATTATTTTAGTCGCGAATTACTGCATAAAGGTTGCAGATTTACATAGCGACTAAAGAAACGAAGAATTGTTATTTTTAGTAACCTTCTCTACATAATTCACCACTATGTAACGATAATGCATGAATTCTTGTTTTTAGGCTTTCCAATCAAAACAGTGCTGACAATTTGTATCGCGCCAATCGCCCACATAAGTATTACTCGCCGGCCGAGAGATTTCTGGGTGGCATCCACAAATTCTCGAAGGATTGCCGTGTGGTTCAAGGTGTCAGGATATTTTATCTACGGACGAGCCAGACGAGACATAGAAGTTGTAGGTAGGGTTGGATTTTGCATCCTTCTGAATCTAGGGCTTATCATTGTTGCCCCTGGCTCGGGGTGATTAATGTGCCGTCGAACATTCCATACCATGTGGACGTCAGGGATCTAGACGTTGGCCCCCATATTCTCCAACTTCCTTTCCGTGCCGAAACATGAATCCCCTATATTTCGCAGCAACATATGAAGCGCCAGGACCAATCATCCTACTCGCGCTTCTGCTGTTTTGAATGAAAGGGGTGGTCGAGCCTGATCAATGGTACGTCGACGCGACGGAAATGTCAAATGTACTGTACAATGGCGTTGGATATGTGGGTAGCCGCGAAGGCGTTCAATAAATCGCGAGGTGTGGTACTCGATTTGGAAAACGCATGGAATATTTCCATTTCGATTCGAAGCCAGGTAATTTTGGCCAAGACATGCAGGTCCCTTTGCGTTTTTATGGAGGTGGCTGTGAGCTGCTTATTATTTACGAAAGTCTCGATCCAACGCCGGCCTTATCGACCCTCATGTAGGGCTGAGAGTCATCACTTAATGGTCTGTTTACAAGAGCTTTCATTCTATGTGGGCTTCCGTGCATGCACATATATGTAGTTCTCCCGCTACTTGACGAAGATGCGGTGCGTTGTATAGTCACTATAGTTCGGTGACGGGTTTGGGTATATTATGATCAGGAGTGGAGTGATTTTTTACAGGACTTTTTCCGCGGTGGTTCGGTTACGGACTCAAACAGCACTTTCTACACCGGAATTTGATAGTACATCTCAAAACATTTTGTCAATTTCTGACTGGCCATTAAGCGCTAAGCCGATAATCCGGCCGTGGAGTTTCCTATCTACTTAGGTACACAGACAGGTATTAAGGGAATAATATGCGACCCTTCGTGCTTCCCACCCCTCCGATTTTTATTTAATTTGCCATTTGATAGTTGACAACTCAATCTTGCACCGACGATCGCATGGATATACGGTTGAAGGATGCAGTAAGCAGAATTCATGTAATGCGCATCCATCACGAGGAAATCCTTCAGTTTCACGTGGCATTAGAGCCAAATGCATGCTGTGTTCATGACATCCCCAGAATGTTGTTTCATAAATGACGATAGTATATGCATATAGCTAGTCTAGAGACGATCATAGAACTACTAATAGTTCATACATCCGATCAGTAACTTTGGTATACTTACATAGGATTACTATCTTATTACACTCCATTGCTATGTACTTTTGACTAACACTTTGGGCAAGGCGGCAGAAGATGTCGTTCGGCTTCGGAAAAGATTTTCCCTCATACGTTTCTCAGTCAAGGATGTCTACATATTGCCTTCGCTTACATGAAATTTGTTAATCGTGGTCTATACGAATGATGGGTATGGGTTTCATTGAATTTCGCCTCTAGGTACCATTCTATGTATTCGTAACACAAGAAGACCGGGAATAGAAGAGAATGGTTACACCACTTCTTTTTTTAGAATGAGACAATTCCATGGTACGTGGAAACTAGTACGTAGTGCTACGTACCTATACTGGGGTATATCCGAGTTACCGTAAAGGAGCCAATAAGAATTTGACATCTTCTTCGCTAACCATCTTTGGCCACGCTAAGTCCCAACCATCTTACCGTTTTTGGTACGCAATTTACTAAATGGACCAATCACCAATTTGTACTTCCTATCCAATTAGGTGGACATAACTCGCAAGTATTGGTTTTCAATCTTTGCATACTCTAGAATCTTTCCTAACCAGGTACTGATGCTACATATCTCTTCACATATAGTCCTAATAGGGAATCTATACCTAGACATGTATGTAGGTATGCAGGTATGCAAGGTGGTGTTGGTTCAAGGTCAACATATCATGAATCGTCCCGTTGTTTCACGACCTCTAATATCGCTAATAACTCATGACCCATAGATCTTGAACTTCTTGTCGAGCTCTGCTTACATGCCATGCCATGCCATGCTCGTCATGGAAACCCTGGTTTGCCATGTTGCCCAGCTTGTCTGGTAGGAAACGGACATGTTTACTTCATGTTCTTTGCAATTTTGGATATAATTTCCAATTGCGTAACATTTGCGCCCGCGAGATGATAGAATTCCGGTGTTACACTTCAACGTCGCATATTTCCGAGTCGCCGAGATACTTCTTCTCATATCCCGAGACCATTTAGAAGAAATTAAGTACTACAACCAGACATGCACGAACTTTGCGGCTCTACATACTATGAATTAAGTCTCACGTCCCCCTTGCATTGTAACTGCTTATGGGGGGCGTAGACCGCTTCGTGCTCGTCCGGACATATGCGAAGCAGAACCATCAAGATGATGGCTGAATTTGGTAGATAGCGCCGACCTTCAAACCAAGATGCATAGGTATGTAAGTGGCATTATATTAATGGTGCTGTTACGTGCAGAGTGAGAAATGGGCAGTGGAAATGAGCCATTCGCCAATCAGAACTTATACTGGCACAACTTTATGCTTTCTCCTCTCTCCACAAACATAGCACTATGGGCCGTCGCGGTATGACACGTGCATGGCACTGAAGCGGGTAGGAATAAGGGGGGGCGGAGCATCACAATTTGGTAATCAGTCAAAGTTGCGATTGGTTAACACCAGCAATGAACTACGCTACATAAGCAGGGTTGTGGATATTTGTGGATATGTGTGGGCATCTATGCACATACGTAATGGCTGTGCAAATTATGCAGGGCATTCATTAGCCTAGAAAGTCCTACACTAGAGCTACAATTGACATAACGCATAACGTAGGAGGTCATGTACATGTATTATACATACATAGATTTATGTACACATGTATATACCATATCTGATACGTGCGATACATAAAACAAAGTACATACAAACACAACTATCGGACGTTTATGGTCTCCGCACTAGATATGACGATGGCTTCGGTAAGAGATCCATTCCATGTCGGCGGGGAAAACCAGAACGGCGAAGTATTCATGGATCTTAGCTCTTTACCATCTAGCGCCCTCCACCTTGGCCGTTCTTTGGTATGCCGTTCTTTGGTATGCCGTTCTGCTAACTAGCACTACCGATTCTAGACCCGCTGTTAGGCGTTCTCAAGACAACTTCTCGTCTCCCATTACCAGATTTAGAAATTCCCGATCAAAGACTTTAGCTCTTTAGCTTAGGGCATCGCTTTAGTAGCCAAGAATGTGTATGGTTGTGAGCCAAGATGTGAGACATACTGATCTATGGCTCAGGTTCCAAAAAGATATCTTGCTATCCCATATCGGATACCTCATACCCTATTGCTCAACTTGGGTCTCAATATTCGGAATCCCTTTCACCCTATTATTTGTAAGGGCACGTGTTACGCAAAAGTACATACACACCTACCTTTACGTGTTTGTCACTCTAGATCACTCCTGAAGATATAAAATTACTTAACCTAAGTAGGCTTAAAGAGGGACAAAAAGAAAAGTGAGAAATATTGGGAGGGGAAAAAAAGAAAAAAGCCACCAATCTTCAGAACACCTCCTGAAAAAGAACCCCGTTCCTTGACCATACACAGTAAAGAGTATAGTTATAGCTACCTGAGTATTTTCTTGGAATGCTCGGGGTCATCGAGATGGAGGGAGATGGTTGCAAGACAGGATAACCGCGAGACAAAGCGTCTCTCTTGGGCTCGGGATCTGTGGTAAATACTCAACTGCATACTACTTCCTGAAATACCGTGACATGTCGTAAACCGCATGAATAAGACAAGACGTAACTTTGCTAGGTACCTAGGCAGCTAGGTAGTTTCAATTGTCCGTGTTTATTGGTTTTTCCCGAAGTTGGAATTGATGAAAGTTAATCTAATCTGTCATTCAATTGGAGAAATAGACGTGGGTAGGTGAACCAAAGAATGATGATTTCCAATGATCTCAACAAGCCACTTAGGCATGGGTATGGGAGAGAGAACCCAGGGTTCCCTGTCGACCTTGCATCTCCTGGGACTTAGCACAGGCAGGGCAGCAGGGGAAGGCAAAGGTAAAGAAAAGTCAATTCTGGACCCCTGAGCATTTTTTGAGAAAAAAGTACATCTGAAGCTAATACAAATCGGGGTTGTTCTTGGCTGTAAAGTGCGTAAAGGCGCAAAGTACAGGTACGAAACCGAATGGGACCTTTGCCGAAGCAAAAGGTAGGTGCGGTTGACGACAAATTAAAACCTGCGGTGAACTTTTGAAGCCCCACTAAACTTACTTTCTACCAATGGATAAGAGTAAAGGACCTAACGGCGGGCGGGATGTCCACCTGAGACTCTCTACCCACGTTGCTAGTGCAGCCCACGGTGTGCCTACCGCGGACTTGATGCTGGGAAATATTCCAATGAGGTATAAAAAAGGGTCAAGTACCATAAGGTAAGGGTATTGTAGGAGGCTACGTACTACGATTACTACCACCCACTATCGAATAGTACTGCATAAAAAAATAGCATAGAGGATGGTTGTGTACATGTACCATCCCGTCCATCTTTGGATAGCACACGCCCACCACCTATTTTGTAGAAGGCCCCCACCCCACTCAGAATTTTATGGAGATTTCATGGATAGACAAAGTACCTTTGTACCGCTGACTTTGAAGATTGACATCCGTGATCATGTACTTCGGTACCTTCAATGAGAATAAGTCGGTACGTACCTAAGCAAGGCTCTATGTCGACCCCTGATCCTTGTCCCCCTTGTCACCGCTGGTGCTGTGCTGTTCTGGTCCCCTAGCGGCTTGTATATTGGTACGATACCTAGGTACCGCGTTCGATTCTGCCCTACGACCCACCCCCCAAATACATCCATCAACACATAGGAGCATGGGAGGCATGGAAGGCATGGGAGGAAGTACTTTGGTACCCGCACCCTACGCGGCTATGCTCCTACAAAAATGCAAGAGCGTATATAGGATGCTAAAAGCCCCCAAAAGCATCACCACTCCTGCCCCATCTCCATGATCTCGGAGCATGCGAAACTAATCTGTCTCTTTTTGCTCTATCCTTTTATTTTTCCTTTTTGCTGTGGGTTGTTACACGTTCCTTAGGACGACAGCAACATACAACCCGTATATATATATATATAATAGACCTTGTCCTTTCTTGAGTCTGTGCCTCTTCACTACACCACAACACCAGCAACCAGCACAGCACAGCCCAGCCGACGAAGGGGAAGCCAGCCTTTTCTTACTCACACCATCGCTATACCATAACCTCTCTCATCGCGTGAGGTCATATGTTTAGGAAGCTATAAGGTTAGACGAAGAGAACATCACGAATCTCACACCGCACGAAAAATCTCATCTTGACGATCGGGTCACCCAAGCTTTGCGACTCGACTTACATAAAATCCTTCCCGCCCAGAACCCACGATCCTCATCTTCAATTAGCTACTCCGCCCCCTTCTAGTCCCACTACTCCCCCACGACTATCGTGACGTCTTCATTACTTGCTCACACTCGTTGAACCGTCTTTGGATTCCGTCGCCATTCTTTGAAGCCCTGGTATGGTACAACTGTACGAATGTGAGCTCTCACCTACCTTCACCATACCGCACCAAACCCACCTTAGTCATCATCACCTGTGTCTGAACTGAGACACTGACGCGAGGAGGTCGCTAGTGTAAATACATTTTGTTTGGGGTTCCTAGTTTATATTCACCGCAATTTTCTGGCATCGCAATCAACGGCACCAGAGACTAAGAATGGCAGCTGTTGCCAACCAATCTTACAATATGTTTCCCCAACAGGAGCAGGACTTTATGCTCTACCCTGAAGCTCACCACCACCACCATCAACACCACAATAACGGCTATGCTTCGCCAATACTAGATATGCACATGAGCCCAAACGGTTTTCACGCGCCGCGAAGTATACAAAGTGATTTCCCTCAAACCTCTGGATTTGAGGTTGGCGCGATATACCCAGAATCACAACACATTATTTACAACAGAACGTCACCTGGTATGTTCCCAGAGGACGGTGAACTAGCAATACCAGCTTCAAACCTCTCCACCGCATCAGCTCCTTCGGCAGCATCGTCCACAGTCGGATCGCCCAGTTCAAACAACGGCCAATTAGCTTTCCTCCCCGAGTATTCGCAGAATGCTCTGGGCGTCAACCCGGGTATTGTTGGTGCAAGCGACTACTACACAGGGGGTGACTACGCTCCTTTCCCCAATACAGGTATGGAAGAATTCAACGTGGTTTATGACAAGCCAGCCGGTTTCGTTGGTGAGTTGGCGCGGGTTTCATTTTAGATGCTTTTGCTTGTTTTTTGAACCGCGACCTCTTCACAGCATCCGATGACGTTGGCGATAGTCTCGCTAGCGTCATCTCTTGCTAATGTCGAGGGAGGAGGGGGAATAATCATGTCGATTTCTTTTACACCAAAGTCGCAAAACAGTAGTGGAGACAATGTGTGCTGACCGTAAGCGCTTCAGATCCCTCGATGATTCACCCGGAAATCCGTGGACCTGGACCGATGGCCCCGCCAACAATACAACCCGCACGCTACGAAAATAACAACTTCAACTCGCCTCAAAACCCTTACCCCAACTCACCCGCTCTTTCTGGTGCCGCCTCACCAGCTCCAGCTATGCGCAATGGCAGCCAATCGCCATATATGCACTCATATCCTCAACAGTACAGTCCTTACCCAGCGCCTCCACTAGCACACCCTACGCAACAAAGTCTTTCGTCACCTCAGTCGCATGGATCTCACGAATATTACAACAATGAAGAATCGGAGAAGAAGCAGAGATGTTCTTACCCGGACTGCGGTAAGGTCTTCAAAGACCTTAAGGCGCATATGTTGACTCACCAAACCGAACGACCAGAAAAGTGCCCAATCCAAACGTGCGACTACCACATCAAGGGCTTTGCACGGAAATACGACAAGAACCGACACACCTTGACTCACTACAAGGGTACCATGGTGTGTGGATTTTGCCCTGGATCTGGTTCGGCTGCCGAGAAGTCGTTCAACCGTGCCGACGTATTTAAGCGACACTTAACGGCCGTGCATGGCGTGGAACAAACACCTCCCAACAGCCGAAAGAAGGCGGCAACTTCGGTGAACAATGGCAAGAAGTTGACTGGTTATGCGCCTGACGCCACAGGGAAGTGCTCGACTTGCTCGGCTACTTTCTCTAACGCACAGGACTTCTACGAGCATTTGGACGACTGTGTTTTACGCATTGTTCAACAGGAAGACCCCGCCGAGGCCATCAACGCCAAGCGATTAGCTGAAGTGGAAAACGATAACGATGTTCACCAGACTCTTCAAAAGAACTCATTACCTCTCACTACACAAGCTACCTCTAACTCAGATGATGACGACGACGAAGAGATGGGCGAAGAGGATGACGCCGCAGACGAAGACTTCAAGTCGAAGAAGCTTACTTCGCCCACGACAAAGAAGAAGGGCAACCCAGCCAATGGTGTTCAGAAGTCCCGAGGCATGACGCACTCGAGAGGCGGCGTACCGCTAACGAGTAAGAGCAAGAGCCGCAAGAATCGACGCGAGTACCCGTCTTCGTGGGGGTTTGACAAGGGTCAGATGACCTTGAAGAAGCGAATCATGACCGTATTCGATGGCCCTCGTCGATTAGCAAAGGACGACATGATGCTCTCAACAGATCATGAGGTCCGTCTCAAGCTAGGCGACGGAAAGGCCTACGTGACGGACCTTGACGTCGAAACGCTGAAGCGCGCCAACGGCTTCCTCGGCGCAACAGAAGAGGAGAAGGGACTCTGGGTGTCTGATGACCCCACCGAGGAGGACATGAAGACAATGCTGGAGTTTAGCCAGCACCACCACTAATCACGTATATATATCACATCATACTAGTGTATCGATATAGTACAGCATCATGACGACTGAGACGAAGATTGGGATAGCATGACTGGCGCAAGGTTTACTGCACATTGGGAGGGCACTTAATGGCATATATAAAAATAGGGAATCCTACTGGGGATTATTCTCTGCCGGGAAGGGAGATCTACCGGCGATCTATAGAGGAGAGCAACAGAGAAACCTATTATGATGGATGGGAATTTCTCTGGCGGCTCAGGATGGACTGAGAAATATTTTGGTTACATGTCTTGGTATATTCTGTAGTTGGATGATCTGTATCGATACCCTGTCTATTGTTCTATTTCTCACTATTATTCATCACATGGCGGGCGTTATGAAGACCGAAAAAAGTCGGCTTCGTTTTTGAATAAAACGTTTATCTCTCTTCCGCTACATTTATTATAGCCTTGCTTACTTAGTGATAAGCGCATATACAATCTGATGATCTTATGATATCTCGACTTCTATTTAATTCTAGATCCAAAGATGATCACTTACTACACAAGTTGATGGTTAGTTTTTCGCTTAAGATTGCTTGACTGGGCTACAGCAGCATACAAACAAGAAACAAGACCAAGGTACGTTATCGGGTCACGCTGATCTCTAGTGGATGCGTGTCTCGAATCTCGCCGGTGTGCCAGTCAATACTACAACTCGGTACGGGTAAGTCAGAAGAGATTCAATGAATCGTCTTCGGCGCATTTCATTGGAAAAGACAAGGGATGGAAGTAAAGTAAGTCAGCCAGCGACACACCTCCCCATTTCCCGAACGAATCCTCCTATTGCCTGAAACCGCAGGAGGTTTAACGGATCGCATGTCCATTGTATGCCATTGTATGCATCTCTGTAGCTGAAACGGGGGCACTTCATTTCCGTTAACGGGTTCCATTGCCGGTCGCAGCGACGGCGGCCTTGTTTTCTGGGTTGCTGTAATAGCATCATACATAATAATACGTGCATATTTACATAATACGGTATTTGGTCTCGTAGGGGGGCTAATTTGTTTATTGGCATTTCTCCCGTTCTCCATTCCCCGTTGCGACTCGACTTTAATGTAATTGGACAAGGTCCGGTTGGTCGGAAATGCTGTCATCCATATTTTGCTGACAAAGATAAAAAAGATTAAGAGAGTGGAAAGCGCGGCATGCCCTGCGGACTATTGTAACGATACCTAAACCATTCAACAGCGGACAGCGGCCCAAATCGAGGCCTCCTCAGAAAGTGAAAAGTTAGGCACGTACATACATACATACATGCCAATCCCTAACTATGTAACGGACTAGGCCGTCGTGGCTTGGAAGAATATGACCGTTTCGTGCAGCAAAGTCAAAAGGTAGTAGAGTGGACCTGAGGCGCAGCACCCGCCAAACCACGTGTGGTGCTAGGGTTGACAGGTACCTAAACATACCTAAATTCCAGCGCTACCCCTTACCCGTCTACAGGGCCTAATAGGGAAGTTGGGGTACGTTCTTACAAGCGGTGAAGGGGCGCAGCAGGCTTACTTGCAGGAACAAATAACGTAACTACCAAGTACTTATACTCTATTATATACAGTTGGGACTAGGGTAAGTAACATATCTAGGTACATTATCTAACGCATACTTTACTAATGCGAGTAGGTATTCGAAGGAGCCGCTATTGTATTCTTCACAAAAGAAATACTTCAATGTTGCATTAAATAAGGCAAGGCAAGACTACCTGTATACCTAGGTACTAAACTACTTAGCGTTGATGAGATTGATAGGTCTCACTGAGTCCGAGCCAGCAGGAACACTAGTTCAATACCAATACTTCTGATGTATTTCTCCACCGAATCATAGTACATACATAGTAGATAAAAAAAATCAATTCGAAACACGGCCACAGACGGCCCCTCTTTCTTCATCTCATCCCATCCTCCCGCATCAACATCATAGGTAATCTTTATCATCGACGGCAGCGCCGTAGACGCACATACAGCCACAGCGGTTGTTTGATGCATATCTTCTCCCCTTTTCGTATCGATTGTATGTAGGCTCTTCTAGATTCGTAGTGATGTCATCTCAGCCAGCAATTGTTGCACTACATTCGGCCCGCCATCGCTTGTAATTGATACCATCCCTTCCTTCTCTAACTGTCTAAGTACACCTAATTCGCCTTTGATTCAGTATACTATGTACGCTAGTGAGGTATCCAACCTAAACATCGTTCTATTTTAAAGTTGCGGGGTGGTGTGGCGTTCCTCCATTTACTAGACTTAGTGAATTTAGTGCTATGCCATTTTCCGCATCGGCGATGTTATGACGGATATATTCCGTGCTGGCCCTACGAAAAGTACCGTCGTACTGTACTTCACTACTGTGCAGCTTAACTCTATCCATGGCCTTAACATGAATGGCACATGTCCCTAGATCCCTACCAGGATCTACTGTGTAGATACGTACCCAACTCCAACTCAATTGGGCACTCCACTTTCTCCTGATATCAAATCATTTCCACATTCGTGAGCAGTTTGAAGAACGAGGAATTTCTATCACATTTCGCTACGTACCCTTTCGATGACATGGGCATGGGTCTTCGTCAATAATCACCAATCAAAATAATCCACGCCTCCACCCTGCAGACACGAGGAAAGCGAGCCCAACCCCCCTGCCCCCTCTTTTCTACCCCTATCCCCCTGTCCCCGCTAAGAGCCTCAAAAATTTTGATCCGTGCTGTCTGTGTGTCGTCAGTCGATTTTTTTCCGGGTTAAGATCCTCTAGAGTTAGAAGGCAAGGGTCGTGAGTGAGTTTAGTGAGGAAGGATCTAATGCAAATGGCCCTCACGAGCCGCATCGCGCTCCACGGCCCTCCTACCTCGGATCCGGAGGACTTCTTCGGCTCCGCCCTCGGCGTCATTTTTCCGGACGACGTGACGAACCAGCACGGCGACGCGGACCATTCCCTCTTATACACATCCCCGCATCTTCCCCGGCCTCTGCATATAGCTCTCGCGGATCCGCATCGGGAGAACGATCGCAAGTTGTTCAGTCATTATCTCTGGAACGCGAGTTTGCTCCTTGCGGAGTTTGTGGAGGCGGGTACTTTGAGGATACCCCTAGATCTAGGATTGGGTAGGCTAGGACCAAGTGATTTCGATGCCACGGGTCTCACATGTCTGGAGGTAGGCGCCGGCACCGCGTTACCAAGCCTGATGTCTGCGCTGCTCGGTGCCAAGGACGTAGTCGTGACGGATTATCCTTCTGATACCGTCCTCAGCACCTTGCGCAAAAATGTCAAGGTCAACGCTAAGCCTGAAAACTCCCCTAGTAGCATCCTCGCGCCAGTCACAGTCGAGGGTCATTCCTGGGGCGAACTAGACACACCCTTCGCGACGGCGAACCGCAATCGTTTCGACCGCGTTTTCGTCTGCGATTGTCTGTGGATGCCATGGCAACACGCCAATTTGCATAAATCCATCGCGTGGTTCCTCAAGGATGCCTCCGCGCGAGCGTGGGTTATAGCTGGCTTCCACACAGGAAGACAGAAGATGAGTGGCTTCTTTGAGGACGAGGTTTTAGCGGAGGCCGGTCTCGAGCTTGAGAGCATATGGGAGCGCGATTGTGATGGTGTTGAGCGTGAGTGGGTTTGGGACCGCGGGCAGGAGGATGTTAGTGAGCGAAAGAGGTGGTTAGTTGTTGGCGTATTACGGCGGAGAACGTCGTCCGCAATTGAAGGGTGAGGCCACATAAAAGAAATTCGAAGCCCGAACTTGGCCTGCAAACAATATTCACTATTTCAGACTTCAGTTTGCATAAATCGCGAGATCTAACTTATTCAACGATGAAGTCATAAGGCTTCTACGGCCCAGCAAGAACCCCAAATTCTCTCCTCGTAGTTTGCTGTATATATAAAGACATAAAAGTTTAGATACCCACAAAGAACATTAGGGAGACTTTCACATTCCGAGACGGCGACTCTTGCATCTAGATACCTTAGCAACAGGGTAATGTGAGTTACAATTGATCCAAAGTCAATATATATATACGTATAACACAAGAGTAAGTTAATTTATCAATTGTTACCCATGAATGTGTGATAAATTGGTGGCCAATTGACTTATCCATTCTCATACCAAAGGATAAATACATTCATATATATATAAACTCATACATCTTCCCCTGAATTTCACAACGTCCACCGAATGTAGAGACGAAAAGAAGGTAGTATACATGATGCTCGCTCCATGCTAGTCCATATGCCATGCAAGATATATATGCTAGAATATGCGACAAAATTTCTTTGCTTCTGGTGATATATAATGCTGAGGTAAATGCAACATTCTGGGTAAAGGTATGAAACTGAGACGAGTAAAAGGAGCTATTCCAAAGCCTCAAAAGACATGGGAGAAGGTCTGTCGACGCGTGGGACCGGACTCGTGGAAATAATAAAAACCATAATCGTGTTGCTGTCTACCTGTAAGGATATTTAGGCACCAAAAGACTTCTTTCGGTATATCGTCCATCACATTGCCGGGCCACCTATCCAGCTCATATCTGCGTCCCTGCAGAAGGCCTTGACCAATGAACCCGTACACATGGCCCATCAAGACTTCCAGCATTCTCTATACAGATTCTCCTTCCCAACCTATTTCCCTATTCAGATTCATTAGTAAAAACGAAAGGCTCAGTATTGCATCGAAAAATGCTGTTTAGTCTACATCTTCCTCTAGAGATATTTGTTCTTTCTCGAACGCAGGCCCAGGGCCAGTATAACTCGGTTCTGGTATACTACTAGGTCTTGTAGGAATACCAAGTCCAGCAGTAGCGATTCGCAGAGTGGGTACGTCTTCGGTAGGGATATTTTCGCCTTTCTCGAATGCAGCACCAGGGCCAGCATAACTCGGTTCGGGTATCGTCGTCGTATCCGCCGTCACGGTACTTTGGGTCGAGATTCGCGGAGTCTCCTCTAAATTGGACTCAATACTGTGAACCGCACTTGAGCTAACCCCGCCTTTTACCGGCTGGGGACTCAAGACATTGGCGGATTGCACGACATAAGTCGGAGATATCAATTCCTCGGAGCCGAAGGGCAGAGGCCTAGAAGGTAAATCACTACTATTTCGGCCATCGCCTCCAAGCTTTCGCAGCAATGCTTCAGATTGTTGCTTAGCCAATTTCTGAAGCTGAGCCACAGGATCCTTATGATAGCGCAGCACGTTAGTCAAATCGCAAAGGCAGTCTGCAGGACTCCACCTGATTCCATGCACACATACCCATTCCGTCTGCGCGGGCACGCCCTCCGCGGCCGGCAACAGCGGGTTTTCATCAGTATCATAACCGACGTTGGGGCCGCCACCCCAAAATTTTGCTCGGCGGATAGGTGCTGGAGTAACTGGCAGGCTGGGACGCTCAGCTTCGCTGGGGAAGTCAGTGAGCTTGCTTCCTCGCCGGCGCCAGGTAATCTCGGCCTCCTCGCCAAACCCAGGCAACGTCAACACGCCGGGAGATTTGAGACTTCGCGTTCGTTTGTGCTTTTGTATTTTATCGACGTAGCGCTCAATCTCAGGTACCCCATCCCAAGCATTAGTCAACGTGAAAGAAGACCAAGGATCAGACGGTGTGATGTGAATGGTTGGCGTGGTTGGTGTGGTTGGCTCGCTCTTTTGTTCAACTGTTGACGCTTCCGTAACTGATGATTCAGAAGAAGCTTGAGGATCAGGAGCGGCCCATGGTGTACCCGTGGGTGTTTCGGAGCCGCCCGTGTCGGGCTCGATATTCTGAGGGCGCTCGTCGGGGAATACGCGAGACGGTGGGGCTCGCTCAGTTTCCCATGGGAATATTGGTTTGGGCGGTTCGGAAGGGGGCGCTGGGCGTTCCTTGGGAACTTCGTACCACATATCTCTTGGGGGGCTTGGGTATCGTTGAGGAGCAACAAACGGAGTAGAGTCATGAGACATCTCGTATATAGTCGCGGGGAAGTTCATGGCTTCGGGCTTTGAATCTGCGGGGGGAGATTCTCTGTGCTCGGGTTAGCTATTGGATCCTCAGGGACGGAATCAGGTAGGAAACTAACCTCTGCGCATCCCAGTTTGACATAGAAGGCTGGAATGGTGGTGGTTTCTGCTCGGCCTCGTCCTTGGGTGGGGGAGCCCCATGAGAGGGTTCGGGGACCTGCCCTTCTCGAGCCTCAGTGTGAGTTCCCTCGACATTGGTATGAAAAGACGACGCTTGAAAAGAAGTGGAGGGGTCAAGCTGCGGAGCAGTGGTTTCGGACGGGGCCTCTACGTGACCATGATGTTGGTGGACACCATGATCATAGTGGCCATGACCGTGAGGTCCAGAATGGGAAGCATCATGCGAATGAAACGGTTCGCGATGTCCATGTTCATGGGAATATGACTCCGGAACCGGGGGCTGGACATGCTGGTGGGGATCGCTGCTAACGCCACTATGAAGCTCACCAGTTATCTGGAAGTGGGTAGCCTTTGGCTGATACTCTCCCTTGGTGAAGAATTGCACCAATTCAATTGACGGCTGCGTGGTTGTAGGAGTTATGGTAGTAGAAGATTTGGCCGTGGATGTAGTTGCAGGCTTGCCGAGGATAGAGGGTGTAGGCGCTGGAGTCTAGGTATTGTGAGCTGAATGGAGAACGTGACAATCAGGAGATCAACAAGAAACTTACCGGAACTCGGTAATGTCGGTCATAAACAGCCCACCATCTTCCGGTCATTTCGTCATAGAGGGAGCTCCCAGTACTGGCGCGTCTTCCTTTAAACCAAGGCTTTTCGGGACCGATAAAATGCACCATACTAATACCAGACTGAAAATGGCGGTATGCGGGGACATATTGGTAATGACCAGAAGGCGTGACATTATATGTGAAGCTGAGGCGATTATAGTTATTCTTGAAGTGCATGTTGATAAGACCTTGATCGGCTCCGTCGAACGAAATATTCCTCTCGGCCATTGCTATCATCGCATAGTAGTCGCCCAAGTTCGGAGTCAAAACCATGACGCCCGTATTAAAGAGGTCGGGCCAACCAATATCGGGGGCGGCCGAGAATGAGTGTGATATATTAAAAAGCTCGTCCGGAGCTCGGTAGGCGACGACATCGCAGTCTATATAGACGATTTTGCGAAAATGAGTCTGCTTCCATAAGTTTATTTTCGTAAAGGCTGAATGTAAATCGGCTCGGTTCATGAGATGAAGATTCGCCGGTTGCGAATTACGTATCCGGCCGACTGGAATAACATAATCATACAAGGTCTGGTCAATTGGATTAGTTGGGCATAATCTCCCAATGCGAAAGAGCTGGCAAAGCTTACTTTGAGTTGTGTTATAACATCAGCCGATACTGTATCTAGTGTGACGAGAACCGCTAGTTTCTTCGTGGTACCGGCATCTCGTAGAGAATGCGCAAGCACCAGCGCTCCTTCGAAGGGTCAGAAAATCCATCATAACACGACTAAGTAGTGGAACATACCGGGTAAATATGTGTCGCTCAAGAGAAGCTATAAACACGTGTATATTAGTTACCTTTTTATCATCCAAGACCTTCGAGGTATCACGAACTGTAGCGTACACGTCCTCCTCCGCTCCGCCTTGCACAGCCATTGTGTGCAAGGAGTGACGATAATATCACGCCAGGTTGAATGGTGAAGAGAGGGGTAAATAGAGTACGTAAGAAGGTGTATGTATCCAAAATACGTACGGTATTGTCTGATACAAGAAGCTGTTCGTTTATAGGAATCAAGGACAGCCCTTGCGAAAAAGTAGAGTAGAGTAGGAAAACAAGTCCAAGTAACAAGAACAATGCAAATAATAATAACAAAGTGAATTAATTATTATTATGTTATGTTTGCGCCGGTGATGCGGGACAAATTGGCTCGGTTGGCTGGTGAAGGCCCTGGTTGTTTTCTTTTCCTTTTTTTTCTTCAGTCTCTTCCCTTCCCAAGACAAGGTTCAGAGCAGAGCTCATCGAAATGGACCGTGTCCGATGAGAAAATGCGACGCTACCAGCCTACGTAAAGTAGCGTTACTCTCGTGAACAAGGATTTCCTTGGTCTAGCCTGGCCTAAGGCACTTCGGGTTTATATGTACCTCAGGGTATCTATGTCAGACAGACAGGTGGGTTCGTTGGTGACTCGGGTGAAAATCCAATCGAGGTATTCGATATAGATTGGTCCCAAAGTAATTTCAGTTCTGTACGACTATGTAACTACTTGCATGAGCATCAACATAGGGAATAGTAATTGGAGGATGTTGACATTTAAGACATGTGCGTGGGTGATCCAATGGTTCCAATGTGTAAGATACATCTAGAATTAAAAAAAACAAGCTTAGCGTACAAGGAGCTTAGATGACCCATAGCTCCCCCGCAGGGGGTAATTTCCACTTAGTGTATTATGTCATTTAGTGAAGATTTCATCTCGCACTTGCCAGAGCTTCCGCAAAACTAAGACAGACTAAATCTGTTGGTGAGGGGCAATCCCATCTCGCTTCAATGTAGCTTCTTTAGTTGACTGCCTGCATGTATCTAATGTTAAAAGTAATATCCGTCGCTCTAGATTTTCATATGAACCGATATGGACTAATGGAATCTAAATTTTTGGTACCTTTCTGTAGACATCAGACCACCCGTGGGGGGCACACTTGTCAACCAACATCACCAGCGCGCTAACTTTCAACGATTATAGGTTAGTAGGGTCTTCTTTCATATGATTATCTTAAGGGTTCAATCTGAGTATATTATAATATAAATAACTTATAAATAAAAGTTTATATTCATGCAGATATATAAAGTATTTTCATAGTTTTAGTTAAGTTTACGCACCGTATGTAGGATGACGACACCTCTCTTCTTACTCCGTATGTGACCGAGTCTATCCGTTGACGAATCAGAAAACGATTTGAAGGACCCCGCAAAGTGATCTTCATAAATTGACCAACCATGATCAATGGACTTCAGTGAGGAACTCTAGGTTAGGCAACGCCTCTTTCCCTATTGTTTCTCTCTCTCTCTTTCTCTCTTCATATCTCATGCGCTATGGTAGGCACGTATGTGGTGTAACTAAAACAAATAATAATGGATGAATAATCAGTTAAGATCCGACGCACCGCTTTTTTTTTCTAGAGTCCTTCTAGCTTCTAGGCGGCCAACCCAACAAGCTACATCCAACAACTACAAGTAGCCCTCCGTAGGATGTCAAAATAGGAAAATTGAATTTATTATCGTGGACGCCTTTATGCCTGGGAAGGTTATCTATCTATCTGATTAGGTATATAGCCTACCCGTCAGATAAACGAACACGTGAGACCTAGGGAAAGAGAGCCTTAAGCCTTAGGGCAGCCTGAGGACGGTCACAACCATTCATTCATTCAACTTAATAATAAAAATTTCCGAATACCATCGATTTTCAACTCTAAGCAGACCCATCCAGAAATTCGGGATCCTCCTCATTCCTTCGATTTCCCCTCATCAGATCCGATTCCCAAAAAAAAAACAAAAAAAAACGTCATGCTCCGGACGGAAAATAAAAGGACCCCTCACAAAGTGGTCATCCGCCCCTCTGCAGCGATGATCACGGGAGGCAATCGGCGTGATCAACATCGCGAGAGGTCAATGGCAAGTTTTACTATCTTTTTTACTCTTCGACATTTCCAAGGAATCAAATAGCTTCAAAGATATATCCAGTACCAATATACTGCTACTCTCCACATTCCATCTCCACATCTCCGCACTCTATTTCCCCATACGTACGTACCTAAGTACATACCCACACACACCTAAGCAGATGCTACCATTCCCAAATCCCTTAGCCCTGCAGAGTTCATTCATTGTCTGATAGATTGGGGAAAATATCCAATTACTTGTTACCCCCCACAAAGTATCAACCCTATTAGCCATACGTGATCAAGTGTTAATACAATCCAATTCGATTACTACTATTTCTCTATTTTGTAGAATATTATCGTCACATTGGGATTTGGCAATACTGACTATACTCGCTTCTACGTAGAGTCCACCACCCACTTCACGAAGAAGAAACTATGGCGAAATCAACTTAGAGACGAACTCCCTATTCTTTCAATTCCCACTTGAACTACGCCTAGAGGTATACCAATACCTATTACGTTCTCCGGACCCCGTCATGATATCTGCGCTTCGTCGACAGGTTTATGTGCGACGTCCAGATTCACCAACGACCAACGGCTCAAGACCTCGACTCATTCCTCTTCCACATCGCCTACCCCACGTCCAATTTCTACGAACATGCAAACGGGTAAATAAGGAGGCCACGCCAATCTTATATGGCGAAAACAAATTCTTCGTGGCCTGTGAGTTACGTCCATTAATCATATCAACTATGCGAAGATGAGATACCGTATTATATAAATGCTAATTGAATCGGGTACAAATCTAAAGTAGGCGATGGAGTCAACCAAAAGAGCCTCAAAAACTCATTCTTATGGCACCTACGACAATCAACCCTTTCCAGCATAACCTCTATAACCTTCCTCCAAGGATGCCAATGCAAAGGTTGGGTTACAGCTTGTCGCGTTACTACACGATATTTAATGGATACCAAACAATGGACAACGACCGGCCCTCAACTAGCTCGCCTCTGCTTCCTTCACTACAGCCAACCGCACTGGCTCCCATTAGCGAAAAATGTCCAGGAAACCCACGAACACATCCGCGAGAAGGTGATTTCGAATGACCCAACAGCCTATTTCTCTAGCTACTCCTGTCCCTATTGTCAAGACAGGTACGGTCAACCATCTAGCCAACCCCCAGCCGATTTGCCACCGCTCGTCTTCTCGTAGCTTCATGTGCTTGCTCGCTTTATGATCGGATATCAGTGATATTGTTATTTTTTTTTGGCGTTGAAAAGGTTAGGTATGGAAAATCCACGGGGTACGGAGTTTTAAAAAGTGTACTGGGCGCAGCTGCCCACTCAATTACCATCTCTCAAGGTAATTCAAGGACATGGTGTTAAAATCCTAATAAATGATAATCATACAAAGCTACGGGTAGAGCAGAGCCTTCTTGGTGAAGACGAAGTTGCTGAGTAATATAATGTTTAATCCCAAACAAACCTACTTGCTCACACTCCCTGTAGAGATCAAATGGGATATTTATACAATCACTTATCGGCTTTGGGCAAACTATACGATAAGGCAGAACACGGCTACTACACGAAAATCAATATCGAAGTATTGAGAATCTCGGTCAATTAACCTTGACAGATTCATTAAAAGGCAATACATTAACTTTTCTGATACCGGAAGTGACTGTCTAGAATGCACCCGCAAATATGTCTCGGAAAATCTACGCTTTTCGTCGCTATGCTTCGCACGTTTTCACCGCCGCCCATAGAATACCTAAAACCTCACCCACCCGTTTATCTCTCTAACATACCCAATACCGCGTATCCCAATAAGGATCCCGTTACACCAGAAACCTAGGCGCAATTATAGGTCTTTTCGGGGGCCATGCTCAGGCTTATGTGTAGTCTCGTAGTCCGTGTGGACATAAGCTCGCTCGATGTTAGGCAATTTCTCTAGTTCGATTTGCAGTCCCTCCGAAACGTCGTGGGTGTTTCTAAGGGGCTCGTCGGGATGCATGACGATATCGACCTCGGCGATTAACCTAGGACCAGAGTGATACACTCGGACAGTGTCAATGCTCTGGATAGAGTCCGAGTACGTGACGCAAATGTACGTGATCAACTGTTGTATGTCGATATCGGCCGCTTTGCCGACTAAGGTCATGAATTCGGTGAATGCTTGGTGTAGCCAAGCACCACTGATGATAACCGATATAATGATAGCGCCCATGGGATCGATCCACCAGACGAGCTTAGAGCCACCAACGGATGTCAACACACCAAAGCCGTTGATAAGTAGGTCATTACGATGATCTTGCCATAAAATATTCACCTGACTATACTTGTCCTTGATGCCCCAACAGTAGAAAAATAAAGCAAGTTTTGTTGCAAAAGCAATGCAAACCGCGAGCACTGAGGGTAAGTGGAAGTTGTTAACTTCAGCACCCGTGCCAACGCGGGTTGCGATGTCCTGGCACGAAAAGGCAATCAAGATGGCAGACACGGCTGTCATCATGAAGCAAAATGTAATGTTGCCGACTGTTTCTAGGCGTGCCTTGCCGGATGGGAAGCGGCTGGGATCGACACGCTTCATGGCATGTTGAGTAAGAATCAGAGTCGCATTGCTTAGCGGGTCGAAGATGGCGTCAGCCATGGTGGTGAAGAGCGAAAGGGAACTCGACGATACAGCACCGTAGATTTGTAAGATAGATAGAATAACGTTTGCCGCAAAGGAGCCTTTCTGGGCGATCTGAAATCGCAAATGATCTTCACCAGCCTCACGCTGAGCCTCGGCTTCATGCTCCTCAACCGATTTGAGCATCTGCTTGATCGTATCATTCTGCTTGTGATAAAACGTTTGAATCTTTCGCGCACGAAAGGTGGATGCTATCTTGCTGGGATTGGAGTCGTCTCGGGTTGTGCGCTTACGAGCAGTGTTCGCCTTGATCTCGTCGAGCTGCTCGGCTGTCTTTAGAGCCGAAGAAAGATTGTAGGGATCACTGCCCCTATACCGTGCGTTCCCAGTTTGAGCCTCGACATCTGTCGCAGTCACTGCAGACGGATGGCGGGCAATGGGCTGTTCACTGCTATCGTTCATGGCTTCTACTCCTGTGCTGGTAGCGTTTTGGAAGGAATCGCGAGATGGACGGGGTGGTGAGACAGGCGTGTGTGCTGAGGACCGCAGGCTCGCTTTTTCATCATTTGCATGCGCCTGTGACGCAGTACTAGGCGAGGCTTCGGAACCCATGTTGAGCGAATATTATCTTCACCTATGGCAACAGCCCTTGAGAGTGAGCTCGGATATACGACCGGGGGGTCCAGAGATAATTCCGATCTGCAGGTGAGGATTTAGATGCCTAGGGCGGGATTGGCGAGGTGGGATGTGGTATGTGGTATGCAGAAAAAGAAAGAGGAGTATTTAAACACCGGCGCCACCGCTGATGTTAGCCTGAGTTTGATATTTTCAGTGATTCTCACCGGTCAAACCGCTACTGACGCAAAAGTTAGCTAATAAGTCCAGGACATAGTTATTTTGATCCCTTAATCACCTCTAATTGGGCCAAGGTGAATTTGGGGTGGCTAAAAAGATATTAAGCATTGGAGCACAATTTAAATAGAGCATAGGTATAAAAGGTAGGGGGAGGGATGATATGAAAAAAAAAAAGAGGAAAAAATACATATACTATATATTAGAAAAATATACAAGTGTAACTTATCGTCACATAATACAAACTTCCTAGATAGGAATGAAGAAGCTTAAAGCTAAGACAAAAAAAGGAAAAACTTCACCGCTATGCTCGGATTTTCGATAATGGCACAGCGATACACTTGTAACTGCTGTTAGCTATTAGCTTACCTATCTCCGTACCAACCTACCTTATTATACAGCTACCCACCTATTAAGCTTCTCTGAATTGTGAGCATGACTGGACCCTTCCCTTTTGTGCCTTCTCCCTTTTCTTTCATCATTACAGTGAATATACTGTATGACAAACACACAATGCTATTAGCTTCGTGGCAAAGAGCTGGTGTGTGTGTGTGTGTCGGGACGGGGACGGAAATGGACACGCCCAGAAAACCGCCAACTGCGGCAATATAACACGCGCGCAGATTAGCCATTGTGATTGATTGATTTGCATGGCGGTCGAGTATCCATATCCATTGTCCAGTACCTAATGTACCTAGGTATGTAAGCCGAAGGTGGAGAAATGCATTATCTGTGGTCGCTAATAATAAGACAATCGCTAGTCTAATTGCACAATATGTATACCAAAGAGTCACGATGAATATTGGTTGATGATGTTGTAAATTGTAGAAGTTAAGGTGAAGTTGGATTTTAGAGAATTAAGATGATAATTATTTACAAGGGGCGATAGGTATAACTTTAAATAGCAAGGCAAGCACAGCTGCAGCATCGAATCGTCTCATCAATTCGGCCACTACCGGAACATGCCTGCCCAAATTGTCCAAAAAGGTGCTCGATTTTAGGTACTTCGGTACAATTCTATCCTAATTCATGTATATTCCACGCCAATTGCAACAATAATACACGATAATATATTCTAAGTGGAGGCTGATGGATCCCTTACCTCTTGGCCAATTCAGTACCGAAAATAGGTATGATATCAAGATCTACAGGAAATCGATTAGATGACTGCCAGAGGCGAATTCAACGCAACATATTATTCTATCTTGTATAGAACTCTCGTGTGCTTCAGGCAGTAAATATGCCAATACCAACGACAATCCTAATTAGTTGTTGATTTACCATAATCGCAATGTAAAAGAGCATTGTAGTCATCAATCCAACCTCTCCCCCCCCCTTCTCCTTCTCTAACGATTGCCTTGCATGTTATACACGACCAATTCTAGGGGTATCATAACTCATCTCCTATGCTTTCACCGTCTATTCCAGGCATCTGCACGTCGGAGAGGATGCGCCTCAGTGTTTAATACCCACTCATCCAGATTAGCCAGATCCCAATCGCCGAAAATCAAATAGAAATACTTCAGTGTTTCCGCTAACCAGAAGCTTTCCATACTGTCTACCTGTTTGGGATGTTTTACCGTAATGTCATCAAGCGCTGCCGCGGCGTACTTAGACCGCGTCCATTTCTCGACAGCTTCAAACATGGCCCAAGCCTTTTCCATGTATTTGGCTTTTCCTGTCAAGCGATACATCATGAATACTGATTCGATGGCTTCCGGTCGTAGAATATAACGGCGATCATCGACCTCAACCATACCTCGAGGTAATCGCCGAGTTTCTATGATGCTCTCCACCTGTTGGTCGGAAAGCGTGTCGCCCTTGGTATTTTGGCCCCAGTACTTTCTCAAAGCTCCGGTCCAACGCTCTTCGCTCCACTGACAGTCATCCTTCGAGGTGTCAGGATCACAAGGAATAAAGTGGAAGATCTCCGGTCCGATGCCTGAGACGGTCGCATTATATGACCATACGCAACCATCAGTCAACTGTTCGGCTACGTCTAAATCTGCTGGACGTTCGAATATCTTAGCAGCTAAGCCTACCATGCCCCCCGCAAAACACGTTAAATGCTGCGCTACTGGGCTAGTCACAACTTGCTTATCACCATCTGACGAGGTAGTGATACGGGCGTCACCAAAGAAAAGTAGAGGGGTATTATCCGGGTTTAGAGCGCGACGGAGAAGATGCTTCTTTGCCACGTCAATGAAAGCATTGTACATCTTTCGTGGTTGATCAAGAGCACCTCCGAGCAACAAGTACTGCTTCCCTAAATACTCGTAGGTACTATCACTCATTCCACCTAGAGTATACGAATCGCCGCTAGACTGAATAGGCGTCTTCGAGGCATCAATTATGACTGGCCACATCCCTGGGAGTGTAGTTTGTTTTTGGTTATTTTCTAACCCGTCGGAAATCCTTTGTGCAGCGTCGTAGTACTGCATGTCGCCAGTCAACTGGGACAACTTAGTAAGCTCGAGGCCGAGTGACCCGACCTCAGCAAGTAAAGAATATCCTCGTGCCTTATATGGCTCACCCTTAGCATACCTTTGCCAAGGGAATCGTGTCAGAGGCATGTGGTTGGGCGTGTCAAAAGCTGTCATCACCAAATCGGCGACCTCGGTCGCTTTTTTGAGAAGACTCGCGTATTGACCGCCGCTAAGTTCGTATGCAGCTAAAAAGCCTCCAAGATATCGAATTACCGTCTCGAAAATGTTGATGTCTCGTGCCTCCGTAATGCCGAAATCAATCTTGTCGCAGGCCTTCACCGCGAGTTCGAAATCTTCCTTCATATCGAAGAGCCATAGGCTGTCTAGAGAATCGACAAGGGTTGCGGCCCAACCACCGAAGGGATCCTTGTGTAGTCCCGAGATAGGCTTGATCTCATCATGGCCCCACGCGTATTTCTTATACCCATCCCAACTATGCTTGAAACTGCCTTTGATTGTAGCAAGTCGTCTCAATCGTGTTTCTTTCTCGGCGGAGGTCTCTTCGGGCTTCGCGGCTTGTACACGAGGTATACGTTTGGTTTGCTTGTTGGTCGGTAGGGTAGCGAACTTGTCTACAGGATAACGAGGCGGTCGTTTCTCCCACCTAAGACGTCCGGATCCAGCAGAGTCTTGGGTCAACGGTTTACTTGGGGTATGTCCATGATTGAATAACCCTGCGCCATCTGGCGGGCTCCAGCTGTAGTACCAGGACCCAAGGGCCCAGATGGCAATAACGGCGAGCAGTACTCGAACGCGACGAAACGCCATTGTCGCGATTTAATGATGTGATTTATCCGGCAGGGCTTCAAAGCTAGCAAATGCTGTCGAAGAGATATGAAGAGGAAAAATGCTCACATCGCTCGAGGCGAGACTAAACTATGTAGATTAGCCTGGAGCACTGACGATGGGGTCAGCTTTCCAGGAGGTAAGCGTAGGAATGATTTTGAATTTGTAGTTCAACATCAGACGTTTCAATGATCGATTTCAACTAACCGCCCCCAAAATTGGCCGAGTCAATACCGTTATTCACGGAACGAATCACTAAGCATACAAGTAAGAATATGATTAGGACGTGTTATTTAGAGTTCGAAGCAAATAAGAAAAAAAATCAATAAGAATAGGGGTTGATTCAAATGGTGGTAGGAGCTTCCCTTGCCAAACTGGCGGGACCTTACTTCAAGGTCGCATCCCGTTCTCCACTCTTGACATAGTTAGCGGAGTTACCCATCTGAGTAGGTGATTTATGTGGCCCAAGCTCCTTACGATAAAAAACGCATCGCTGAAGCACGCTAATAACCTTAAACCTTAAAAATCAAAATGTTGGCCTTTAAAGATTGTTATGGGCGCATCAAAGTTGAATTATCCCAAAATATGTCTATATTAGTTAGTGTATAGTTCTACTTGTGTGTAATGATACCGGCCATTTATTCTGAAGTAAGGGCTGTTTTCCGTGTGGTCCCTCATTGAAGCAACTAAAGTGATTAGCTGCCGAGGAGTTTGATTTGTTTGGCGGAGAATGGCCAATCCCAAGCGTATCACATCTAAATGCCATTTGTGATTTGTATAGCTCCCTTTAGAACCTTAGACTGACGACAGCATCTATGAGTGACTTTTAAAGACAGAAGCCAGTTTTGATATTAGACTTGTAACCAGGTATATTAATGCGAAACTACCCAGCTACTGCAGTTGACTTAACTGTCTTAGGGGAATGATTTCATACTTTGAATACCTATGAGGTGATTATAGCTAAAGACGCTTTCTTGGGCAAATGGTTTTCATGGACCTGATAGCTTGCTATAAATGAAGTAATGCAAATGTCCCTGAGACAGTAAGAAACACTGTTACGTTGTGGACAAACTATTGTAGCTGAGGTAGCCTGAATGACAAACATTATAAAGCGTAGACTCGTATATGTGTGAAGATTTGGGTGGACATGCTATCCTGGTTTTACTGGTATTCTGGAGACCTCCCTTAGCATTGACTCGCCTATCTGGCCCTGGTTGGGTGTGACGGGAGCTACTCGCAGAATGCTGCCGTTGTCGTTATCGCTACTTTCCAACACGCAAGGGAGTTGATGATGTTGGTTAGTAGGGAGCGAGATGCAATGAACGGAAATATCCTTCATCACTTGAAAAGGCGATCACAATAATCATGATCGACAATAGCGATCATGCGAGTTTGACGAGAAAATACTTCAAATCGCGTTTAAGTTGCCATATAATATTTTATCGGGAAATGTAGTCAAGAGAGCCATTGGAAGAGAAGACGCTGCCCATCTTCCAGCCTAACACCATTATAGTGTATACCCCCGGGACTGAGAAATTATCAACCCAGTCGATAGTATTCCATCGGTGACAACCCCGTCAAAGAAAGGAAAAGGTTCATCGCAACGTAAAAGATGGGTATGACGATTAACGAATTAGCGAAGGTTCAACCAATCCCTTTTCCCCTTTTATTTCTGCATCATGAGCTGGACAAATTCGTTATCTATGGTTGTGCAAGTTAGCAAGGTAATATGTAGATATTATGTAATGGGTAAGGGTCTTTACAGTCGATACGGCCATCACCATCCTGGTCGGCCTCACGGATCATCTCATCTACTTCGTCATCGGTGAGCTTCTCTCCGATGGAGGTCATAACGTGACGAAGTTCGGCGGCAGAGATGAAGCCGTTATTGTCACGGTCGAACACCTATTTATGCATCAGTGGTTGATTATTTGCACATAAAAAGGCGGATATCGAACCTTAAAAGCTTCTCGAATCTCTTCCTCGGAATCGGTGTCCTTCATCTTGCGAGCCATCATGGTAAGGAACTCTGTGCGACATGGAATGTCAGCCTTGTTTCTAGTATTGTGTGACTTTGCGCCAGGCAGGAATGGTATTCACCTGGGAAATCAATTGTTCCATTGTTGTCGGCATCGACTTCGTTGATCATATCCTGAAGCTCAGACTCGGATGGGTTTTGACCCAGCGATCGCATGACGGTGCCTAGCTCCTTTGTGGTGATTTGTCCTAGCAAGCATGAAGTCAGTCGATTCGGTCTATTGGTGTGAAGATATGATGAAGATTAAGTCGAAATTGTGGGAATTATCGATATCGATCTTGAGTAAAAATAGGTTGATAGGGGGGGTTGGCAGTCGTTCAACTTACCATCGCCGTCCTTGTCCTATATAGCTGTTAGCGAGAGTACGTCATCAACATTGAGGCAGCTGGAAGCTATCATCAATGATTAAAGAAGATAGAGTGTATTATAGACTATCAAGGATGACTTACAAAAAGGGAGAACGCCTCCTTGAACTCGGAGACTTGCTCTTCGGTTAGAGAATCGGCCTGCGATGGTGAATACAAAGTCAGCGCCCGTTCCTATTTTCACCTCTTGGGAGCCCCTCATCGGCGGGGTACTGTGTCTGGGATTGGCGGTGACTGTGAAGCAGGACGCACCATGATTGAGCTGTTTTTTTCAAGATGCAAGAAATAAGTAGCTACGTGTGATGTAGCAAAAGAACTAGTTGTCGCTTGTCGTTTTTGATTTCGTAGTTACCGCAAGAAATGTAGTGTAGATTGCCAAGGAAGAAGAGAGGACCTCTTTTCGTTTTGAGAAGCGTCAAGGATTGAATAATAATAATAACAAGGCAGGGCTGGATTTCATAAAATAGTGGGGGGAGAGTGAATTAGGTGGAGGGGCCTACGGTGCCTAATGGATTTATGTACTTAAAAAAGGGGGGAACGGTCGAGCCTTTTTTAGTTTTGGGCGTTTGAGAAGTACATAGAAACATAGAAGAAGCAGGAGTCAGGACTTGACTGGAGGCAGCCGAACAGTTCGCCTTGGGCTTGGCGTCTGGCAGTTCTTTGTTACTTTTTTGTCGCCTGATAGCGGTACATATGTACATATATATGTACTATGTATGAATAATATGCATAATGTAGGTAATTCGTCAGTCCTACGAAGCAATAGGACTGCACAATTAATCAAGTACTAAAGTCCTGTCCAATAAAATTTATGTCGTGCGACTTGAATCCTGTACATATATGTAATAGATGGCCTGTGCGCTGCGTCATGTAGCTCATCCAATCTACATACATGTACCTAAGTACACAAATACAGTACGTTAGGCTGATTGCACCTTACCGTAACGTTTTCAGAAACGTTCAAATGCTATTGATTGAATTATCTTAATCTATTTGCGGATAACTCGTCAGCCCTGCAACCCAAAAAAGGAGGCTGCTCTTGCTGTTGCTAATCTGTTAGTATCTATGTACATTAGTACTTTCTTCAAAAATTGGTCGAAGCTACGTCAGCTGTAGGGAGCTGGCTGGCTGGCAATCTATGTACATCTAAACTTGTACACTATTACATTGTATTGTCTATCTCGTTGCTCACTTATCATCATATTACCAATTTGACTGGTTTTTTCTTCTTATTACCTTGACATAGTAACCCTACCACCCAATTCCTCTTACTATCCTCTCAACCGATATTAGAATAGTCAAAGTGAGGGTGTTCATCCCTTCTATCCGCGTCCGCCATGTGGCGAGACCGCACCAACCTGTAAGTAAGCTAACCAGCCAAAAAACCCGCCCAGCCCATCGCTTCCGATATTTGGTGTTGTTTTCTTCGAAACTTATACCAAAACTTTGTATAGATATATCTCCTACCGCCAATCCTACGCTCACCACCCAGCGAAGAAGACACGGTACGGTCCGGGTCCCAGTACCCCCGGCGGAGGAAATGGGTTCTCGGAATTCGGTCGCGGTAGCGGCAGCGCCGCGGCGGGTGGTGGCGCCGAGGATCAGCAAGGCTTACTATCGGGTGCCGACTACCATGACGATGGCGACGCTGTAATCGAGATGGACTTATTGCCGCCGCGCTGGGCCGACGTTAACGACGAAGTCTCGGACCTACTCGCCGACATAGCCCGCAAATCCCAAACCCTCGAGCGCTTACACCAAAAGCATGTGTTACCCGGCTTCGACGACGAAGATGCCAAGCGCGCAGAAGAGGCCGAGATCGAGCGCCTGACACAGAACATCACAAAGAGTTTCCACGAGTGCCATCGATGTATACAGCGCGTTGAGCAGATGGTCCGCGAGGGCAAGCGCAGCGGTTCTATGACCAAGGCCGAGGAGACTATGGCCAAAAATATACAAATAAGTCTTGCGGCGAGAGTACAAGAGGCTAGCGCTGGCTTTAGAAAAAAGCAGAGCGCATATCTAAAGAGTAAATACATATCAACTTCACCAATATATCAATGCTAACCTAATGTTAGAACTTCGCGGCATGTCCGGCCTGGGCGCCGTATCACCAGGGGGCGAACGTAGTGCGACGCCTCTCGGGAGCACAACGAGTAGTAGCTATGCAGCAGACCCATCACTCCTCGAATCCGACGCAGACCGATCATACTCGCAATCAGCATTACAACAAACAACACACCAAAAACTGCTTCATAGTAACGATGCGGCGATCCTGCAGCGCGAGCGTGAGATCGAGGATATCGCACAAGGCATCATTGAGCTTTCCGATCTCTTCCGCGACTTACAGACCATGGTCATCGATCAGGGTACTATGCTAGATCGCATTGACTACAACGTTGAGCGCATGGCCGTCGACGTGAAAGGTGCGGACCGTGAGCTTGTAGTCGCCGCTGGATATCAAAAGAAGACCACTAAGCGCAAGCTGATATTACTGCTCGTACTGCTCATTTTCGGCGCCATAATACTTTTAGTTATAAAGCCCAAGAACCGCGGTGGTGGAAGTAGTAGTAGCGGCGGAGATGGCGATGGTGGTGATGGAGGGTAACGGGGAATGTTTCTTTTTTATAGGCTTGAAGGCTGTGTAGGAAGTACGGTATTTAAAAAGAACCTGGCCCGAACCATGTCTGAGCCATTGATATTAGACATCAAGCGACTTATCGCAGGTACGGGAGGCGTCAATGAGACCTATGCTATGTACCAAATAAGTTCACATAAATTTTAATTTTATTTGTATAGGTACACGTCCCTCTATCTATATTCTATGCGAATCTGCGGGTATCTTCATTATGTACATGTAGGTATAAGAACAGCGCTTTATATTACCATGCGAAGTTGAGGTGCCGTTCTCCCCATACTTCGTAGATACTTCTTGTCTTTTGCCATTGCTTTATGGCCACGAGCATAAATTTCTGCCCGTAATTTCTCAATTGGTGGAAGGAACTCTTCTCCCCAAGCTTCGTCGAGTAAGGATTTCATTTGTGATAATGTCAGAGTATTGCTCGCTCGAACCACTTGCAAATTCCTTTTAGTTGGATAACCAGGCCCGTAAAGAGTAACAAGGCGCAGCTTGACCCAAGTAGCCAAGTGCTCTGGATCTAAGAACAAGCCTCGATCGCGAAGCATCCTCAGCAGTCTAATCGCCCGCCCGCCGTTAAAATCACCTAGTTGGCGACGACTCAGTTGTAAGGTATGGATTGACTTGCTCTGGTCGTTTATAGATGAGTGAAACGAACAACGGACGATAGTACCGAGAAGTTTGCTGTCAAATATTTGGCGTAATGGGTGTTGTGGTGTCTGGGTTGGCAAATCTTGAGGTATATATACGCCGAGAAGGTTTTTAACACCAGAGAGCGGCTTTCTCATTGGCTCGGGGATGTCTTCGGGATGTACTGGGACGAAACCGGGGCGTGAAGACTTGGAGGAAGCAAACATGTCTACCAGTTCAACGCAAATTTTCTCTAGTTCGTCAGTCCGTTCTTGTCGAGCGAGACAAAATAAGAACTTTCTCCAGCAGCGAACCGGGACGGGAATTTCCATGGACAATAATTGCCGGCAAATAGGAAGGTAAAAATTAAGCGAATCTGAAGAGATAAAGGTAGACTTGGCCTCATTGACAAAACTGTCAAAAATTAAATGGGTTTGGTCGCAATCGATAGTGATACCCATAGATCTCATGTCATCTAGGAGTTTCGAGAGTCTCTGTCGGTCCTTTTGTTGGATATATACCCGAGCGAGCGCATTAGCCGCACCACGCACCGGCTTTTCCATCACGACCAATTTCGTGACGAGGATAAGACGATACGTCCGCCAATCCTCTGATTGCGCCGCCGAAACAATAAGCCGCGCCTGCAGCTCGGAATCGTCGAATACATCTGGATGAAGGTCACTGCGTAAGAGATCCAGAAGGAGTTCATCGTCCTTGACCCTGGCTAGATAGGCTACTAGTCTATAATAATTCGAATCGGCGACTGAGATCCCGTGTTCCTTTAGCTGTTCTATGCGGTCCAATACACCATCCGAGGTTCCTTCTCTCAGAGCGATCGATTGTAACGATAGTGGACCGATTTCTTCGATCCCGAGAGCTGAAATCGTTGATATCGCTATATTTAGGCTAACCCAAGAACTAGCGAGCCACTTAGCACCCAATTTATCATTGTATTGCTTCACTTTAATACCAAAGGTTCCGCCATGTACACGGTTGACGAATTCTCGAGATAACTCGATCCGCTCAGTATTCTCTGGCGTCTCAAAATTGACGTCGTGAACGGCAACAGATTCGTCGGGGTGGAGTTGTTCGTGTGGAAAATACCCCTGTAATAACCTTAGGAAAGACCGAGCATGAATGGGCGCCAATGGCGTATCATCATGGCGGATGCAGAGACGGCGCCACTTTCTTGCTAAATGAAATTCACCCAGGTCGTACAAGTAGGGGACGATAGCGTCGTACAATCGGCGGTCAGGGTTTACAATGTAGAGCGACTCGAGAGTAGGAGTGCGATAAAGTGCGTGGTCGTTTGCAAAATGCTTTATCATGTTCGTAAAGTCTTCTACGCCGGGATAGAAATTTGGTGTTAGTCGTAATTGCCACTGTAGCACCTGTTGATGTTGATGAGTTCGCAGAAAATGCGTCAAGACCGTCGAGTAAAGTTGGGGCCATTTCACTCCGTGTCTGTCGTACATCCACTCGCTGTACACCCATACGCTTGTTAGGAATTTGCGGTCGTTTGATTTCACAGCAGCATCCAAAATTGTCTGCCAAAAGACAGGGGCAAGTGGGTCTTGGACCTCATATAGGGACTTACGTCCCCAAAGGCCATTCCAAACGCTTCGAACACCGGCATCTCCATTGATTCTCTTTTGGTAATCTAAGAGACAGGTCCATAAGGTAAGATCGCTGCGATTTTCAAAATTATCCACCAGTAATCGTCTCGGCCATGCCTTAGCAGGCCCACGCCGGTCAAAGTCAGATTCAACCGCAAGACGAAGAGGATTGGTCAAGAGTGCTCTCCATTTTTCAAATAGCTCTGTGTCTTGAATTAACAGTGAACCCGATCTCTGCTGCGGGGTGGTTAAAGCCTGTGTCGCCTCAAGGTCTCTAGGGATCCCGGATGAAATTTTGTTGAAGGTAGCTCCTAATTCATGAAGGGACGCGGCCGAGATATACCGTTGGCCATCGTTTTTATATCTCTGGGTAGATAACCGAATTTCCCGCTGGTATAATTGGCGATGAGGGGCATGAGAAATCCGATGGAGGACAAAGAAATTCGGCTTCACATCTCGTAGCCCTATTCTCACCATTCGCATTACTGCGACACGGTTACATGAGATTCAGCTGCGCAGCACTCGTAGAAAAAAAAGTGTTAATGTTGGAGGGGTGGATCGGCTGCGACAAAAGATTTAAATGGATTAAAGTTCCCAAGCTTTTGATAGTGGCTTAAGATAACCAGCCGCATTACATAAGCGAACTAAGAAGCACCAATGGAAGTGGTCAGTTATTGTCACTATTTAGCCGGACTTCTAGCGCTTAGTCATTAACTAGAGCACTTCCCTATCCGAGCATCCAATCATTCGATTCTCGAATTGCTTCATTCAAGTTCGACAAAAGCTCAACAGAAACCAGTAAATCTATCGCCAGCCTCCGAACTTCTCTCAAACAACCGCAAAAATGGGGTATGTGTATATCTCATGTCCCAATACCACCTAAACACTCATTCCGAATGCCAATGGCCTTGTTCCGTACCGTCACAGGCTTAAATACCTTCAAGCGTAACCGAGTTAGCTTCGTTGACGTATGCTAACCACGCACGTAGACTTGTCGACGCCCCCAACAAGGTGCCCCAGCACCAAAAGAACTACCAACAAGCCTATAATCAGCACACCCGTCTGTGGAGGATCGTACGTATCTAATTTCATATGCGTTCTCCCTATTAAACCGAATGTCGATTAACCGAATATATAACGCAGGGCGCACGAAGCAACGTTCTACTCATGCCCTACTACGTCCTACTTTACGGAACCGGCGCAGGTTTGTCCTTCCAATATGATCCGTAACGAACGATAAATTCTAAATACAATGACAGCCACTATGTACATGATGGGACGCAAAATCTTAGGCTACAACACGTGGTTCGGTAAGAACTGAGCTGGAAGAACACGATCGGAAACCAAAATGCGGATAGCCGAATTGGAGAAACGAGGGCGACCCTACATGTTCCATAATGCCGAGGATAGACAGTCGTTCGCACAAATCCTTACATTTTCTGCCCTACCGTATTATTTTCATATGTGCCCATAGTCTAAGGAATGGCCGCCAAGTTATTAAAATCAATCCATGACGCCCCAGGCACCGAAAGAGTGCCTGCGATGCCTACTCATCTGCCTGCATATGAAAATGTTATCTAAGTACAGTTTAGGTTGATGAAAGTTTGTCCTTGAGTTGCTGTTAATACAAGCCAGCAAGCTAGTAGACTTCATTCATCATGCCCTTTAGCTATTGCGTACACTAGTTGGTCGGAACACGTTTAGTATCCCTCAGCACCGGGAGCCTTTTCGTCCTTGCGTAGACTCATCAACAGTTCACGGAATCGCTCTTTGCCCGAACCACTCGCACCACCCTTTTGACCTTTACCGCTTACATCAACCAACTTAGAAATGCGTTCCCAACTTGTACCACCAGAAGTGGTATCGTCTCGACTTGCTAGGAACTGTTCTGCATCCTTGCGGGTCTGTGCGATAGTCTTCTCTTTCTTAGTGTTGTAGTTCTCGTAGAAGTCGTCGATGTTCTGTTGCGCCTCCTTAATCGTCTCGGCCTTCTGAGCAGCAAACTGTTCGGCTCGCTTGGCGTTGTCGGCGTCTCGCTTCTCGCGCCACTGCTTGATGACCTCAGGCTCCTCTTCCTCCTCAGCGTATGCGTTGAAACCCGAGTTATAGCTGACCGATGGGCCGGTGATGGTACCTCCAGGAGCAACTTGCTATTATTCAAACGTTAGGAGACAATTCCCTTTAATTAGGCTCGGAAGCTACGAACCTCATTGGATGTGCTGATATCCGGGAACTGGCTTTCAAACTGGGTGCTCTCGCCGCCACTTCCAAGAAGATCGTCAGAAGAAGGGTCCGCTAAGGCGGCAGACTCGTTGCCGGTCGTGAATTGTGTGGCGTCATCACCAAGGAGAGCGCGTTCGCGAGCAAGGAAGTCGTCGGCGGATGGCGAGCCAACTTCTTGGATTCCAGTTTGAGCTATGTAAAAGAAAGGAATGAGTTAGCATGCGGTATGATACAAAATGTGCAAAAAAAAAACAAAATAGGAGCAGTTTCACTTACCACCAGAATCAAAGTCGTCCAAAGACGGGAATCTGTCCGCCATGATGAAATTGGGCAATTCTGTCGAGACTTGTAGGTGAAAATATATGCGGTAGACTTCTAGTGTTTATATTCTCGTTGTTGATAAACAGTATTCGGACTTTTATGTCTAGGCGCAGGTTGGTTGAGTTGTCGCAAGCAGGGTCATGAATTAATTACAAGGCTTAAGCTGTAGCCTCTGTACGAAGTACAGATTTACTCCGAATTAAAAGCACGGTGCAGCTGGTGTTACTGACAGTTCCATATACACTGTACTTGCATATCTTATCGTCGCTGTTCCTGAGGTAACATTAGGAAAGTCCAATGCGCAAGATGATTGGTCCGATCAGCTTATGCATGTGCATTGTTGGTCACGTGACTCCGTACTTAGATTGGCTTATGCTCCACTCCAATCCGCCGCACTCAGAACTGTCTCTCATCGATTTCTATCACCTACCCAAAGCTAGATATTGCAAACAAAAACAGAAGCAAGCAAGCAATCCGGGGCGGTTGCTGCTGACCGCGCGTAGTCTTGTTTCAGTTTTGAACCGAGTCATTTCCCTTGCTCTCGTGGTATTTCGCAAGTAGGCTAGATTTAAACCCATCTCCTCATCATCTGCCCGGCTCAAGATGAATTCCGGTAGCCAACTGTAGATTGACATAACGAGTAAACAACCAACCTCCAAATTTTCGACAAGAATCATCTCACTACAACACAACACGGCTCCCCTAAACTTGAAAGGCTTCGCGAATTAGCAGCATGGCTTATAACGACGATGCTGTGTTAGCGAAGCTCTCCGCCCTCTCCGAGGCGGCAGACAGCATCGTGACTGTAGCCCAATGGATCATGTTTCATAGGTAGGCAATCTTGAGCGCATGCATATGGCGTATTACTTGGGGCTTTGTAAACCATCAACTAACGTGTCTGGTAATTATCAGGCGCCATGCAGATCGGACGGTTCAATTGTGGTTCCAGCGACTGAAAGACTCTACAAGCCACAAGCGACTAAACCTCATTTATCTTGCTAATGGTAAGTTCTCGGCATAAGTCACCTACTAATCGCATCCCTTTTGGGAACCGCCGCTGCTTCATCGAGACTAACTAATTCACAGAGGTCGCGCAACAAACCAAGGCTCGTCATAAGGAGGATTTTGTAGTCGCTTTTTCACCTATCATCGCAGAAGCTGTCGCCACTGCTTACAAGGGTGCTCCTACAGATACACAACAGAGAATCCAACGAGTAGTTGACGTTTGGAGAGATCGCGATGTTTTTGAGAAGCCCATTCTAGAAGCTATAGATGCTCGCATTCAAGGTAAGATATTATCCTCTAGTAACTTTAAAGATTTATCTCACTAATTTACCACAGAAATCAATCAAGCTCGCGGCAGTGCCAAAGCCGGATTTGGTGGTTCCATTTTCGGATCTGCTACTTCCATTCCGGCAGAGCTAGTCCCTCTAACCACCCCCCAGCAGAATGTCACGAAGCTACTTCTAGGCACGAAGACTTCGGTCAACGCTGCCAACCAAGAGTATGACAAATTGTTGGGCCCAGGAAGCACCGCCCCTTCCGCCCCTGTGTATGCTGCTCGTCTAAGTGGATTGCTCAAGACGTTAGCACAGGCAGAAGGAGCAGTTGATCAGTGTGTGAAAGCCCGCCGAGAGCTTGTTGCAGCGCTTCAAAAAGTTCTCGACACCAACAGGAATGCTTTACTTTCTGAGGAAGATCAGCTTGAGACATTCGTGAGGAGAAGGGCGGAGGTGGAAGATAAGAAGACTGAGGTTGAGAAGGCAATCATGGCGGGACTTCCAGACGACGAGCCATTTTTATCAAGTAACGGCCCGAGTACCCAGCCAGACCCAGAGCCTGACAGGCCGGAGGTTGAGGAACTCACACCGCCCCCGATTGAGCCGGATTTTCCCGAGGAACCCGATTCTTTAGACGAGCAGCAATCCTTCCCAAACATCGCCCAGGTAACCCTCTCTCCGCAGTCAGCGAAACATGCCCTCGAGTTGCATCCTAGTCCTACTTCCCAGTTCAAGTCAGTGTCGACGACGCTCAACGGGTCCAAGAAGCGAAAGCTTGACGAGAGTAATGACTTTCCGGATCTTGGGGAGGACGATGGTATTGACTCGGATGTCGCCGAGATGCTTCGCCGAGACAGTGGTTCATAAGGGTAGCAACGGTGTTGGCCCGGCCTCATTCCCATGAAAAGAGGCTAGGCAGTGTATAATCATAGGAACCTTTGCATTTCCGGGGCGGGGAAGGCTTTTTGTCGCGGCATACTTTGGAATTATGTCAACCGCTACGATATTTCTATCACGAAAATTTATCCAAGGAGGGATGAATTGGTCTTTTCTATTCATGGCTGGGAAAAATTCTTAACTAATGCAAAATAATTACGATCAACCCTCTAGTATATCAGCTCGCATCAAGAGATCAGCACTGTTTTTTGTATTTCAAGTATCAATGCTATCGTTTGCCTACCACATATGCAGACTACGTGGAGAAAGGTGTCTCCCGGTCATGGTGGCGCTTTCCTGCCGGGTTCCAAACTTTCGGAGCTCGGCTTCTGCGCATACGACCAGCTCCGGATAGGCACATCAGGTTCACGGCCGGCTCTCACCCCTTGTTTAATCCACTAATACCAAGCGTACTCTACTATCGATGGCATTGAAATGAATGTTTGGGCTTGGGGAAATTATAGTCCTCGACTATCCAATAGTTATAAAAAAAAATCAGTATTTTGCAAGTTTCATCCGACTCTTCTCTGCATTCTACATTTCAAGCCTCCCATGTTAACATGACGTTAGCAATTATTACCTGTTTGGATAGTCTACATATGAGGTCACAAACACATAACCTACAGCATGTATTTCTCTAAAACAAAGTTATTCCTTCCAACTACATTGTTAAATACCTTAATTACAGTTCAATAAGTTATTCTATCTTATTTACAAGCAGCTACTATCACTATTAAAATCCCACTAACCCTATCCAGGTTTACTGAACTTACAGACCGGAGTTGTGCCGACTAGCTGAGTTTATAGGTACATAAGCGCTAAATTCATGGCGCTGAACATGATTTAGCGAATAACCTTGGAACCCCATACGACGTTGCTCGAGTTTAGTGGATGACGGCATTCCTACCACTCAATCTTTTTTCCCCTTCCTTTCCTTTTTTTTTCCCGAATAAAACTACCAACAGAAATCTGTACGGCGCGACCCAAGTGAAGCCCGAGTCAGCTTCGCTTCGATGGTGCGACCGCGCGCAAGGGTAGCTTTATATGGTCCATGACGACGCTACGAGAATAAAGCGCTCAAGATGCCTTCGCGAGCGTTGGGCCGCGCTTTAATGGGGAGTCTCCCGCAACGCGGTGCCGGCATCGCAAAGCTCTCCCACCACCACCAACTTGTCGGCTTACCTCGAAACGAGCTTCCCACCTTCGCGAAACAACCAATTTCTCTGGAAATCTCCCTTCGATCTAATTTCCATACCTCTTCGTCTACTTCTAAAACAATCCCCACGTCATTCCGTCCCGCCCGATCGCAAACGCCACGAGACTTTTCTCCGAGCCCGCTCGGCGTTACTCCTACCGCGCGCTCAACATTGTCAAACCCACCTTGGCAATCTCCAGTCAGCATCCTACGGAACTTCTCCGCAAGTCGGTCGTCCAACCGAGAAAGTCAAAATGTTACAAATCCGAGCCCGCAGAAGCAAGACGTTGGGGTTGCTACTTCGGAAACAGCGACGGCTGCACAAGACGGTGCGCAGTCTCACGAGGGCTTTGCTAAGAGTGAGAAAGCTTCCAAAGCGGCCCAAATCAACTTGCGGGCTCGTCTATCCCACGAAGGAAAGGATGGCAAGAAATCTTCGGCTTCAATGAACGAGATATGGCGTTTGATTAAAATCGCAAGGCCAGAAGCCAAGAACCTCATTATTGCTGTTGTCCTACTCCTAGTCTCTTCATCTCTCTTTGTCTCGCTCCCTCTTGTTGTTGGGAAAGTCATGAATCTAGCTACATCGAAACCCATTGAGGAAACTGAGATCTTCGGCTTGTCACTTTACCAGTTCTTCGGTGCCTTTGGTCTAGCTCTCACTGTGGGCGCATGTGCTAACTTCGGGCGTATCATTTTGCTTCGGATTGTCGGCGAGAGGGTTGTTACGCGCCTTCGGTCACAGCTTTTCAGAAAGACCTATGGACAAGATGCCGAGTTCTTCGATGCGAACAGGGTGGGTGACCTGATTTCTCGTCTTGGTACGGATACGATCGTTGTGGGCAAGAGTATTACGCAAAACGTCTCAGATGGGTTAAGAGCACTCGTAAACAGCGTATCAGGACTCGCATTGATGGCCTGGATCAGCCCTAGTCTTACTGCCGTCATCTTGGTTGCTGCTCCGTTCATCGGCACCGCTTCTTTCATTTATTCTCGGATTATCCGAAGAATAAGCCGCAAGATGCAGCAGAATCTCGGAACTCTAACCAAAATTGCGGAAGAGCGCCTCGGAAATGTCAAAACAAGTCAAGCTTTTGTTGGTGAGGCTCAAGAGGTCCGTCGGTACAATAATCAAGTCAGGAAGGTTTTCGAGCTTGGGAAGAAGCAATCCATCTACGATGCATCATACTTCTCCGGTACATCTTGGATGGGCAACATGACAATAATTGCCTTACTCTGGTTTGGCGGGAACCTTGTGAGAGACGGTATAATGACCACCGGCGACCTCACTACGTTCGTCATGTACGCATTTTGGGCTGGTGGGGGTTTATTCGGTGTCGCCAATTTCTATTCCGAATTGATGAAAGGAGTCGGTGCGGCTACGCGCATCTTCGAACTTCAAGACCGAAATTCGGGTATTTCTTCAACGAAGGGTATTAAGGTCACATCAGCACAAGGCCCTATCAAATTTGAGAATGTCTCGTTTGCTTACCCTACCCGGCCGGCTGTCACGATTTTCAATAGTCTAAATTTCGAGATACCCTCGGGGACCAATGTGTGTATCGTCGGTCCGTCCGGCGGAGGCAAGTCGACTGTATCATCCTTGTTGCTAAGATTCTACGATCCCACTTCCGGCTCTATCAGCATCAACGGCGTAGATATCTCCAAGATGAACACTAAGGCGCTACGACGCCGCATTGGCATGGTATCTCAGGAGCCTGTACTGTTCTCAGGGACTGTGGCCGACAACATTTCGTACGGAAAACCAGATGCTACCAGGCTCGGGATTATTACAGCAGCACAAAAAGCCAACTGTGGATTTATCAGCGATTTCCCGCAAGGTCTTGAGACCCAAGTCGGACCAAGAGGCGCGCAACTTTCGGGTGGGCAAAAGCAACGTATCGCTATTGCGCGGGCCCTTATCAAAGACCCCGACATTCTCATTTTAGACGAGGCTACGTCGGCTCTAGATGCGGAATCCGAGACAGCAGTCAATCTAGCACTGTCGGCACTATTAAAGGGTCGCCGACGAACGACTATCTCTATTGCGCATCGATTGTCGACTATCAAGAGATCCGATAAGCTTATTGTACTGTCTAACAACGGCACGGTTGCAGAAGTTGGATCGTACGAGGAACTCAGCTCCAACCCCAATAGCGAATTTACGCGATTGATGGAATGGCAGATGAGTGGAGGTGAGATTCCTACCAAGGCAAAAGAGCCCACGCTCTCGGAGTCCGAGATCATCGAGGAAGAACTCGAAGAGACGGACGAAGAGGAGCTTGGAGTGGAAGAAGAAGAGGTGAGAGAAAAATCGGAGCGGCGATAGTCATGACTGTGTTTTGATATACCATTCTATGTTTGCATATAAAAAAGGGGGCCTCGGGGACGGCTTTACTCGTCTTTCTGTCTTGCGTGTTTAAGGGAGCACGCAAAAAAGGTGGGTGTTGGTTTTACATCACGTGGTTCTTGAACAGAAGAAGAGAGGAATATATTAGGCCATATAAGGGGGTGGTGGGTTGGGTGATGATTATGGACATGTGTATATTGTATGAGTAATTTCGTCCAGAACTCCACTCGATACCACCCGATATACATTTTTTGGACTCGGGAAGATAAGTCCACGGATCTTGGATAGAATAGGGGAGAGGGTTCGATATAGGGGAATATAGAAACCCGATGGTATAATGAATAAATACCGCTCATCTTGTATTTATTTGTGTGGTGTGATATATATATTTGATGATTTCCTGCAACACCTTCTCCTTTTCGTTCTGTTTTATTTGCTTGGTTATGTGCTACGTACCTAGGTACGTATGGGTGTTAGCCGGCGGTGATGTAAATCTACCCGCGTCTAATCAATCGGCGCTGTAATCTATCCGCTACGGATCCTATAAAGCAAACGACTAGGGTGTAAGTTAGCGGGGCCCCGCCTATAGCTCGCGCGCTATCCACCTAACGTTTAGGGACTTTAACCTTATTTTCGTTCCTTAATCCACTGAAGGAATAGCCTCTAACTGGAATGGATGGCATGTGAAATTTATAGGTATTACCGAACCCCACCAAGTACGTCGCGTCGTTCCTTTTAAGCTTCACTACCTCGGTGAGTCTGGGGGTATGACATCGATGTTTCTCATTCGAGGGAATACGATGTCGTCGTTAATCCCGGTAGTACGGTGAATTTCAACTATTCAACCATAACTTATATCAGGATTCACTTGAACCGATGCAAATAATCTAAAATATATCTACTTCTCACTATAAGTTGTGTCATTCCAGTGCAAAATAAGCAGCAATTGTTGGTGTGACCAACCACCTCGCATAAGAGATATCATCTCATCGTTTCTATTAAATCGTACTATTTCTCACGAAGCTCTTCATCTAATCCATGTACTCCTCATTAAGTCGCATATAAAAACAACACGAAATGGGTGATATAAAAACTATCGAGGGTACCTTCGACGTCGACGGCGCAAGCCTCTTCACCAAGTCCTGGCTCGTAAGTACACACCTAGCTTTTGCACATCTCCGTATTAACACCCAATCTAGCCAGAAGGTCCCCTAAAAGCTAAACTCGTCTTAATTCACGGGTTCAGCGACCATGTAGACCGCTACTACGATTTCTTCCCCACACTAGCCCGTCGCGGCGTCGCCGTCTTAGCCTTCGACCAGCGCGGCTGGGGCCGCAGCGTGAAAAAGACGTCGGACCGTGGGCGCACGGGTCCAACATCCACGGTGCTCGCCGACATTGCAGCTTTCATCCGAGCGAAAGCGCTACCAGGAGACGACGTACCGATTTTCGTTCTCGGACATTCTATGGGCGGCGGTGAAGCCTTAACGTTAGCTAGTACACCGCAATACGATGACCTAATTGTTAAAATCCGAGGTTGGATCCTCGAGGCCCCGTTCCTGGGTTTCGCACCCGCGGTACAACCGAGTAGACTTACAGTCGCCAGCGGCCGTCTCGCCGCCCGCGTGGTCCCGCATTTTCACCTCTACCGCCCGGTGCCGCCGGAACACGTATGTCGGGACCCGGAGGTGCAGAGGAGCATCGCGGCGGACCCGTTGCTGCACGACACGGGTACCTTGGAAGGATTAGCCGATATGATCAGCCGCGCGGAGAATCTTTCCGCGGGGATCGTTACGCCCAGGCCGGGAGTCAGGTCCTTATTTCTAGCACACGGGACCGCGGATATGGTGGCTAGCTATGGAAGTGTGGAGGCGTGGTGGGAGAACCAAGGGAAGAAGTTAAAGGACGGCACGTTTAGGCCGTATGACGGGTTTGCGCACCAGTTGCATGCGGATCCCGGGAAGGAGGAATATTATCGGGATGTGGGGGATTGGATACTGGAGAGGTGTGGTGGTGATGGTAATGAGATGGTGGGAAAGACGCCCGAGGCTAAATTGTGAAGTGTGCCGCAAAAGGTTTTCGAGGTAGGGTGGTACACGTTGTGCTATTTACATAAGTCTATGCGATATCTAGTTATGTTTTTGGATCGTATGTATGTAAGATAATGTTATGTGCCGAAAAAGGGTACAATGGGAAGTTGAATATCTGGTTTTCTAGGATTATACATAATTCACATGTAACAATCTGACAGTATTACGATTTGCTTAATATCGTGGGCTCGTATCTCAATTAAACAGTCGAGCCACTCGCTTGGTCTCGAGCTAGCACACTACAATAGAGCAAGGTGTATATAGAATGTGATCAACCAGTACATCTTTCTTCCGGTGGTCGCCACTCCAGCCCTAGTTTCTCAAAGACCCTTCTCTCTGCCACCAACATATTTGGCGCTGAACCATTATCATTACTCTCAAGATCCATCCAGCTACCATCTGTTCGACTTCGAACCCCACTACTGTCAAATTTCAACCCCTTTTCATATTTGCAATATTTCCTGAGGTCTCTTTGGAACGTTGTGCCGCCACTCCATGCGATGACCGCAGATCCGACCGTTTTCCAGGGGCTAATAATTATGTCGACTCTTCGGTGAGGATGAGGATTATTTGTTGATTTCGTTTTATCCCGGTTAGGATTCTGCCACACCACGAGCGCCTTATCCAACGTGTCAAACCCGCTGCCCGCTTTGCTATTTTGTCCCTTCCATGCGACCGTAGTTTGCCCACGCTCAGTATTCTTAGTGCTCAGAATAAGTGTGTGAGTGATATACTCGTCCTTTTCAAGGCTATTAACAATTTCCACAATGAAATTAGAAGTAACGGTTGCGTCTGGGTGGCTAAGAATAACATCAACGTCGCCGCTTGCCTCTTTTCCTCTCCTGTAACCTCCGACGATAGTCATCCGGAAATCTTTACGGATCTTATTGGCGTGGCTCAGGATAACTTGTCCAATATCTTCAACTTCATAACGAGGGATCTTTTCCTGGAGCTCGTCGTAGTACTTTACGCCTATCTGCTGGACCCTGCTCAAATTACTCCACTCGTTCTCAATGATGTCGTCGAGATCTCGCCATCCTTTCTTATAGAATTCACGAGCAGTTGTCTCGGCTACACCCCATATGTCGTAGAAGAGTTGCAGAACTGACATTTTCGGGTCCTTTTTGGCATCCTCAACCTCGTCTAGATAACCGTTTACTTTCCATTGCTGATAAAGTACGACTATTTTGTCGCCACACCCAGGCAACCTTGAAACCTCTAAATTTGACGTTAGATATAGACCTTTCATCGATTCTTCGTACGAAATACTAACCAGCTGGTTGCGAAATGAGATAGGGGTAAGCTGCTATTGAGGCGATGCTTGTGGAATAGGCTCTCACACCTATTTTATCGCCTTCGAGGGTTCTCAGTGTCCGGATTTTCTTCAACTCCTCGATGAAAGGATTATTAGGTGGATTAAAGGGAGTTGGACGCTGGCAAGAGTAGGTAGTATGCAAGTAGTCTGGGATTGGGGGCATTTGTGAGCGACGCTCATGTTCGGATGTTGACTCTTGAACCAACGCAGGTCGTTTTGGGTGGATCGGTGTCCTAGGATGCTGCGATGCGGATGTGTACGCTTGTGAAACCCCCCCTTTCGGAGTTACTTGTTCGTCGCCGCCTTCTTGTTTAGCACGTCTAAGGATATCGTCGGGATTTGGCGTGGGTTTGTTGACGGATTTTTGTGTTCTACGACCATGGTATACCAGATATCTGTCTAAGGGGAGAATTAATCCTGCAGCCGTACAGTCAGTGAACCAGGCAAGCTTTACCACTTTGATGGTGGATCTATCGTCTTTCTTAATTGTGCTGTTGGATCTTTGGTGTCGTCTACCGGTCGAACCATGAGAGCCTGTACTATCATCGGAAGTCTCATCCCCGTCGAGGGGGGTTGCCGTTTTAGATTCGGGTGTTATCGAATTGGGGACTGAACTCTCAAGCCTCCTACGCTTCGTTGGTGGAGACGATCCATCTACTTGCGTTTTTGGGCTGAGGACGGAGGCGGGTATTGGACCGATATCCTCAGTTATAATTTTCCTGCGTCTTAGCTCAAATGTCGCCCTTTCCTTATTGGATATTTTGCCGAGTACAACGCTCGCTTCATTGATATCATGGGTCAGCGACGGTATTTCCGCCTCTAAGTTTGGCAGCTCATCAGGTTGAATATGGGTAGGCAGCAAATAGATAGAAGGGAATTCAAGGGTCATTCTTCACGTTTTATCGTATATTCGCTGAGAAATGGCCCTGCAGTGGTATGCATGTGTAGTATACATGTCTTTCTTGGGTATTTGCTTGATAGAGGTAAATTGATGAGCAAAAGGCGAGGGCCTTGTTCTTGGTGTAGTGGGCAGAAGTGAATAGATGACACGAGTTTGTAGAGTTACAGAGGAGAAACGTCATTGTTCTTTCCTTTATATGTAACCTTATATTAGGAGATTGAATACCTATGTATTTTAGACATGAAAAGGTAGCAACCCAGGTAGTTGCTCTTGTTTGGGCCTCGTATGAGGGGATAATAGAGTGACTATATGTACCTACCTACACTAAGGCGGATCTACGTGACGTATATTAAGTGGAGACATCGGGAACATAGAAGGTACTTGTACATGAACCACGGGTAGCTGCAGCTCGATAAAAAAAGATCACCGGAGTCGGACAAAGAAAATACCGGGGCAAGTCCCAATAAGCAACAGGGATCAAGTTGGCTTCGGATTGTCAAACCAAATATCAAACTTAATATCATCAAGCCTCACCATTCGTTTAGGTCTGCCCGACAACCTTTGGAATCATAAATAAGAAAGTTCAGAAGGCAGCTAAACTTGATTTAAAGTTCTGGCGAAGGCACAATAGTTTTGCCGATAAAACCGACGTAACCTTTTCTCGTTCCACGCGTTTCTAACTAATCTTAGCGATGCCGATTAGTAGTCATCGTCCTTGACGGAGCGTCTCAACCTTTTTTTTTTCTTCCTTCTTTCTTTTTATTTTACTCTTTGTCAACCGAAATCCAAATTACTATTGACCGTGCGCTCGTCAAACAGCTGACAAACAATGGATACTGCCTTCTTCACCTTTTTCTAGGTAGCATCATTTGCTCGCTAACGTACTAATACGATCCACCGTCCCACCTCAACCTCTCATTCTCGTCTCCAAATCCCACGAACCTCATTATCATTTGCGCCGATACGATCCCTCACTCTCTGTCGCCATGGACTTGGCTCAAAAGCTAGTACGCTCCGTCGCGCGCGCCTTTTACACCGAACCCGAAGAGCGACGAATGATTCTTGTTATTGACGCTCTCGTCCATCATACCACCCTGCGCGATGACGACATGTCTTATTTGTTGCGACTGAACACGAAGGATCTGAACAAAGTTTACAGTAGACTTCGGGAGGATCGCCTATTACACACGTATGCGACCCTTACAAATCCTTAATCTACTCTTTGCTTAGTCTAATCTCCGTCGCTTTAGTTATGCTCGATCCGAGATTAAAGAGGGTAAAGAAAAGGCATCTACCCGTAACTACTACTACATCGACTACCGCCAGGCCATTGATGCTATCAAATATAAGACTTTTATGCTTGATAAAAAGGTACAAGGAGAGGCCATCCCCGCCCAAGAGAAGAAGGAGTACTTTTGCAAGCGTTGCGGAGCGCAGTGGACCCAGTTGGAAGTTTTGGACAACATGGACCCTCTGAGGGGTTTCTTGTGCCATCGCTGCAACAGTCTTTTGGATTTCGATCCTGAACGCGCTGCTGGTGGCCATGAATTGTCTACTAAACTGAATAGCCAACTGAAGTTCATTATCGACGTCCTCCCTAAACTCGACACTATCACTATTCCCGAGTTCGACTTTGAGGCAGCCTATGCTGTATCTCTCCGCGTTGAAAGGGAGCGTGGTAATTGGGTCGCCCCTTCGGTGGCCGCGGAAAGCATAAAACCCACTGCCGTGAAAGGTCTAGCGAACACAGGTCCCCAGAGTATTGCCATCAGCATTACCGATACCGACGGCCCTACCGAAGCCGAGAAGGAAGCTGAGCGCCTCAGGAAGGAGGAAGTTGCCCAGATGAATGCTTTGCCCTCCTGGCATACTACTAGCACTGTTAGTGGCATATCATACTCTGGGGGTCCTAATCCTGCCGTAGCAGCAAAAGCCGACGAAGATGACGTCAAGAAGCCTGAGGAATCGGGTACCGATGCAAGTCATGAAAAAGCGATGGAGGAACTCTTCAGAAACTTACAGAAATCTCAAGAAGAGGAGGCAAGACGTAAGGGAGAGGAGGATGATGATGAAGACGACGAAGATGAGGACGGCGAGAGCGGAGGTGAAGAATTTGTGGACATCTCCGCGAACGTTAGCTCCGTGGGCGAGAAACGTTTCGCGTCGAGCGGCCCCACTAGTGCCGCGGACACTCCTGCTTCGGAGGATAGGCCATCTAAGAAGGTGAAGGTAGAAGAACCCGCCAACGACGGCGATAGCGAGGACGAGGACGATGTCCAATTCGAGGACGTCTAATCCTTGTGAGATGGCATAATGCGGTATATCGAGGGTGAGGCTTGAGCACGAGGTAAGGACACGGAGAGAAGATGACAAGGGAGCTGCATCCTTACAATACAGAGATACCCTATATATAGAGAAGGCATAGCATATTCATATCTTCAACCAGGTAGACGTTAGGCAGGCGTCTAAAAACGGAGTTAATTTTTTTTTGCATTCCGTTTGTAAGATTTTGGTGATTGGTGAAAGCATAATGCCGCCGAAGCAATATCTACATATAGCTCTGCCCTGAAGAAAAACATTATGATACAAACACGAGTAGCTGGGAGGTTTCTCCAAGCGAATCCCATCACATCAAAGGTATCTTCAACATCACGTGCGCACGAAAAAGCCTGGTATTCCGCCCTACAACTCGCGGTTTTTCGCCTTAACCACCCGCTCGTTGTCATTACCCGTCGTGAAACCCGTCTCTCGTGACATTCCGCTCCTCTCCCAAGAAGCGCCCGTTTCCCCGCAGAACGAATTTTGGATATTATACGTATTTTCGCAACTAGATACTTATTAGCACGCTCCTTCGATAACAAGATAAAAACGAGAGCAATGTGATAGAATGTATGGTTAACACTTACATCAAGGGTTAGAGTACGCGAGCTGTTGACTTCTTGGTCTCTGTACACGCCCACCAAACTCTCACTGTCTTGAAATAGACCGGTCTTGAGGCTGATGACGATAAACTGCATGCCGGGGCCCGCGTGCTCTCGGATGTAGTTCTTGATCTTGTCTACGTTGGCGTTGTCAAGCGCAGCGTCCACCTCATCTAATACGAAGAAGGGACTAGGTTGGTAACTGTGGATGGCGAAAAGTAAGGCAAGCGCAGCTATGGTTTTTTCGCCACCGGACAGATGCTCCATATCTCGGAATCGCTTTAGCGGCGGCATAGCATGGTATTTGATCCCTGAAAGATACGGTTTATCCGTATCCTCTTCAATATCTAGGTAGGCTTGGCCTCCGAGTGGATATTGGTCCGAACGTGTGAGGTCTTTGTACACATGAGAGATTTGTTCCTGTATGTGCGTGAAAGCTTTACTGAAGAGCTCATAGCGCTTAGTTTTGATCTCGTCGAAAGCATCCTTTGCAGCGACGAAAGCAGCTTTTGACTCATCGTAATCTCTCTCGGTAGCTGAGAGCCGTGCCTCCACTACTTCTAGGCGTTCTGTTGCTCGCATGTTGGGGTTTAGCTTCTCTAGTTCGCTGGTAAGCGAAGAGATCTTCTCTTGTAGAGTCTCTTCTATGCTTTCGTCGTCGGGCTATATGAATTAGCGTCTAGATCTATGCAATCCTGGTTGACAACTTACATTCTTTAGATCTTCATCTAACTGGTTGAAGTCGATCTCAATGCCGTAGTCATCCATGGCATCGCCCATATTGCCGTCATCATCATCACCATCATCTACATCCATAGCCTCTGTGTCTTGATGCAAAAGATTGTCTTCGGTTGGGAGATGATCAAGCGAACCTGAAACGAGAGGAATGTTGATTTGTTCCAATCGACATCGTCGTAATAGAGCGAATTTTCCGGCACTATTCTTCCTCACCTCTGTCTCCAAAGCACTTATCGCCTTCTGTCTGCTTTCAATATCTTTACTCCTCTTCTGTACTTCCACCTTAGCTGCATTCACTACCTCGGTGCATGTCGCCAGTTCATCCTTGAGTTCACTTAGTTGTTCCTGAAGAGCTGAAAGTTGGTCTTGATCTTCGCCTAAAGCCGCTTCGATCTCTTCCTTCTCAGATTGATATGACTCGATATCTTTAGAAAGTCGCTTCAAACGATCTTCCAGGTTGCGGAGCCTGCTCTCAGTCTCGTTATGCCGCGAGGTTTCCCAACTTTTGTTGCTTTCCAACCTCGCTCTTTGGAGGTCAAACTGTGTGCGTTTCTCATGAGCTTCTTGCTCTAAACTACCTTGTTGTGCTTCGTAGGCTCGGATATCAGAATATCCAAGTCGTTTACAAAAGTCGGCGAAGATCTTATCTTCTACCTCGGCGATTGCAGCCTTGAACTTTTCAACTGATGCTCGCGTCTTCTGCAATTTGTTATCTTCTTCTTCGAACTTGGGCTGCCACTCCTTAAGTTGGCGCTTAACGTGATCCAGTTCCTTCTTCTTACTAGCGATATTTTGATTAAAGGCGTTGAGCTCGCTGTTGGCGAATGCTAGACGCGACTCAAGGCCTTGGAGTTCATTGCGTAATGTTTCTTCTGCTACGCCACGACGATCGGGTTTGGGTAGTTTTTCAAGTTCATCCCGAAATCTGTCCGCCATTTTTTGTAAGTTCTGGACGTCGTGCTCTTCAAAGCGACGCTTGTTTCCCTTGTTTTCCGGACCCCTTCCACCAGTCATCAAACCCGCCTTGTGAATGACGAAGCCTTCCAAGGTTACCGCCTTGACTTGAATTCTTCGCTGGTAGCATACTTGTTTCGCAATTTCGAGGGTATCACATACGATAGAGCCGCCGCAGGCATAAGACATGGCTCGCTCGAGAGAAGAGTCAAAATCGATGGCATCAATCGTCAACCGCGCACCGGAAATGCCCTTAACAGCCGTATTCACCGGGTTGACTTTGATGTTGTCTAACGGGATGAAGGTCATTGGCGGGAATCGCTGGTCCTTTAGATATTGAACACACTCAACACCTGTTTTTTCGCTGTCAACGATGACCGAGTCGAAATCGCGCCCGAGCGCGGTAATGACCGCCTCATCGAACTTTTTCTGTTTCGGCTTGCATAATTCGCCGACTCTGCCTTTAACTCCAGGGTAGATACGCTTTAAAGATGTAACCATTTCTTTGACTCGTGCCTCCTTATCATTCTGGCGTCTGCCGTCGTCCGCCTCTAGCAGCTTTCTCAGGACGTCTTGGAGCTTCTCCTCAAGTTCTGTATGTCTTTGATTGGTGCGAACCTTTTCTGAGTGAAGTTGGTTGAATTCCTTCTTCTTGGCTTCTATCCCGCTTGAGAGTTCCTTGACAGTGACCTCGGTCGAAGTTTTCCGCTCTTGGATGGCCATCAATTCATTCTCCAACTTTTCTAAGGCGGCTTGATAACCATCTACTTTGCCCTTTAAACTATTAACGGTAACCTCGTCGGTCTTGAGTTGACGGTTTAGATTTTCCAATTTGGCCTGATTATCCGCGGATTTGTTGAGGGCTTGCGCCCGAAGAGAGTTGTACTCCTTCCGGTCGGCGTCGCTTAGTTCTTTCCCTTGCTTCTTCATTGTCTCTTTCCATTGGTCTTCGAACTGTTTTTGAGCCTTTTGGACAATAGCTAGGTCCTTCTCGATCTTGGCGATTAATTTGCGCTGTTCGTCGCGTTCTTTTCTAACAGAATCGATCCTCTTTTGGATAGTATCGGCCTGGGTACTTGTCTGCTGCACCTTTTCCTCGACAGGGACAAGGCTATTCTCCTTCTCCTCGATCGCCTTCTCCTGTTTCTTAATATCGTGTTCTGCCTTATGAACGGCTTTTGCGGCCTTGGCCTGTTCCTTGCGGGCGGCCTCGAGCTCCCTTTCAAAGCCTTCAACATTGCGGCGGAATTCCTTCAGATTTTCCTGGTGGTCTTGAATCTTGGCGCTAGAGTCGTCCATAATCTGCTGAAAGTGGTATAGTTTCCATAGGATATGAGTGACAATAGCGGCATCACGGTCCTCAGTTTTCTTTTGAAAGTTTTCGGCCTCGCGTTTCTGCTCTTGATACTGCTTGATTTCGGAATTGATACCGCGACGCCTCTGAAGCTGGAAATTGGTATTTTCAGCGGCTTGATCCGCTTCGCTTTGAAGTCGTTCGTAATCGGCTTTGTACTCTAAACTGCCTGAAATCTGCTCGATCAGTCGAGTTAGATCCTGAGGAGACTGGGCCGCGATGGCCTCGACGTCACCCTGAAAAACAAGGAAATTCCGGGCCTTAATAAGAATATTCTCCTCTTCGAGAGCTCTGTTATACTCCTGAGCCGAGACAACGGTATCGTTAATGCGATATTCGCTCGAACCTTGGCTTGTAATAGTGCGCTTCCATCGCTGTTCATCTCCGGCGTCGTCCTCGTACACAGCCATAACCCAGGCGTTCTTTGGATCGCTGCGATTTGGTTTATCATCGTCGTCACCATTAACGTGCCCGTTTGTATGTCCATTTGTAGTCGGCTCGGCGGCCGAACCATCGTCGTTAATCTTGGATGTTTTCAGTACTCGACCGCGATATACCAAATCTTTTAAATGGGCCGAACGTAGATGCGACGACTTGATACCTAGGACGAAAGATATGGCGTCCATACTACACCGAGTTAATGTCCAAGGGCGCGTAAAAAACAGGCATTAGAATATAAGAAAAAGAACGTACGAATTAGATTTACCGGATCCATTTGGACCGATGATGGAGGTGAAGTACGAATCGCCGAAGAGGAGAATATGATGTCCCTTATAGGACTTGAAGTCTTGAAGCAATTGTTAGTTGATCGCGCACAAGACTCGCCGGAATAAACCACATACTGAATAACTCGAGGCGAATGAGTTTCCCCATCTTGACTTAATTGGTAAAGTCGTATCGTGGGCAAGTAGTGAATGATGGCTGCGGGATAGATAGATGGTTGTATGAAGACGCGACGCGAGAAATATGCGAAAGGGGACCCAGTGTCGCTAGGCGGCCTTGGATCCGATTTCAATTAAAGTTATGGCATTTCAATGGACGGCGGAGGCAATATTAAAGTAGGGCGCGTCGGCGCATACGAGGCATTGATTAGTAGGTATGATGCCTAAGGAAGGAGAGAAAGTTTAGTATGTTCAATGTTAAGTCCGGTCGGTACATGTAAGTTAGGTAGATCGCGATGGTACCTCTATACTTTTTTTTTCCTGGATGCTTTGCTTTGCGGGAGGTACGAGACGCGACTTCTCGGTGCGGACGCGGGACCTTCCTTGTCGATTAAGGCAGTTTTCAGAGAGACAGCTGTTTGTCAGCTGTCATCAACAACTCAGTTATTGTGGGTTCAATACCAAGTACATAAACTTCTAGTGGTTAAATGTAGAAATGCGCTATCACGAATTTGGATGTATAGCATTCCTCCCAAAGCACATCATGACACGAACCACATGAGATCTAGATTTACCAAGCATTTACCAGCAACCACACTAGAAGATTCAATGCTGGTAAGATCTTCCTCAAGAAAATACCCTGCATAGACAGACGTCACTATTGCCGCCGACGCCCAGGTGCTTTTACTCTTAAAATACGCCATGCGGATACCTAGGTACTTTGATATGAGTGTATAATGTACGCAAATGATAAGTACATAAGAGTCAACACGGCGCTATACGTCTAATGGCGTCATCGTACCTTGCCTACATGTACCTTTTAGGGGTCCTGATAGGTATTCTATAGTACATTTCTAAGGTTATCGTTTTATCATATCTGCCTACATATGTATCAATACATAAGCTTTAGCTTACGGTAGCTGCCTCTACCTAAGGCAGTTCTTGTTTTATCTGATTTCTTTTTCCTTTCTTCATCATCCATCACCTCGGTGTAGATCTTTATATATATGTCAAGGAAACCAATTTTTCGACCAACTATTTCAAATCATATAAATTTATCCATTAACGGTTCGGTTCCAGTTCTAAACCCATTTATTCAGAGTTTAAAATACTGGGTATATACTATATGCTCTACGTGTTAGTTACGATTCTACATTACCTAGAGTTACATCCGTCCTGCATTCAGTCGAAGGGGGTCGTCTCCAGACTTTTTTTTTCTTTCCTCTTCCTGGTTGTACCTAGTGTAAATAAGAGCCGCCTACTCTCGTCCAACCACAGCTCGCGCTCGGGACACGTCCTTCAGCTTCCTCTACCTACAGGATCAAATACTCTCCCACCCAACCTACTTTTTATACCTTTTTCGATCTCGACGGACCGCATCATCCCTCATTCTAGCAGCTAGCATTCGAGATTCCTATACGCTCCCCTACCGTCTTACTACCTATCACAAGCCTCTGAAGTCACGCAAACCTGCCTCGTGTCGTTCTGCCTACCAAAAGTCACATGCGCTCGTCCTCTGGATCGCTTCTCAATCTTTCGCCTCTAACCTCGACTCATTGCAACCTTACTATTTAATTGGACCGGGTCCTAACATCGCATCCACTCGGATAGACAAGGTGAAGCTGTATTATCTAGCCCACAAAGACGATAATAACCAGGCCCCCGCTCCGATGGTGAGTTCCCTCATCTCCTACTCCCACTCTGCGTCCAAGCTGCCGGCTCGAGTCTCGACGCCCCTTCTTATCCATTGTTCGTTGTCCGTTTGCTGATGGCTGACTTACTTGTCCTTAGAGGAGCCGAAGCTCTTCGTAGAGTATCCTTTCGCAACGACATTCAAAGATTCCCAATTCGTACCCTCGCAGAAATGGCCGATTCCGGTATCCATCCCGTATCGGCCCAGCCCGCCAGATCTGAGGGTATACAAACTGACGACGAAACTGCCCTGACCCCCGACGATACCACGATACCATCTCTGACCTCTTCGCCGCTGCAACAAGCCGTTGTCGATCCTCATAAGCTAGACGATGTTTCTAAGAGTCCCCGAATATCGAGGAACCCTTCCTTTTCGGGAAGCAGTTCGTACCATGAAGACTGGGATTCGTATCCCCCTCTAGATCGCTTGACCGTTTTAGACCTACTCGACAATTTTGCTCTGCCACAGCAGTTGGAAAAACTACAGAAAGGCATTTCAGCCCAAACAGAGAAAGTCCGTAAATCACGGGCTGCTCTTAAGACAAGAGGCCAGGAAGCCAGGGAGCGCATGGTCGAAGAATGGCGGCGCCGCGTACCGTCGGCCGATGAGCAGTTAGTAAGGTATAGGAAGCGCATGAGACAGAGCGTTGATAGATTGAGCCGCCAGTGGAACGATACCAAAGTCATCACCTTGCGAGAGAAGGTGTCCTTTATAGCCGGCGTCATGAACATCTTCATCAGTGGCTACTTACTAGGTGCCTACCCGCAGTACTTCCACCTCTGGTATACGGCCCAGCTTATCTATTTTATGCCTATTCGCTTCTATACATATCGCCGGCGTGGTTATCATTACTTCTTGGCCGACCTTTGCTACTTCGTCAATCTCTTACTCTTCCTCACACTCTGGGTCTTCCCGTCCTCTAAGAGATTGTTCATCGCTGCTTACTGTCTGGCATTCGGAAACAACGCCGTAGCAATCATCATGTGGCGCAATTCGCTCGTGTTTCACGATTTCGACAAGGTTACATCTTTGTTCATCCATATCATGCCGTGTGCTACATTGCACGCCATAACTCATCTATTTCCGTCCGACGAACAGCGCGAACGTTTTCCTGCGCTGTGGGCCGTAAAGAACTCGCCGCCAGGCTCCCCAGCTGCCTATGGCAATCTCATCTCGATGCTCGCCTGGTCTACTATTCCGTATATCTTCTGGCAATTAAGTTACTACTTTTTTATCACAGTTCGCAGGCGCGAAAAGATCGCAGCCGGCCGACCTACCTCATTCACCTGGCTCCGTCGCTCATATTCGAAGACTTGGATCGGAAAATTCGTACTTTCACTGCCGCTTAGCCTCCAGGAACCCGCGTTTATGATGATCCAGTATTTATATGCTGTACTCACTATGTTGCCATGTCCCCTGTGGTTTTATAGCCGATGGGCATCGTCTATTTTCATGATGGTAGTATTCGTGTGGAGCGTCTACAATGGCTCGACATACTATATTGACGTGTTCGGCAAACGATTCCAGAAGGAACTTGAAGCGATGAAGGCTGAGGTTGCTAAGTGGCAGAACAGCCCCGACGTACTCGGTTCCCCAACGATGACGCCAATGCCCATCCCCGATAGTGAAGGCAAAGCCGGCATCACAGATACTGAAGAAGGTGTTGAGAAAGCTGTCAAGGTCCAGGACCCCGCAAGTGGGCGACGACTGAGCGTTGACGAAATTCCATTATTGAATGAGGAGAAACCAGGGAAGGGTGCTGAGCCGTCGACTAAAGATGCGGTGGCTACCGGCATCGATGAACGTATTGAAGATCTTCCGCAGGCAAGGAAGTATACCGGTGCGGTTTAATAATGAAGAATGATGGCATTGTTGTTTTTGGATAGTGTTGGGCGAGTTTGAAAAACTGGCTAAGACTGAGTTAATATCTTTTTATCCTGAGTTTAAGGCACCAGCTACTAGCGTTTGTGGGCGAAGGCTCATTTATGGAAGTCCATAATGGACGAGAGCATAGATTTGTTATCATGTTGTTTTTCCCTCTTTGGATTCGGAGTTTTGTGGATGCACATATTGTCACGGTAGCTGCAGGGACAACAGACTAGCATCGACAGCATTGCTGTCAAAGACTGATTCAGAAGACACCTCGATACCCCTTCAATTTCAATTTTTAGTACAGCAGAGACGGAGTGAGGACGCAGCGGACGTAAGGAATAACGAACGAGCAGCAGGACTTAATGAGGGGGATAACTCTACATCACGTACCTAACCTATCTAAACATTTTAGTTAGAATAAGGCTGTAGCATGCTAAAAGTTTACGATAAATAGTCGCTAATAGTTCTCAACGTCGTGTGTAATAACCTGAATATGTATCCTACCTACGAGACTTAAAGTAATGGTACGATTAGATAATTGACAACGAGACTAATAGATGTGAAGCATTTTAATTAAGTCCGAAGGGGCTTGTTATGCGCGTGTCCCTTTATGATTGATAGTGTTTTTGGTAACTTCCTTAATACATTCCATTCAGTCCGCATGCTCCGCAATAATGCTCATGATGCTGCCACCACTTGGACACCTACCTAGGTAAGTAATGGATAGATTTATCTCCCTCCCTCCATTCACTTAATCACCTATTTGAGACTTCGATGTTAAGTCCGCCGACTAGCACCTTTAACGCCTTGCTAATCATACCAAAATTAAAAACCAGATTCTGTTATCCCTACCGTAACAGTCGGATGCAAATTAGCTCGTCAAATCTCTGACGATTGCAGCTAACCACTCCACCCCCCCTCCACAAAACCGATCCTCTCCTCACGCCAGTTCGTACATGCGAATCTCCCGAAGAAAAATGTTAACGCCGATGCATGCAGATGAGTTATTTGTGTTAGGTTATCCCGTTTAAAGGTGTCGTTAACTAGGTGTGCAGAACGTCGTGGAGATGAGAATATCCACCTCCATCATACACATGGTTTGTATTTAGGGCGCGAAGTTCATTATCGAATGACGCCCCAGTCACTTAGTCGTCCTCCACCACCATCGCTATCCTCCCTCTGTCCTGGTCTTCGGCCGAACACACTCCAGAATCTCAGGGTCTCATCACCAGCCCCTGTTACTATGGTTCTACCGTCGGGGCTCATCGCCAAATACAAGACTCTGTACGTATGCCCTGTGAGACTAACCACCTGAGTCATGGCAGGATACTTCCATACCACGATCTGGTTCTGGCTATAACCATGGGTGGAAACAATTTCGTTAGAGTTCTTGGACCACGAAATATTACACACCTGGCTCCCGGTGTCGATCTCGTTAATAACCGTACCTCGAACTGTGTCGTGGAATATGATTCTTCTATCAGCTGTTCCGCCACCCGAAGCAAGGAGGCCACGCTGGTGCGGGGACCAGGCAATTGCCTTAACAGCTGCGGTGTGGTCCGAAAATTTCCAGAGGGGGGTTTCGGAAAGTTTATCCCAAACCATCAACTTGTTGTCGTTACCTCCACTTGCCAACTGACCGTCTTCGCAATTCCACTTCAAGCCACATACTTCTTGCTTGTGGCCCACGAGCTTCCGCATCCACTGATCAGGCATTCTAACGTCGCGATGATATATCAGTCGATCTCGGGATCCTGACGTGAGGATGTGGGTATTCCAGGCTAGAGCTCCTACGCGAGCAGTATGGCCAGTCATCGTTCTTAAACGTCTAGCCTTCTCGGCATCCCAGATCTGCACCAGACCTTTGCCGGTGCCGATAGCAAGGTGCGTGCCTTTTTGTATCCAGGACACGCTCGTCACCGTATCGTCCTCAAGTGTGCAGAGCCTATTGACCTTGCTCGTCTGTGCATTCCACATATACACACTTGAGCCCAACCCGACGCCCAGAACGTTGGCACTGCCCCAATCCACCAAATTCAAATAAAAATCGTCAGCAAGTTCGGGCGCGTCCAAGACCTTGTAAGGTACTTTGCAGATAGCTCTAGTTTGACGTCTTGGACTTAATAGCATTTGTTGGCTTCCAAATCGCACTGGCGACAAACTATACATGTCTGAGCGTATGTCCATATTCGGGCCATGCCGACTTTGGGGAGTCCGAGATGGAGTGGGGTGGCCGGCGACATTAGAATGGTGGCGAGGCGAGATATATGAAAAGAGATTCTTGTGAGGGGTGGACGGGGTAAAGCTGGAAGGGAGAGTAGGGGGAGGGTTGTTCGGTGGGGTATGAGATCTGGTGCCATCTTGAATGTGTGTCGAGTGCGACGAGCCAGGTAGGTTAGTATCCGGTGTTAATGATTGCGGGGTGGATTGCGGTATTGTGTTGTCGAAGAGTTCTGCCCTCAAGACAGTTGAGAAGATTCGATTTGCTTCCTCGGCTGTTATCAATTAATATTAACGTTCCTCACGAAAGGGGAAACTAGGCCAACTTACTCTTTTGAAAGTGAAGTTCGCCATGCGGCGTTCGCTTCTTCTGACGCGAGGGTGTCGCTGGCGAACCTTCATCATGCAAGAGACTAAAACTAGCTTGGAGATCTTGACCAGAACGCGAGGGTATAAATCTAATATGGTTAGTATAGGTGCATATAGGGAAACCACATGTGAGGCTAATGCTTCCAAATAGAAGACTTATGGGGATAAATTCGAATCCGCCGACAGGGATAGTTCGAGATTCATGACTGTAATTCTCAATTGCAGGGGATAAATGGTATATAGGCACTTTCACTAACCTGTCGCCATTGATACGCTGCCTTTTCCTACTAGGACTGGCACCAGGCGTGCTATCTCGACGGTCGCTAGAGAGTTCTCTTGAAAGAGCCCGCGATAATATTTCAGGGTCGATGCCACCTAAGCTCGTTCCCCGGCCGCTATGGCGTGTAGATTTCGGGTGGTGACTTTCTACATTATTCATTACTTGTAGTCTCGCTCGATCGGACGGCGGGGGAGGTGTAGCTATTCTTGATGGTGTTCGGACGGCCGGGCTTGTCGCATCATGGGCTTGCCGTTTTAGGGGCAATGGTGCCGCAGACACCTTGTCGGACTCTATCGTCATCTTTCTCCCCAACTGCAATCCAATGTGAAAATGACAATCGTAGCAGTAAAGCGACTGGGGAAAGAGTTTGACCAGGATAAGTTTATCGAAGGTGGATAAGGGCGCGGAGCAGCTCGCGTTATAGATTGTGTAAATGAGAAGAGTCGAGGGAGATATGGGTTAGTAGAAATTAGACCAGGCGACAAGCTGGACGAGGTAGCGAGATGCATAAACCGAGATCTTCCTAAGATGTCCCCTTGGAGATGTATGAATTTCCTAGCGCATGCTTTTGTTTCCAGGCGATATGAATCGAAGTGATATTCCAGTCGGAGAGAAGAGTTAGAAATAGACCTGGGTTTCGATTGGTAGGATAGAATTGAATGAATGACTATTTGTTTGTTCGAGCGTTGTTTATTCAATCCTATAGCTCTTTTCTAGCAATTGAGTGAGAGGGGAAAAATAGAAGACAAGATGAAGGAACAAGTTACAGGGTGTTCGTGGACCAATCCGACAAGAAGTGAGGCAGGAAGGCGGTGGTAGAAAGCCGGTAACAATAGAAAGTTGGGAAAGAGGCGGGCAGCTGATTTCGTGGATCGTGATAGATGGATAGAGGTTTAACGGTAGGTAACGAGCAGGATGGACCGTGCTCTAAGGTAAGGAAGGTCAGTCTAAGGAAGTCTGGGAAGTCTGGGTACCCTTGGCTTACTGCTGCTTTACGCTACCTACCTCCCTCCTAATGCTTTACGTGCCTGCAGGTTGCGCGCGACGTGCTTTCCTAAGTACCTATGTACCTGCCTAGGTACAGAGAAACACAGGAGAGCCAGTGCTAATCAAATAAGCCATTAACGTTGAAAGATATGAAGTACCTTCTTCCCAATAAGGAAACCTATAGACTTCTAAGTAGTTATTATCACCTACTCCTGGCATGCACATGTGAAGACCGTGTTTGCAATACTGTTTAAACTGGCATAAGAAATTTTTAGTGAACCTTTAACGCTTATACACCACTCTTTCCTATCAATCCATATATCCATTATTGTAAGCATTTATTTAATACCTAACTTAAACATTATCTATTGACAATGATTACTTAGGCATTAAATATTAACAATCATCTCATACATGTTATTATTCACTACACTATTATAAGTACCTAATATATAGTGTTCAGTGATTTAGATTGTTGCGAATGTTGAATTCCATGTTATGGCCGGGAAGCGCGTCTTGTAAACAAAAAAAAACGGCGTCAATTTTGTTTTTTCCTTTTTTTCATCCGTTTACGCATGCTGTTGTACGCTCAGATGATTAATCTAGCATGAAATGGTTTTAATTGTGGAGGCAGGCTACGAATAAAAAAGAAACATCAACCAACGGAAGCAAGATGTTGGATACCTAGGTAAGAAAAGAACAATAACATGGCGTCCATAAACAGTAATTCAACACGCCGAAAGACTTAGGCCTATTGTGCGGCCCCAATTCGCGATGCGAGTTGGACACGACGCGCCCTCCCTTCTTCCTTTTTCATCATAATAGAGAATTGCCCCTCCTTTAGAAGAAAAGAGAAAGGGAGAGAGAGAGAGAGACAGGGGGCTCCCTGGCGCGGGTTTGGTTGTTTATTTTGCTTGATGCTAGGTGCTGAGGTGTACGAGCTGTCGCTCAGGGACGCGTGCGGCGAATTTTCCGACTGGCTACGCGCCTGTTTCTATTGTTTTCAGGGGTTGGCGTTTGGGGATTACCCTATATTTATAGGGCAGCTTGAATAAGAAGACCATGTAACTTTAGCGTACCTGATTGGTTGTTTTTAATCCTAGACAGTACCTAGGTACATACTAGCATAGTATCTATGTACTTTCGGCGCGTCAATGATGTCCATAATACCCCCCATAAAACCCGCTAATAAAATATGGAAACCACCACCCAGTCATACCCGCGATTTGGGAAGTCTCGGCTCAGATTGACTTATTACTCTAAGGTACATTCCACAACTACATATGTATGTCCCCATTACCTCAACCCAAACCCGCGTTCTTGCTGTCTTGATATATCTACATAGGTACATAATGAAAAAAAGCAACAGCTACACATGCACACACATCAGTACAACTGGTATTGAAATCATCATTTGCTACCCACCTAGTTCCAGAAGACACGACACCCTAAAAAACTCCGCCCAATCGCACATTACCCGTTAAGGATATACTATCATGAAGACATGAGAGCATCACACTCGACTTCTTCTCCCTCCCCGTCGCTATAACATATAAAGTGGCACCAGCCCTACGCCGGATAATCATACTTTTCAATGATGTAAGTCAATCACACAGGTGTCTAAATAGACCCTTACAATCGTTTATGAGTAGACGGTCTATAGAAATACCCAGAACGCGCGATCCCGGTGATTACATATCAGCCATGTCTTCACTCTCTGTATTCGTCCCACACAAGGCTGACTATACTCGTTTATCAACCATTCTAATCGCATAAGGTATATATGCACATGAATACCTGAAATTTTGGTCGCAAGCAGGCTTTATTACCTTGATCACAGGTACCTCGCCCTCCAAGCTTTTCTCACCAAGTTTCTAAACAAGCCTACACCGCGAGTTTGTCATATCAACAATATATTCACTAGCCATATATGTTGCAACAGACGGGCTATTCCACGACCCAATTCCTACTAGTCCTAGTCTGGCTCCCAGGAGATAATCAGATAGGAGAACCGTGACATCTCAGTGCTGAAACCAGCCTAACTCTTAGTTAAGTATGATCTTAGCAATTCCCAATGTGAATTACTAATTCCTTGCCCCCTAAATTAGCGATTGAGTGTCTCAATTATCCGAGCGATTGTTCAGTCGTGTATGAAATCCGGTAGAATAAAATATTTCATGTAAGTGACTTGCTAGTACTTGATAGAAACTCTTTACGCCTCGTATACTTCATGTACCACGTTAGTCATTTTAATAGAGCAACTCAGCTTAGATTCGTTTCCTGCTATTAATCTTCCTTGGCCTGTCTCAGTTATACTCGATGCCTTCTATTTTAACATTGCGCGAAAGGCCTGAACCCTAGACACTCGAGTGCTAGGGTTCACTTTGAGAAGCCAGAGCTTCATTCAGATATAATAGCTTCAGAGTCCCTAAATCGTTGCTCATGAATTTGTAACATGGTCGAGTCGCTGCCTGTTTCTGCCTTGACCCACGAACTTGGATGTATTAACGGGTATAGATTCCAAGGATTATCGAAACACGATGTCAACCATGAACCTCGATGGACGCCGGAGCATAGTTAGTGTACGGTCTTTCGCGGCATTTGAAAGATATGACGAGGATAATAAGGAAGAAAGTAACATCACCGATATCCTCCAAAGACGATCGAGTTTGGGCACATCTATAGCCGAAACCGTCGCGTCGCCGTTAACATTTAGGAAGATATGGGCAGAAACCGCAAATTTGACGCCTGCGGATCGCCAATCCAAACGTCCGCTAAGGCAAGTTGAAATTGCTTCCTGTATCAATATTATGTCTTATGTCTGCTTGAATATAGCTAACAGAATAGGTAGTATTCAGAGTGGTCACGAACATGCCCAAGCCGAATCAGCTTCCGAAACAGCACCAGGTGACCTTCAACCTGCCGAGACACGTTTGCCATCAAGTCCTAATAGAAGTGGTGAGATTCCCAATTGACAAAATACCTTGTTCATTAACCCCATCATAAGGTCGATGCCATGTCCCGGGCTGTCTAAATTCTGACCCCAGCAAACGCAGTGTTTTCTCGCTCGACAAAATCAAGAGAAAAGTCGTCATATTCTTCGCTCGGGCCCAGAGATGGCAACATTCTCCACGCTTTGCAAATCCAGGGTCTAGCAGAACAAGACGGACTCGAGCCCCTAGCGGAAGAAGAAATTGATCCATCCTCATTCAATCTAGTTTCCCCAGGCATTAGCCTAGGGCTTCAAGATTCACTCGAGAAAAGATCAGAGGCCATGTTTTCCGCAGATCACCTAAAAGTCATATTCGATGACACGCTTCTGCTCCGAAATTTTATTACTTTCCTATACGCTTTTAGGCCGAAATCCGTTTCCCTTCTAGTATACTATCTAGACGCCTCCAAGGCACTGAAAGCCATGAATTATGCAAACTCGGTTGTTCGGACATTGGTTCCAGTTGGGGGGCTAGAATATAGCAGAAAAGTAGTGCCTGAAATCACAAATGGCCTACTACTGGACATGGCGAATGAAGCTTTCGAGGTTCTAGCAGGAGAGGATCTACCCGCATATATCACTTACGTCTGGGCCCAGACGGTAAGGATGACGATCAAAATGCGAATCGCAGATACATTACCTGAGAACCTCAAAGAACGTTCAGAAGGACTCGCTGAAGCTTTCTGCCTGACAGACCCATCACGACATGGAAATCCCGTCATTTTCGCTAGTAAGGGTACGTATTCGAACTTCAACTATTTCAATGAGTATATATTCGTGATTTGGTTAACTGGCATATTAGAATTTTACAAAATGACACAAGTGAGTCAATGTTTAAGTGCTTTAAGTGCTTTCTCGAAGATACCTACTTACTCCAACTGCTTCAGTATGCGCCAGGGTACGTCCTAGGACGAAATTGCCGATTCATTCAGGGGCCTTATACCAATCCTTCAAGTTTACGAAGAATGAGAGACAATTTGGAGGCCAGAAAAGAACACTGCGAAACCTTGTTAAACTACCGACGCGATGGGTCCCCATTTATGAATCTCGTAATGGTTGCACCTCTACTTGACAGTCATGGCGTTGTTCGGTATCATATTGGCGCCCAGGTGGATGTTTCAGGTCTAGCGACGGAATGTGCGGGGCTTGAGTCACTCAAACGTCTCCTTTCTCGGAGACACAGCGAATCTGCGCTTAGAGATGAAGAGGCCATTCCTCTAGGTATCAAGGACGACTTCAGCGAGCTCGCCAAAATGTTCAGCCTCCATGAACTGAAAACAATCCAAGGAATAAGCAGTGTACATCGTCAAGCAGAAGGAACAAGCGTCGGGGCTAATTCAGGTTACGAGAACCCGAGAGACCTGATTACCGACGATATTGAACCGGACTTTGGCCTGCCCCTTAATACTTCAGTCTCGTCAGGGGGGCGATTAAGTGGAATATATGAACATTACCTCTTAGTTCGCCCATATCCTAATCTCAAGGTTATATTCGCCTCCCCATCGCTGCGAATTCCTGGTATGCTGCAGAGCAACTTTATGTCTCGTATTGGAGGCCCTCAAGCTACTCGCGAAGTAGTTCTTCGAACATTCGCGAGCGGCCACGGATTCACTGCCAATATTCGTTGGATGACACGGACGGATAACTATGGCAGGAATAGGTGGATTCACTGTACGCCTTTGCTAGGGATCAACAGAGTGGTGGGGGTATGGATGGTGGTTATTATTGACGACGATGCGGGAACTATCCTAAGTCGAACTCGAGACACACCCCCAGTGAACTCGTACGTCAATAAGGAGAGACCTTTTGACAATGACACGAACCTCCCTAGTTTCATCGGAGGGAGAAAAGAGCAGGAAAAACCTCGCCCATCATCGGCTCTAGAGCATACTTCAAAAAGTGATAATTTCCGTTCACCCACACTAAGGTCTAATAAGTCTACTTAGTATTCATGAAGCGGAGAACCAGATTACCCCTTTTTGACATGCGATATGACCTGTGTATCGTATTTCTACGTTGTAATGCATGATTAACTCACAATAAATACAGACTTATTGCCCTGGACTCGTTCTCACAGTGCTCTTTTTGACGATGGCATCGCTAGATACCTAAGTATATAGGTCTCTAGATCACATATAGAAATCTTAACTCCCTAGCAAGCAAAGGACTTGTTCGTGGGGCTGTACTTGTAAAGGCATAACCTCAAATCTCCATGGTGTTGAATACATCCCCTGGAGTCGAGTGATGGTGAACCTATCCTTCATGTCTATTCTTTAGGCAGAACTTCGCAAGTCTTTACGTCTATTCCAGTGGCTAAACTAGCCCCGTTAAAACCAAGATAACGCCACCGCGTCTTGAGTGCAATCAATACTTGAAGTACTAAGTGTCCGCCGCAATGCCAAAATAACAAAGAAAATCTGAGCTGAAAAAAAGGCCGTCAGCCATCCTATTACAACGTCGGTTCCAACTTCTGGGCCAATAATGTACCCATATACCGCATGCTCCTATAGTCATTCCTACGCCGATTCCGCCTGAGCTAATAGGCGCGCTCTCCATCCATTGCAAACTTCCTCGAAGCCTCCCACAACCTCTCTACAGACACCAGCACATTCGCGATTTTGTAGCCTCTCACTCCAGTTACCTCTGGTCAGCCATCTCTCTCCTTCCTCCTTTAGTTCTTCCTCTCGCTTCATCTCTGCAACCATCTCCTTAGCCGTTCTTAACCGCCGAGTGGCAGTGGTTGTTGTCTGTCGTGACATGTGCAGTGTGTCGGATAGGTAATTCAGGGTTTGTACTAAATCTGATGTCACGGAATGCAAAGCTGTCAACGAGTTGAAAGCCGAGGTCGCAGGCCGTGGCATTTCGTCCGAGACCGAGGTAAGTAACGGCAGTAGAGAATCAATAGTATCGGGGTCGGGAGGTATCACCAATGGTGACAATAGGGGGAACGTAAGGTTATGGATTTGTCGTGTCTGGTGCGCTAGGTGTGTGGCCAGGGCCGAGTGTGCAGTAATTAACCTATTGACCTTTGTTAGAAGAGATCTAATAGCATGTATAGAAACTAAGATCGTGATAGCTCACCTTGTGGTACTCCCTTCCACGCCGGACTGCGACCCGAGATCTCTGAGCCCCTCTGTTAACCGTTGAAATACACCATCGGTCGGTCCACCGTTGCTTTCAGTACCTCTTCTGGCCAGTGATTCGACGGCATCAATCTTGGCAACTAGGCTTGGTGGCATGCCGGGCGAGTCTAGATCGGATTCGGAACCGTATTCACTTCCATCGTAGGCGCTTCCTGTCCGCCGGTGACCGCGTGCCGGGGGAGAGGGTATACCCAAATTTGTGCTCTTGGTCCGTCCGTGCTGGTCCGACTGACTTTGCACATCGACTCCGCTATCTCTGATTCCCTCGGTTGCTTGTCGGCCATCGTCGCCTATCTGATCGGATTTGAGACGTGACGGCCCTTCTCCATCTTCGTAGTAATCCTCGTCCTCGCCAGACCCAGACAAAGCATCTGCTAACTCATCCGCTAGGTTTCCAAGCCCGTTGTCTTGACCCATACCACCGGCACCGAGCTCGTTAAGTTCGGACTCGTTCATACTATTGCGTAAGGGCGTCAAGGGCTCTTGGAAGGAGGATTTAGACTGGCGTCGACTGCTGGGCGACATGGTAGGGCTGGAATTTTGGTAGGAGGCATCGATGCTAGACGGCTGACGTGAGTGCCTCGGGGTCTGTGGTGACCTAGGCATGGTTGCGATCTGGTCGGATCCTCGAAATCGATACGAGATAGAAGACCTCGCTACTTAGTAGGGTGAAATGTGAGGTTCGTCGTCGCGCGTCAAATCAAACCATAGGCAGAAGATAGTGCAAGATCAATATGATCAAGTAGGAAGGCCGAGGTGTCGATCAAAAATTGAAACAGTGTCTGGCGTTTTTTTTCTTCTGCATTCGGATGAATGTCTGTATTGAACGGGTTTCCTTGTGATATCGGGTTGCTGATGCTGATTGTACTAATTGTAACGCCTACGGACAAGAAGAGTTAGAAAAGTTTAGGCTCGTCCAATAATAATAGGGCAGATATTGAACAAGGTTAAATCGGTACCAGGGATAGCGCTACAGATAGATGTACTGTACGTACTGAAGATACGGGGCATCACTAATAAAGTTATGTTTATTGTGCAAATTTGAACCTTCTATGCATTTTTACGCAAATTTGGCGTTGTTATTAAAAATGCAAGGCACCTGGATGTTCCTGCCGAGTACCGCGTTAATAAATCTACAACAATATACATACATATGTATATGTCCTACATAATGTTTGTACCTGACTTAGCTACTTGCATGTAGATATACTTAGATACCTAAGTAGTTTGGCGGATTAGGGCCCTTATCACTCAACTTAATTTAGAGCTCATCTTTAGTTAGGTACTTAAGTATCTCTCCCTTCTCACCTCACCCAAATTAACCTTAACAGATCGGTTACCCGCAAGCATCAAGCGCGCCTTGAGTGCGAGGTAGCCTAAAAATTTCATCACCTCTTAAGAGAGCCTTTTCATCTCTTCCATTGTTTTTCCTTTGCCGCTATGGCTACCTTTCGACGTTTCCACCCCGACGATTTGGACAAATTCTCTAAGTGCAATCTCGACCCGTTGACTGAGACATATGACTTGAGTTTCTACCTTCAGTATTTCGCCAAATGGCCTTCATTATTTCAGGTTGCTGAAGATCCTAACGGCAACATCATCGGTTATAGTAGGTTAACATTATGATCTCCCTATCCGGTTATGAGTCTCCACCTAACAGTACCGTGCTTCACCTACAGTCATGGGCAAGTTGGAAAGCTCCCCAGATTATTTCCAGTATTCAGAACACTACCTACCGTGGCATGCTCACATCACTGCTCTTACGGTAGCCCCTGAGGCTCGTCGGCTAGGCATAGGGAAAATCCTTACAGAAAACCTCGAGCTTGCCGCTGAGGTTGGCGAAGCCTGGTTTGTTGACTTATTTGTGAGGAAAAGTAATACTAGGGCAATCAGCTTCTACGAGGGAATGGGCTATAGCGTATATCGCGTAGTCAAGGACTATTATGGCGATAACGTTAACGACCCCACTGCCCATGGCGAAGATGCCTATGACATGCGCAAGCCCATGTCCCGAGATAAAACTCGGAAGCATATCCGGGAGGACGGAAGGGAGCACTCAGTACAGCCTGAAGATGTCTTCTAAAATAAGCTAATCCCGATTGCTATCTACATGGCACCGTCAACCGAATATACGCTCCCGCTCACGTACTTGCTATCCGGACCTAGGAGAAAGGCTATGACATTGGCGCATTCCTCTGCCGTCCCCTGCCTCCTAAAAGCCGCTGTATCATCGTATGGTGCATTAGGTGGTCGCTCGTGGATTTTCCAGCTCTTTTCCATCAGCGGAGTAAATATAGCTCCGGGAGCTACCGCGTTGACTCGGACCTCTCGAGCGCCATTTTCTTTGGCTGCAGCTTTCGTCAAGCCTATGACGCCGTGCTTGCTGGCATCATACGCACCGTGCTTAGCAAAACCTAGGCTTGGGATCAGTGTTGCCATTCGTCAAACACTCGACTTTAGATTGTTGACTACCTTGGAGCCCATGTATGGATGACACATTCACAATAGAACCACCATCAACAATTTTCCTTAGTTCGGCTCTCAAGCAATACATGGTCCCCGTTAAATTAACTGCGATAATCTTGTGCCATTCGTCATCGTCTAGGTCTGCAATTTCCCGTACGCCGTGATGTTTGCCGATGATACCCGCCACGTTAGCAGCGCCATCGAGTCTACCATACTTCTGGACGATGCTGTCTATCCAAGATTCGACCTCCTCCCGCTTGGAGATATCTACTTTGGTAACGGTAAAAGGCGTGTTTAGATGAGCGAAATATTTCTCAGCCTTCTCTAGGGCTACCGGATCTATATCGGCAATACAGACAATTCCCCCATGTTTGGAAAGAATTTGTGTAGTAGCGAGGCCGATTCCACTAGCACCACCAGTAATAGCAAAGACTTTGCCGTCGAGGCTAGTCATGATCATCTTCGAATACGAGGGGGTTAGATGCCAAAAAGGAAAAGGAAAAAAAAAAAAAGAAAAAAAAAAAGAAGGAAAGAAAAGAGGTAGCTCAGTAGGTAGTATTGGTGGGGTAGCACCATTTAACTTAGTTATTACTTGGATGAGAAGAGGTAGTCTACGACCCAAGGAGCCAGAGAACTCCGTAATTGAAAGCCGATAAGAAATGGTTCACTGTTGACTCCGACTCTCGGTGTAAAGGCATGTGAAGTTGGCCCAAGATGTGGATCGGCAACAGAAGTGTCTTGGCTTACCTACCTAGATGTTAAAGTATGCATCGTAATAACGCGACTAGGGTTGGGTTCTACCTGTCAATACGAAAAAGCGGTTTCGATGGACCCTTTAAGTTAACTACCTAGGTAAGATCCCATCTGAGACACGTTCGTGAACGCATTGTTAGGACTTAAAAATGGCCAAATTCTCGAAATAATGGTACGCCTCTGCAATAGTTGAATTGCTTGGCTTTAGGCTAGATGTAAGTATTTTAAAACGAAGTGACTTGCCTTGTTAACTTATTATATTATAGCTATACTTATATTTTATTTAAATACCGTAGTTCTTAAACTGAAAGGCATGTCTAATATCTATTAAGCATTGTTCATGGGATATCTATAAGTGGGCGTAGGTACCTAGGTATCTATGTAATTCTACAAATAACTTTAGAGAATACAATACTATGAGTGTTTATTTTGAGCTGTCTACCCATAGGTACATAATGTTCAAGATATCCATTCCAAGATGATTCAATGTTGAGAGAAACTTGAATTGTGGGGTAATAGAGGGGTTATTAGCGGGGGACTTTCAATACAGTAGGGAGTTCCCCGATACGGTACCTACAGGTAGGTATCTGGACAGCTGCTCAGCTCTTCCAGCCTCGGCCTTCCATCCCCTGAAGTACCTAGGTACTTAATACTACCCCAACCTGAGACAATGGAATAGTGCGTGTCTTCACTGTCGCATGATCCCTGCCTTCTGTTACTCCTCTCCGAGCCCCTAAAATAATGGTTTTGTGGGGAAGTGTCGTCACTCCCATTTGCTAATGGCTTCCATTATTTGGGCTTTGCTGGGCGTCATCCCTCGAAACCTGGGGGAGGTGGATCCTGTCCTGTTTACCTTACGTAGCCCTCCAGCGCTGTTCCTGGTGAATGCACAATGCCCTCCTAGGTACCTACCTACCTACCTACCTACATTTGTGTTCCAACTGCCCGCAATCAATCCTCACCAAGTTTCTTTCCTTCTTTCCTTCCCGTCATCGTGAAGGATTGGTTTGATTCGCAACATTTCTTGCCATCCTATCCCCTTTACCTCACCCATCGCCATTCTCATGCTCACTCCTCAAAACCTCGGATACCTTTGCTTTTAAAGATATTCTTACAAACTCGTATATATCTTAGCTCTATGTTTCCCTAGCTACATACCTATGTAGTTGTCTACAGCATTGTCTTTTTTTCGTATGCTTACTTTTATTTCACGCACTATTAGTTTAGCAATAAAAAATTACCCATTTTATACGTCGCCATGAGGGTGTGTCTCTGGCCTGCCCTCGCGGCTATGGCTCTGGCCCTCGTTCATGCTTCGACATTAACACCACCTGTATTACCTTTGATTGTTCGGAATCCGTACTTGAGCTTCTGGTTCGCACATTCCCGAGATGCTCCGTGGGAGAACTGGCCTATGTTCTGGACCGGCAGCACCGTCGGCTTCGCTATCATGGCCGCTGTGCCAGAGACCAAGACAGTATATCCTCTATTAGGTCGCTCGCAGGACTTCTTGAGGCGTTCTTCTAGGTTCGTAGATAATTCCCGACGCCAATGCTTGTTCTTTCTCCAGCTGATTTCGCGGTAGTTTTGAAGTTTCGTTTCCGAGATATGACGGCGCTACGTTCGACGCTTCCACCACGAATCTGACATTTACCATTCAGGATTCTGATATAAAAATCACACTTTCGTTCCTATCCCCTATTACGCCCACATCGACATTTCGACAATCGCTACCGGCCGGCTATTTGACTTGCATCGTCGAGGGATCGACGGACGTTAGTCTTTACGTTGATATAAACGGGGAATGGGTCAGTGGCAATAGAGACAATAAGATTGAGTGGGGGCTCGTCCAGACCGAAAAGAGTGATAGTGCTAAGACTCCAATCAAGACGTGGAGCATCACACGACATCAAGAACAGCTCCTAACCGAGTTTTTCGACCATGCTGAGTGGGGAACTATTCATATTTCTGCCCCAGCTGATGTTGAACATCAATCCGGTGAATCGAATTATATACGGCGTCATTTTGCTGAGCATGGTTCGTTGGGAAATAAGATTGACGATTCTTACCGCGGAATTTTCGAAGATGAGCCTATTTTCGCCTTTTCCAAGTCCTTCAAGCTTAGAGAAAAGTCGAATGACTCGCCTGGTGGTGCTAAAGACAGCGTGATGTTCACGTTTGCCCTCACTCAAGATCCCGTCGTTCAATTTGCGTCAGCTAGAGGATTGACTTTAATGCGACCCTTGTGGGCCTCTTATTTCTCAAGTGCCCAGGAAATGTTGCAATACCACTATGACGACTACGACACGGCGGTATACCTTGCCAGCAATTACTCCGAACATCTTGCTAAAGACGCATTCGCTTCCGGTTCTCAAGATTACCAAGACATTGCGGCACTGTCGGCACGCCAAGTATTGGGAGCGACGCAATTCTCCGGGACCCCTGAGAACCCCATCATCTTCCTCAAGGAAATCTCATCGAATGGCAATTTCCAGACTGTCGATGTTATATTCCCAGCGTTCCCATTTTTCTTATATACCAACCCCCAGTGGCTGGCATACCTGCTCGAGCCTCTGTTGGAGCACCAACTAAGCGGTCAGTATCCCAACGATTACAGCATGCATGATCTCGGGTATCATTTCCCTAACGCAACCGGACACGGCGATGGGAATGACGAGTACATGCCGGTCGAGGAGTGTGGTGATATGTTAATTATGGGCCTTGCATTGGTGAATGCACTGAGGGATAATACGCAGCCCGCGTTTGCTCGTACATCGCCAACCGAAATAATACCTCTAAACTTGGAGCATATTGAGAATTCGGGCCTGGTTAATTCCTATGGAATGGATCTCACATGGGAAGATATGGGCACAACGGGTGAAAAGGCTGCGGCAAGATGGGTTCATCGATCCTATAAACTATGGAAACAATGGACGGGTTACCTTGTCCGAGAATCGCTCATCCCTGCCAACCAGTTGTGTACCGATGATTTTGCCGGTTGGTTAGCTAACCAGACAAACCTGGCACTGAAGGGAATAATCGGCATTAAGGCCATGAGTGAAATTTCCCAAGTCATCGGCGAAGAGGTCGACTCCAAATGGTATAATAATGTAGCCGACGAATACATTGATAAATGGCAAGAATTTGGGTTATCTAGGGACAAGACACATGCGAAGCTGGCGTATACCTGGTATGGATCATGGACAACACTCTACAATATCTTCGCCGACGCTTTGCTTTGCTTCCATCTACCTACCAATACGTCATCTTTGCAGGGATCGAGTAGGATTGGAAACTCGGAACAAGTACCCATTGAACATGAGGACGAGGCCAGAACTAGCTCGAGGTCAACGTTTATCCCGGACAGTATATATCAGATGCAAAGCGATTGGTACCACGCAGTACTCCAGAGATACGGCTTGCCACTAGACAGTCGCCATCTATATACAAAGAGCGACTGGGAATTCTTCGCTGCTGCTGTAACGAGTAAGAAAGTGCGGACCGAGATTCTTCAGCACGTTGCGACCTGGGTCAACGAGACCGTAACAGGTATGTAAAACCCTTTGCCATACCCTTTTATCGATTGAGAGATTGTATCTAACATAAGAAAAATCCATGTACAGATCGACCTCTGACAGATCTCTATGAGACGGAAGGGAGAGGAGGGTTTCCTGGACCTAATTTTATGGCTCGTCCAGTGGTAGGAGGCCATTTTGCCTTCCTCGCGTTGGAGAGAGCCTGTGGAGGTAAAGCATCCGAGGGTCTGAGGTTTTTAGATGATGCGGCTCCTACAACTGTTGACGTCGAACGAGCATTGATGGCGGATATGATTGAGAATCAAGTCGATATGGGTGAATTGTAATGATAGCCCAATACTTCTAAATAGCCCATTTCGCTTCGGTTTGGATACAACAAAGCATGGCATATGTGCAAATGAGTACCTAAGGTTTAACGACTCGAATCAAGTGAACAATTGGTATAGAGGAGACTACGATCCGGTTTGTTGTATTGCATATGTGTCTTCTGAGTGAGTCTTGAAGGAAAGTCGTTGGAAGCATTGGCCTTCATGTTGTCTTCCTTCTACTTGGCATCGGGATAGTATCGTTTCCGTACATTAATATAACTCGGTAATACATGCATGTATGTACGGTGTAGTATATACCTACACCAAATTGTAGCAAAGTTATAGCGCCGAGGTACGTATCTAGACGATCTAGTCGTGATTGTCGAATACACTACAAAAAGGGTCAGATGTACCTACCTAGGTACCTACATACATGTAATGTAGGTAGGAGCTCGGGTTGCGACATCCGTGGATACTGTTAAAGATCATATACATATGTAATTACCTAGGTAGCTGGAGGTACCTAGGTACACAGTCAATAGTGGATAGAGTGGGGCTGTGATGCCTAGTCAGCCTAGTCTAGGCAGGTACGAAGTACGCTTTACCCACCGTACCTCCCGTACGGTATCCCATCTGCAGCTGAACAATTTTGCCTCCCCATTTTTTTTCCGCCCCTTCAACCCTTCTCATTCATTCACCTTTCATCCATCCTATCTTTTTTTCCTCCTTTTGCAGCAAGGCCTTTTTCCTCTCTCTCGCCAGCCTTGTCTACAAACCTCATTCCATCACCCGTGATCACGGCTGCATAGGTTTGCAACGTCTCAATAAAGTCTGTTTGTGTTTGCACCAGAAATCTTAAGAGTTTTCCTGCACAACACTGCATACGCGCTTTTCCATTGGGGTCTCAGTGCAACTTGTAGCCTGCATCAATTACAGGTTGCTTAATTGCCATTCCTATTCCCATTACGATTAGCATCTACGTAGGGAAGTTGAGGTAAGCATCCCTAAGTTTTATTACTGGCATTTTTCGCACTTTCCTATGGATTTGATTTCTCTTTTTCCCATCTTCCCCCAAACTGCTGCAATCATAAATGGCTCTCAAAACTCGATCACTATTCACCACCACTCAACACCATTGCCATCATCGTCCATGCTTGTCGCACTTCTCTCATTCATCGCCTTGATAACCAATTTGTTTTTCTTGACGCGACTCGCCCCCATATATTATCACCTCGTGACGTACGCGTCTCTTGACCGCACCGCCTATTATATCTGACTACCAGGTCTCTATCGTCGTCTATTGTCGCGTCGCGATTCTTTGCTTACCAAATTCGCAGTCCACACAACAACCTTAGGCCATGGCGACTACCGCGATGGATTACGAGAACGCCAACGGTGACCGTTTTGATGGTAAGCCAAAATTTATATCAATATTAGGTGCCTGGTAATGAAAATCAAACTAATTCGTGTCTCTAGATGACGGTCCTCGCTACGAGCGCGATCAGCGAAGCGCTTCTCCTCGAGCCTCCCGCGATGATGGCGTCGACGCTTCCCGCCGCCGTTCCGCTTCTCCTGCTGCCATTCAAGATCGGTAAGTCCTCAACAAAAAAAAAAAAAAACACCTTTCGGCCCCATTTCAATGCTTCCTTTAGTTGGGTTTGTGTTGGAAGAAAATGAAACTGGATCTGACTATTTCTGCTAGTGCTCCCAAGGAAGAGAACGGTAATAGGGACGAGGACGGTTCCGTTAATCCTGGATCTAATCTCTTCGTGACTGGAATCCATCCTAGATTGACTGAGGCCGAGGTTACCCGCCTTTTCGAGAAGTATGGCGAAGTTGAGAAGTGCCAAATCATGAAGGACCCTCACACCAAGGAATCTCGTGGCTTTGGTTTTGTCAAGATGGTTACCTCTGAGCAAGCCGACGCAGCCAAAGACGGCCTTCAAGGGGAAGAGATTGAGGGTCGAACCCTTAGTATCGAGAAGGCTCGCCGTGCTCGTCCTCGAACCCCTACTCCTGGCAAGTACTTTGGACCCCCAAAGAGAGGTTAGTGTCATTCAAGCATATCTTTCAAACTATTGGTTAACTTAAGTCTACAGAGAGCCGTCCTCGCTTTGATGATCGACGCCGTGGCGGTGGTTATGGCGGTTATGGCGGGCGTGATGATCCGTACCGCTACCGAGGCTACGATCGACCCCGTTACGAGGAGCGTGGCGATCGTGGATATCGCGAGGATCGCGGCTACGACCGCAACTACCGTGAAGGTCGTGGTGGAGGTTATAGCGGCCGAGAGGATCGTGGTTTTGATCGTGGCTACGATCGTGGTTACGGCCGAGATGATCGACGTGAACGTGGTAGCGGCGGTGGTGGCGGTAGCGGTGGTGACGATGCTTATGGTCGAATTGATCGCTATGCTGGTGGTCGTGAAGAGCGTGACCGGTATGGTCCCCGAGGAGGTGAGGATCGACGTGCTGCCCCTGGCTACGAGCGTGATCGTTACGACCGTCCCGACCGAGATGGTGCCCGAGCTCGCGATCCGGCTCCTTCTGGCTATGCCGAACCCGCATCCCGGCCTGATGCCCGCGAGACTTACGGAGGTGCGCCTTGATCACCATACAACAACAAATCGACATATCCAACCGGCTGCTGCTAATGCATCATCCAGGAAATGATCGCTACATGCGATAAAGACATCTCTTGATATTTGGTGTCTCCACGTAGGTTTGGATTTTCGATGGCAGTATCGGGCGTCTCTTCATATTCCGTCATTTCCCTTCGGGCTTGCGAATACGGCGGATACCATAAAAGATGTGACACATGGAGTTTAATACGGCAGGTAAAAGGGAAGGAAAAGGCATTCAACCATGTTTTTTTCTCTTTTCTTATTTTGTTTTTATTCTATTTCTTTTCTCGTCTCTGATCCTCAGAAACAGGGTTCGACAGATACGGGCAGAAGGATGCTTTCATTAATTTCGCCTGTGTGGGGGTTGAGTTCCCTTCGGCGGGAGAAGATGGAAGTCAGTCTGGCGACGACGATTGAGGGATAATAGCACAGACATCCTCTTTTCCCTTCCCTCTTTTTACCCAGTCACGCAGTCACTTTTCCCCCTTGGATCACCAAATACGTCTACGGCGTGGGCAACAGAGCCATCCTTTCACCTTTCAGCCTGATACTTGTACTATTATTTTCACTTCCGGGGTTTTCTCTCTTCGAGCTTGACGAGCATGACGACTGAGCAACATCCATCAGCATTTTGCCGGGCGGTTATTCGAGACAGCTCTGCAATGGTGGTCCTGCAGAATGCAACACATAATTGATCGCAAATTCCCAAAAAGGTGCAACCTTGAGTCGAATCGACTAATGTTCCGTAAATACCGTACCATGAACTTGGCCTCAAATTTTTAAAGTCGCTGCATTCAGCCATACCTATATAACGCAACGCCATACGATCTCTTAATTGTACCTAATAAGCTTCCCGACAGTTGTAAAATGGAGCCTCTTGTTCGCGTCGGCCCTTTCCTTTGCTTCGCCTACACTAGGTTATGATCGCCTTTTTTTCACAGCAAAATATCTGATCCCACGAGCCAATCGTTCCACCATTGGCTCGGGTTATTGTTCTCTCGCACGACTAAGAGATCAAGGTAATTCCCCCCCGGCCCGAAGAAAGGTTGCTGACGAGTGCTTCGTTTCATAGTACCAGTTGCTTGTAGCCATCCGTTGGAATGTGTTGCTAACCGGGCAAGACATGCTGCCTTGGCCTCACCTACAATGATCTCATGCATGTCTCGCAACATATTGTGAAATTATGTCAGTTCGTCAACTCGCCGGTTATTCCAGCCAAAGTATATAGCTTACCTAGGTATATTAATCAATGGATTGTGAAACCATGCTATTCTCGATTTCGTTGTGCATTGACAATGATCGTAAGTCTAAAACTGGTTCCAAAGCGGGCCTCTTGCTGAAACCAGCAAAGACTGTTCCTGCATTCCTGATTTCCTTTGTTGAAGTTTGGTTGAAAATAAAGTATTTGGCTATTTGTGGAAGCATACTGTTGAATACGGTCTTTGTGAGAAGCCGTGGAGAGGGAAAGGGGATCGACTTCGACGGAAACGTCCAGGGTCAGATAGCATGGCAGCCTACCGAAAAAGGAAACTCTAGAATACAAAGCTAGCTGCCAACTTCAGTTGATAATGGCGGTGGCTCCTTGCAATCTTTCTTTCTAGGGCTAAAGCACCGTTCGCCTTGTGTTTTATCCCGTCAACTACCCCTTTCGATATTTACAGGACTACTCACTCCATCGTATGTTCTACTGCGACTAGTGAGGATATAAACATGTCATCAACAGATACATCAGCGGACGAAGGTGGAGGTGCAGGTTTCTCTAAGGTGGACGAACTACAGAGTCTACGAGAAGATTATGGGCGTCTTCAGACGTACCTAGCGATTTGTCAATATGACCTTGAACAACAACGAACAGAGACACATAGTACGTATTCGGCGACTTAACGATGATTTGAGTCGAGATTTTGAAACGGCCCTTCTTTCTTAGATAGCTCAGTTGCTAATGTGATCAATCAGAATGGTTTCGAGAAGGTTGGGTGTCTAGACGCGCACGGAAGAGACGTGAGAGGGCGGCACTATTGCGACAACGTCAGCGAGCCGCGGAGCGTCGTCGACTGGAGATACTAGGCTTGCCCTTGCCCCCGTCGCCAACAGAGTCCGAGAAGAAACGTCGAGAACTTGATCAGAGCATATCATCCTACCGTCGCCAGATCAGACGAACTTCAGCCCAACTCCTCGTCGCTGCCGCAGCTGGCCACCAGTATCGCGAGACAAATCTAGCAACTAATCAGGGACTGCTCATCCAAGGTATCGACCCAGGCATCCCACGGCAATATCGTGCTTTTGAGACACGTCGTGCATCTAGTCTTAGCTCCACCGAAGCGGCGGCCAGAGCTGTGAAGAAGTGGATTAATGCAAATAAGGCTAATCGCGGCGCTAGGACCGGCGAAAGTGATAGGAGGGTTAGTCTTGATAGTACGGATAGCGATAGCGGAATAGGCAACTTAACCGTTGCAATGCTAGCTGGGGTCGATTCTACGGCCGACGATGGCGACTGGGCGGACCAGCTCATGGCCCCTATCATACAGAAATACACGGGTGGCGCTCCGTTAGCAATGAAGGCGCAAGGATACTCCTCGTCACCATCTAAAAAACCGCCAATACTTTCAGGGGTGCCAGGTCGCCCTGATGCCCCAAACCCGGATCTGTATGACCCATATCGATGGAAACAAATAGATTACACGAGTTCGAACCCTGCCCTTCTGAAGAGTGCCAGAAATAAATACGTAAACACTCCGGATAATACTCCGGTGGGGCTACAGATTTGGTGGGAGCACGATGACACATACCCAACGCTCGATTCGATTTTAAAGGTCGAAGAAGTACCCAATATTTGGGACCCGGACCGTAGGTTCCTACAAGAATTAAAGATGGACAATAAAGAGCGGCCGCAGTTGGTGGCTGGCATTGAGACCACATTAGCGCTCGAGAAGCGGCAGGATCTGGACCCTATGTATAATGAAGTTGTTTACTCACGGGCTCCCGCCCCCCTCCCCAAGAAGCTCAGTGATACAGAAATGAGACGTGGCCCTCTACCAGTACCGCCAGACCTGGAACTATCAGGCCCATACGGCTTTGACGTATCACTCATTGCAGCGCCTCCCAAGAGCTGGCCAGTTAAGAGTTTGGAGCCAAAGAGCGGCTTCCCAGAGCCTGGGGCACCGCCTCTGCCAGCCGCCAAGTACCATTACCCCCTTAAATCGCCTGCTGCCTCGAGCTTTACGTTCTTTGAAGGTAAGGGGGTTGCGGACGTTTTTAAGCCCGGCCCACTTGACGAGCCCGATCAGGTTCGTGGCAGCCAGGAGCTAGTGGACTTCAGCAAGAAGATTGAGCCAAGTCAAACTGAACTGCCTTCTGCTTATGGCCGTGCACCGACCATAGAGGAAGTTAAACTGTACCGCGAGCAGCAGAAGAAGGCCTCAGAAGACGCCGCGGAGTTTCTGCGCGGAGTAGACCGGAGAACCGAAGCTGCAATCAAGCGACGAGACAAAGAGTTCCGAGAGGCCCAGCAACGGACTCCGGAAGAGGAAGTCCAACGGCGGGAAAAACAAGCTCGAAGGCAGGCAAGGGAAATACGAAGACGGGCAAGGCAAGCTAAAAGGAGGGACGAGAAGAGAGCCCGATCGCGGAAGACAAAGGCTCAAAAGCTCGACAAGACAGGGAAATTAGAGAAGGAGGATCAATTTTGGCATTACTACGAAATGGAAGATAAAGATTCTTTCGTACACGTCAGGAAGAGAAACAAGAAAGGTGCTTCGAAGGGTCCTAAATTATCTACAATTCAAGAGGAGTCGTCTGAATATTCCGACCCATCTGCTGGTAAGAAGAAGCCGACAAAAAAGAGACCTGCAACCAAAAAGAAGGATTCTAAAGGGTCTGAGACAAAGTTCCCGGATCCTACGAAACCTTCTTCCAAATAAGAATCATCCCAATCGTCTAGCTCCGATAATGGGGATCCTCCAAAATGACGACTCTAGGTCATCCGAGTCGTCTGAGTCGTCTAAATCGTAGAGTTCAAAGGACCAGAAACGAGTATGTCCTCATTAGATTAGCATTACTTCTATTATGTAAAGTGGAATGGATGGATGAGTATGAATCCATTCCGTGTAATAATTGAGTCTTTCACTACTTTTCTATTTCTTCCCCATGGTATATAATGGCCTTTGGATATATCGTGATGTTTAGGAGCCGAACCAGACGGCCGAATGCGCGCCTCTCAAGTTTTGGTTTAATTTGGGTATCATTACTTATAACTACGCAAATCGGTGGATCGAGCCTCCTATTCGCACACTAGATTATGCAATTCATTCGTTCTAACTCCTCTCACCACTCCTATCAATAGGCTGTGCTCCAATTAGCCACCCAACCCCCGACGCCAAAGTCCCGACTGCGGCCTCTCTTAATTGATCTCTCTTACGCACTCTCTGGTGATTCGATCCATCCCCTCCTTGGCTGCTATTCTCGTCCGACCTTGCATTTTCGCTACGCTGCAAACTAGACAACGCTGTGAGGTTTCGTTGCGCTCTGGTAATACTCGCTCGCGATAGATCGAAGAGCGACATTGGGGCTTCTTCAACGTGTCGAGAAGACTTTGTTGTTGTGGCCCTTATAACACCGGCTGGCACAGTACTGCTAAATGCACCTGGCATGACTTGTAGGTCGCCCTGGTCATCCCAAGCTGACTCCTGCTCTTCTTCCGCTTTCACAGCAGCATTCAACTCCTCCTCACATTTACGGAAGACGTTCAGGATCTCTTGAAGTGTTGCGGTCGGCGCAATACGAAGTGCCGTTGCCAAGCACTCTATTCGTTGCTCGAGGTGTCGGATATCGAGATTTCCACTAGCGGTTCCGATGTGCGTAGGTTTTACGGTGCGTGCTGTACGACGGTACTTACCCGCTTGTAACGCAGCTTTCCACGAGTAGTCATCCGTCACGAGAGCTATGTTAGATCTCGAGAAGATGCCATTTGGCACAACCCCATCCTCTTTTGTTGCCGGGGGTGCATCAGTATCCGAAGCGAGGCGGTTGACAACATAAGAATATGCCGTCTCGAAATCATCCTCTGTGAGGGCAGCATCTACACTCATAGCCGTGATTCGCTTTTCAACTATAGATCTTTGCCATGCTTGATCTACCACTGATTGCGATCCATCAACCTTGGGACGGGTCAGCAGGCCGGCATCCACCATATTGGACCCAATTTCGAGAAAATCCTGTATTTGAGTGTAGCTCTTGGGATTCTGCTCTAACACTTTCTCAACGATGGAAATGGGATCGTTGTGGACCCGTAGCACTACTGGCGTGAACGGCTCTCCTTTTTTGAGGATAAGACGGTATTCACTGAGCGCATGTGTGGCCTTCAAGAGCGCTTCGATTCTTATAGATGCCGGGTGCGCCTCCCCTAAGGTCTTGGGAAATGCGTGTATTCTGTCATTGTTAAGAAGAGAAACTTCATGTCATGATTAAGGCGGGCTTACATATCATCGCATCTGAGAAGACCGCCGCGTCCGCGATGAGGGTTGGAGGCGTTATCATAGGCATTCATTGCCGACGATATAATAGTATCCCTTAGAACATTACTGTCTAAAGGCTTTTCAGGTGCGTCCTCATATATGGATCTTGCCAGAGAATAACCTAACAATATTAGTATGGCGTAATCCGATGGGTCGTTGTGCCATAGGCCTTACGGGTATTGCTTAAAAATGCTTTGAGACATTCAACTTCAAGGAATTCCTTTTCGAGTTGACCGAAAACCCCTTGAATTCGAACGTCGGGAGAATCGCTAGCCTCTTCCGCACCCCAATCTCGAAGCCATAAGAGTTCGTTTCTTGCCCTGATCCAGTATTTATCATCGCTTTTAGGTCCATTACCACCGAGCGAATGGATAAATTTCGTGACCTCGACCTTCTGCTCTCGTTCATCTTGTAGAAAGGCTAACTCTCCAGCTCTTCTAATCGTGCATGGGACCCCTGCTTTTGCTAGAATAAAAGCGCTGAGAGTCAAAGTGTGCAAAAGCTGCGTAGAGGTCTCGTTTGGAGCAGTGAGTATATTCGACTCGGCGAGTAGGTTATTGCGCATATAGGTGGCGTTCTTGGCGCAGAGAATATCCTCTCCATTTGGATCAGTGAATGGTGGGAGCAGGGATGAAGCAACTTGTAACGTCGGGCAGGGATCTTGGTCTAGCAGTGCCATAATTTTTGTAATAATGCTATTGATGCCCGTTAAAGCTTCGATTGATGCCTCTGGGACTAGATATGCCGAGGCCAGCGCAGCTCGAGCATACCTCTGTTCCAGATACTCTTGCTCGTGGTCTTGTAGCCATATAGAAGAGTAACCACCCAAGTCGACGTCCCCTGGGCCATCCCATTGGCCAATAGCTTTTACGGCAACTCTCCACGATTTTGAAGCTTGCGTTGTAATCCACTCGAGGACCCGTTCCCACCCAGGGCAGGTGGTAGTCAGGAACTGACCAGCGTCCAAAGACTGTCCATTTTCATCGCCACGAACCCACCTTGCGTCATTATATAGCCATGGCCCTATTAGTCCACGAAGATCTCTTCCGACATGTGGCAGGTCCTCTTGACGAATGCCAGTTTGTGATAGTAGTAAATCTACGGCGGCTCGATCGTTCATACGGTCGAATGAAGACAGGGTTTGAGCGATAGGGTGATGTGGGTAGTATTCGTGATTTCGCCGAAGGAGAGGGAGAAGAACAGAAACCATCCATGTTCGAATGGAGGGCGCATGGTCGAGGAACGGTACAATTAAGTCGGGTAGTTGGGTCAGCAGGCCGGCTTCTTCGTCAACGCGGTGCGCACGACGGATCAAAAAAAGAGTCACAGTATCTTGTAGTTTGGGTTTGGGGGTGTCATCCCAAGCAAGGGGAAGCAATCGTAGCTTGCGAACTTTCTTAGCAGCCTCGTCATCGGTAATGTCGTGTACTGAAGACCAATCAACCTCTCGCGGATCGATATCTGTTTCCAAGCTTCCCGATACGACTCGTTGTATGAGGGAAACGTATTGACTTGGAGGTAGGGTTTCAGGTAGACATGTAAGGAGTATTCGTAGTAGCAAGTCCTGCCTTAGGACCTTGGTGTAGTGAGCCGCAAGCGCTGCCAAGCCATCAATGTTTGATCTGGCAGCGAAGTGGGCAGCGAGTAGTACAATGCGCGACGCTGAGGGGGTCGACATTATTCTTGCAGCGATATAGACATGGTCTCCTTTTGATGCTAATCTGAAAAGCCTGAATAATTAGATAGGAATAGATATTAACTGTAAGTATATGCTTAATTATCGAGGTACTCGTAGGTCAATAACGAAAGAATAAACAGTTTAGAGGGATGCAATTCTTAGAGGCTCATGAATATTCAAACGTGTTATCCTAGACGCTAAGGAATTGTATCTAAAGTTTAAAGACAAAGCATACATACATATAGTGGGCGGAGGTATGTACTGTATGGGTACTTGAGTACGTACCTGCATACCTATGTACCTAGGTATATATACCTAGGTAGGTACCTAATATTTACAGCGCTGTAAGTAACATTTGAAAGCTTACCATATAGGGCAATCACCTATAATAAATGACGTACTTGCACCTGTTAGGTATGTAATGTTCACTATATCTTCGTTACCTAGGTATGTATATAGCCAGACGCCAGTTTTGCCACTGAAATTGCCTGAAAATTCTAACGTAGATATAACATTTCTACGCAGCTAGTTACTTTCATTCATAGGTACCTAGTAAATGTCGTGTTTATAATTACCCGTCACATCAACGCAGTTTTGTATAAAACCCTGTATATATTTGTATCATTGAGTTCTTAAATACCTACCCCAAAAGAGCTACAGCACAGACCACCACATGCACCTATTTCTGCGCTAAACGCTTGACAGTTTTTAGTTAGCTTCTCAGGTAATCGGTGTCTCATGATTCGCTACACAATGCTTAGCTAATCAGTCCTAGATACAAGTCCCAGGATCATTGTTCGGAACGAATTGAGCCATACTAAATATTACAATTCATACATATCAGCAACTGCAATTGAATGCTCATTTCTATCCCCCTTGCCACCAATTGACATCCACATCCACCGTGTAACTCGACGTCATGGCATCTGGTTATGGTCTTCATGGAGGTCCGTATCCCATGGACGTTCAATTGTTTCGAATTACTAATCCAATTTGTCAAATAGGACCGTCGCGGTGTTTTCCATTCTGGCAGGATGTTCTGGCTTGTTATGTAGTCAACACGTCCGGCGAGGACGATTCGGGGAAGAAGAAGTGTGCACCCGTACTAGAGGATTACTACGAGTGCTTACATCACAAGAAAGAGGTCAGGTTCCGAATTAGACTCTTACACAGTTCACCATTACCCTAGCCGATTGACTGACGGACATTCACAATCAAATAGGCCGCAAGAGTCAGAGCGTTACAAGCTGCGTATCGAAAGGCCGAGGCATCGTCAGCGAGGGAGAATGCGCCGAGCGCTGGTCAAATAAGAAATCTAGGCTTGATAGACAAGGAGGAGGATACCAAACAAGTACTCGGCGGATGAATATGATTATCTTTAATCGAAAGTCAACCCAGCCTTGTGTGTATATGGTACTGAGTGTATGAATAAAATCATCGACACAACAAATCGAAACCCATTAGGGCCGATGAATAATAGGATGGTATTGGAGCTTTCCTAAATCCCCCAAGCCTACCAGCCACCAGCCCGTCGATTATATATCGATTTAAATTGAGCAAGGACACGGAAGTGACTTACACAATACAATCGTCCTCACCCAGGGAGAATCAATAATCGCTATTCATACATGGATACTCTTCAATACTTCAGAGGCTAGTGCAGTAACCATACCCATGTACTTTACCTAGGTAGGTAGGAATCTAATGCATACATGTATACCAATATGGTAATATTGGCGTTGAATGGTTTTGAAAAAAGTACTTTGGTTTTGATAAATTACATACATGTGTAGGTATCTATATATATTTCGTGGGTAGACACATGCTAAATAGGTGGGTATATGCGTACATAGGCATGTACGTCGTGAAGGGAAGTTACTACTAGCAATTACCTGGGTGTTGTCAATTCAGGTGCGCCCGACGACTCGAAGTTTGTTATCATTGTCACTTCCTTTCTTCATCTTCATCTTCGTCTTCATCTTCCCTCCTTGTCTCTATTATTCTCAATCCCCTCCAAGGTATCTCCTCTTCTTCTCTTCTACTCCGACTTGAAAACGGAATCTCTCCTACTAAACTCACCCGCGCCGTTTCCACCCATATTTACACCAAGATGCCTTCCTTCCGAGGCATCGATATATCCATCCTAACCAGCTCAGATACTAGAAAACTGCCCGAGTATCCTCACGCGGATGGATCGTCTGTTCGCCTCGTCAGGGCTAGCACTGGCCTTAGCGACCTACGGAATCAAGGCCAAACTAGCCCCCATCATTCTACTTCTTCTAGCTTCTCTGACGCCGACCCGACTCGCAATAGGAAATTCCATCCACGTGTATCCGTCTACATACCTTCAAGCCCTGGTTGGTCTTCACTTTCTAACTCCATACACCTTTGACCAGATAGTCGACCCTAACCCTCATATAGGCGCCCAATTTCGGATTAGGTACCTTGTCAATCAATCCCCTTCACCTTCCAGGTTCATCCTCTTTAAAATGTTCATAAACGGCCATCATAATGTGTCCTGGGGCATCGATGTTAATCGATCTTCGGTTGGGAACGTAACAAGGAGCCTTTATGAGCCCGGCGACGAATTCAGAGACGAAAATGGCGATACGCCTATCGGTATAGAAGCGCGTTATTTCCACTTCATGCACATTTCTGAAAATGAATCTGGTGCTGAGGATGGTGGCTTAATCGAGGTCCAAGTATTCCGCTGTCAAGGACGAAGGCGCGTTGCTGCTATACTAGACTCCTATCCACCCCGTCACCAAGAACGCTATGGAATTGCGTAAGCAGTTCTTCATACCCTTTTCTATACACCTTCACTAGCTAATCCCCATTTATAGCTCCTCTAGCGGCGGCTTAGTAGAAAATCCACAAGATGCCACTTTCTATGAATATCATCTGGAGGACCCTCGGGATTCACCTTATGCGACTTTCCGTTTTTATTATAGGTCCGTGGAATACCTCGAATTACTAAATCTCATTCCTCAGGATGGTACTAGAATCCGGCCGATAATTACAAATTTAAGTAAAACACCAACTCCCGATTTCCAGGGATGTCCCGTCTCAGCGATCTCGTCTCTTGACACAGGTATTTTTGATAATAACATCGAAGACACTTGCGTGGCTATCTCGGAACCATCCGAATTCCCTAAGCTGGAAGAATGCCGCTTGGAAAGTCCGTTCCCACTATTGTCGGATCATCCGGTCGGTATTACTCAAGACTTCAAGCCGGCCCGGAGAACTGGAACCATGGCCGATATACTACAAAGACCATTGCCTGAACTCCCCAAGGAACCTTCCAAGCAAGCGTCAAAGGAATCACTTCGGTCGGCTTGCCCCTCTTTAACCCCGTCTCTAAAACGATACGTTAAGAGCGAAGAATTTGAGAACGAGGATATACGACTCAGTATGGCCCAGCCGATTCTTATACCATCCGAATCAATGCAAGCATTAGAATTGAGCGATACGGATATCCATGACCAAGAGGACAGCTCATCATCAGACTATGCAGTTTCGCCAATCTCCACAGATGCGTCTCATTCTCCAGTGCTACCGTCTCCAGAAGACTACGATCCTACTACCGGTAGTGTGCTTGAACGTCATCTCGACCAACTCGACTCCCCTCCCATTGCCCAGTCATCGCCCAAGGCCAAGGCAAGACTCCTTGCTTCTTCTAAATCCGCGAGGATGCCGACTGAGGGCGGGTACTCTTCTCAAGCCAGCAATCTAAGAGTCACCGAATCAGAGTGGCTTAGGCGGAGCCCATCGCCTCTGAGGCGCAAAGGCAGACTGATAAAGCGTTTATGGAGCCCGAGGCCAGAGAAATATCCAGGCCACACTTCAATGGTAGAATTTCCTATACATCAAGGTAGTACAAGGAGCTGTCAAACGTCGGAAAAGAATGAGCCTCGAGAAGTCCGGGAAGGTGTTAGAAACAGTGCAGGGCAAATTGAGGTAGCTCCGGTAGGGAACTGGATATAGATAGAGATAGTGAGGCACTGGGCTTGAAATGTACCGCCAACCCTAATGGCTTGTCTAGGTGCTTACCTGGGTGCATAGGCGTACAAAAATCGGCTCTATTACGCATACATATGAGTTATCATATCAATAATTATTTATTACGATATTAAGCAGTATCTGTCGCGGACTTAACCACTTACATAGTATGCCTACCTACATGTAGATACCTAAGTACCTAAGCATGTAAAATGTACCTAGGTACCTACATATGTAGCAGTGCAGCCCCGCCAGAGCTACCATGCCGTCGGTCTTGGGAGATACATCCACCTACATATGTAATTATAGTCCGCACATACATATGTACATACTGTATACCTACTAGGTACCTACATATGCAGGTACTTATGTATATATTACTACGCAAAACACATACGAAACTACCTACATATGTCACATATAGGTAGTTTCGTATACTTAGGGGAATTACTCAAAACATCTCACAAACCCAAGGTCAGGGCTACTTAATCCATTGCATCCAGTCGTTAACCCGCTTTGCTTGTGTGGTAGTACACGAAATAAATATGGCTACACCAAAACCTGACCACTTAGAGAGGACGGCTGCGGAGCCACGGGATAAGGTATGTTGGGTCAATGCAAGAGTTCTCGAATGGACTGCTAATTAATACGACGAGTCTCTTAACATCGTCACTCTAGCTGACGTCGCTGAGATCAATGACCAAATCAGACTATTCCGTCTTGAACTCTCTGCCCCTCTTCGGGTGTGTTCTCATTTCCTCTCCCTATGTGAAGCTAGACATGTCGAATATTCACACCTGGGAAGGTGAGTCGCCGATATACTCATTAACTATTGAACGCAGTTCTCGCCAGGCCAATGGTTGGACGTCTTCGTACCGGGCGTTTCAAAAGCGGGCGGCTATACCATTACCTCGCCGCCTTCGAAGGCGCGCCCGTCCTCGTCTCAGGATGGCTCACCAGGTTACTTGGAACTAGCAGTCCAGAAATCCGATGACCCTCCCGCCGCGTGGTTGTGGCAGGATCCTAGTTCTATCACCTATGCTGAGCTGCAGGTCCGTGTTGGCGGCAGCTTCGTGTGGCCACCTCCCGGCATTAACGTATGGTCGCTGCGCCGCGCCGTTTTTGTCGCCGGCGGCGTCGGCATCAATCCGCTCATGAGTATGCTTAGTACCCTTGCCGAGAGGGGCGCGGATGCCATCGCTCCTAGGTTTGAGGTCCAGGTTTTGTACTCGTTGAAAGATGACTTGTCGGGAGACCAGAGAAAGGCTAGCCGCATGCTATTCCTCGATAGACTGGCTCCAATCTTCACATCTGGAGAGTTGAAAGGCCGATTGCACTTATTCTTGACGGGTGGTAGTAGCGAAGGGGAATACGAGGGTGTTATAGCTTGTGGGGGCAACGATGGAGTAGGAGAAAGCAATGTTCCGTTCCGCAAACGAAGGATCACAGTAGAGGACATCACTGCTGCTGTCGGCGGTGCCTCGGAAAGGAGATTCACTGTGATTTATGTTTGCGGAGTCCCCACCATGACGGACGAATTTGTTGAGAATCTCACAGATTCACGGCGTGGGCTAGGGATGGAGCCTCACCGGGTGCTGTGTGAGAGGTGGTGGTAGCTTGATTCAGTCCCACGGGGTGCGGATTCTATATCATAAGATAAAAGTATCACTCTCTACCCGTCCACCCAAAAGAGCTACTAAATACATTCGATGATGTGCTCATTGCCTCTATGTTGTGTATTTATTCGGCCGTGTTAATGTGTATGGGCAGAGCTTGTTTCTTGGAACTTCACCGCATTGGTATTGAATGTAGGGATTTTGGATCGAAATCACTCTGGTTCTAAATGTTCGATGATTACCATCTACTTAACTACCTAGGTAGCTGTGTAGTTATAATATACCTAGGTACTTATAGAGGATGCACTGTACTATGACGACCCATATGGAATCGATGCTACGGGTATCAGTGTCGTATTTTCTAATACACGGGTGCGCTGTACAAATGGTCTACATTCTCTTAGAAATGAATATACGTGCAATGCGAGTATAAACAAGTCGCCTTTTATTGATCCTTCTATTTTTAAGATGGTTCTGTCCACTTCACCTGATCCATAACTTGCCCGGCTGACGGGTGGGAATAACCAATTCTCAACATTAAACGGAGAGGCTAGATGACGGCATGTTAGCATAGAAAAAATAATATAGATTAGGAGTTTTGTGCGAACTACTCACTCCCTTGCTTCCCGTTATCCTCATCACTTGGGTAGCTTCGGTCCCGGGCGCGATATCGGAGCTAGAAATGCTCATTAACTGTAGCTTCTGTGATTTCGGTACGGCTGCTTGCAATCCTACGTTGGAAAGGTTGGAGCCGGATGAGTTCCGGAAACGACTTAAAACTTGTACGGCTCCTTCGGCGTTACGCTGTAGCTGAAGTGTGACATTGAGGCCATTGGCATCATAACAAGGAATACCGCTCGGCGGTGACGGCGTTGCTGCGGTTTGTTGATGCGGAGGAGATCCGAGAGATGAGAGAACGTCAAGGCTGGAGCTGGTGGGGGCGGGATTTGAAGCTGGAGGACCCTGAGAGAAAAGATCCATGATCGATGCTGCGCCACCCTGCTGTAGAGGCGGAGATGTAGCTGCTTGGGATGAGGTTGTGTCGCCACCGAGGATGTCGGCAAGTAGATCAGTGTTACTTTGGGATCCATTTGTAGGGGATGTTATCGGTGTCGTTGTAGTGTCTCCCATCAGATCGAGTAGGTCTTGGTCCGTAGTAGGTTTTGCAACGAGTTTCGACTTGCGATTAGCACCCTTCTTAGGTTTCTTGGTTGCTTCACCAAGCACTCTGGACTCCTCCTTAATCTGTGGCGGTGGCATTTTCTCAAGTACACCGCGGCGTATTTCGTCGTATGAAAATAAATTACCGTACTCGACAGCTCGCTGCTGAACCTCGACATCTAAACTGGTTTGGTGTATTTGTAAAAGGCGTTGGATACGTTCCACTTGGGATCCATCTGATAAACGCGTACTCAATTTGACAAGAGCTGTGACGATATATTCCGTAGATACTTGGGTGCCGTAGCTGCTGTTGAGGATGCTCGTAAATAAGTCAATGATCTCATGCTCTTTGACCTCTTGGACTAGTTCCTCCTCTTCATATTGCCCGCCCCTGAGCAGTGAATCACTGTATTCGCCAATACACCACGCGCCTGCTTGGGTTAAGCTCTCTTGGGTGATATCCTTTTTCAGATTTGCATACAGCTTTTGGACGGCGTATGTCTGGAGCTCTGGCGTCGTTGCTACAAGACGGACAAAAGAGGCCATGATGGGCTCTTTGACGTAGTTTCCAGCTAGTGTAAGTACTCGTAACATCGTATCGATGTGCCACCGCTTGTTAGGGGAATATCGGTCGGCCGCGATCCCTATTTGACTTGTCATGCTGGGTTTGAATTCATTGTCGGCAACTTCGAGGAAGGCAAGTAATTCTCGAATGAGTACTCGTACATTACTCTCGTTAATGAGGGTGAAGCTGAGGTCTAGAGCACGTCTCCTGATGCTGATATCCGGGTCTCGCAGGCATTCTAGGATAGTGTTCCGATGTCGTTGGACAGCATTTGGCTCGATGGCGACGACTTTGATCAGCGTATTAAGAGCAACATATCGAATGTTGTTGTCACGGTTCGACAGAAACTTGCCGAGGATGTTCACACCAAGAACTCGAAGACCAGAGTCGGCCTCTATATCAAGGATGGTTCGGACTGCTTCGTAAAGGATAGAATTGCCTACGTTCTTAGAGGAATCGGTATTGGTAGCAACTTGAGCGAGAATATCATTGATTTGTTCGGTGCCTTCCGCATCACCGCGAACTAGGACTCGAAGTAGCCGGAGAATCTTAACTTGTAGGAAAGGGTCTGTTATGCCAGTGACATCGTGTTCGGGGGCGTAACCGGAGGTGGCCAGACCCTTAAGAGTTCTCACTAATACCGGTACGAACTGCTTGAACTTGTCAATAATTCCTTCGTCACTGCCCTCTTCCTCTTCCGCTTCACACATGCTCGTTACTAGTGTCAGCCCGCAAAGAAGTACGCCGTGGTTCCTATCCGAGAGAAGCTGGGCGGCCTTCTCGACGAAATGTTCCTGCAAATCCGGAACCTTTCGGCATATTCGCATGGCGCATAGGGCGGCCTTTCTCCGAATGTAAGGGTTGGCAGTCGAGACCAAGGTTTCGATTTCGGGGAAGAGGTCCCGGGACATCTCGATCGAAGCAATGTTACCTAGGGTGCAAAGGGCGAGGCCCACGACATATTGATTGGAATGACCTAGATCACTGCAAAGGGAAAGCGGTGGTTAGCTTTGGCATAAAAGAGTCCTTAGAGGATCAGCGTACTTCTTTAACGAGTTGGTTACTAATGTGAGTACTTCTTGATTCTCGTCTAGCAGAAGGCTTGTAGCTAGGTGACCAAGTCTTTTGTCGGCGAAACGCGGGGATGCAAGTAGTTTGATGCATTCTATCTGACCAAAATGTGTTCTCTCTCCAAGGGTAAATAGGTATAGAAGCTTGGCTACATTGTTGCGTCTGTCAATCGTTAGTTCAAGGCCGGGATGGTAGAGCCTGTAGACTCGCGAGTACTGTTGGTATCTAAAAAGGTATGAGAGTGTGGTAGTGTGCGCACCTGACGTTGTGATCTCCGCTCTCTTCACGGAAACTGGCCCGAATGGCAGCGCTCTCCTTTTGGATGACAGCTCGTTCGTCGGCGATAGTTTTTGCTGCACGCACATTGCGAATAAACTGCTTCACTGTAGATAGATATTGTCAACTAACCGACAACGACGTCGATAATTTATAAAAGAGGTATAATCTTGAGGGAGACGTCCCCTTCATTACTTTTTTTTTTCTTCTTCTTTTTTCCTTTTCTATTGGGGTCACTTACGGGAACTCATGATGAAACTTCACGGGCCCTTCCAGGGCCTATTGGAGTAGAATAGCCAGCTTTAGTAAAAGAAGGGAAGATGTAGAATATACGTATACTCGTTTCCGTAGTAGTTCCTCCGAAGAAACCTCTCCTGCAATATCGTATTCACTGCGGACCTTCTCCTTGCCAATGCTGTAGCGTGGAGGTGTATGTGTTGTATGCATGTGGCTTCAGATTACCAAAGACCGTTTCGGTAGCCGTGTGCTTCATGTTAACAGAGGGATCAGATACCTGGGTACTTTTAGTTGATCCACCTATTAGAACCAAGACATGGATCTGTAGACTTATTGAAAGTGGGATACCTGCGGAGATAGTTTTATCCGATATAATATAAGATCATAAGGGTTCATTACGTAATTCAATGATTACCTAATGCTTTTCTTTTGAACTATGTTTTTTAATTTTTATTTTTACTCTTCCGCAATTTCACCCCGGCGACTTTCTCACGATATTTGTAGCAGCGGTATAAAACGTCTCTCCGAAAATGTCGGCATTCGGTACGATGGTCTTGCCGTTCATCCAATAACTGACTTGACTATCAAGCAGAGACGCCACGAACCCCCAATAGATGTCCCGAATCATGACTTTCACATATTTTTGAAGAAGCTAGTTGAGGTACCTTACGTTGAGCATATGCCTAGAATACGTAGAGCCTGCATAGCCCGTTGTAGGCACGTAGACAGGCTGTTAAATAACTTTATTTCTAGGATCATTATTAATCGTTCATCGTAGATGCAAACTTAAACTACGTATGTATGATTTACCTCGTATATTATATGCATTTGGTCCCTCTAGTCCATAAATAAGGGGTTGGTATCTGTTCATCCTTTATGCTACCTATGTAGGTATATATACATTAGAAACCCGCTCACAGACTGCGAGTCATTACGAAACTCGAAACTCGAAAACTCATCCCACGAAACGATTAAATATTTACTACTTTCTTTTCCTTTTTGACATCCCTAAAGTATTCATCATGGCGTCTTATGCACTACAAGTTCCAACAGAATACGGGTGAGTTAACTACCTACCTATTTATTTAATGTTATTTCTATATTAAATTAGTGTCTCTTCGTCTTGCCGCATCTAAACCCATCACACCATTTTCCACCCATCCAATTGGTACCCCTATGCCGTTCTCTGCGGCGTATGCGACTAACCTACTTATACCTCAACAACTACCTACTTCAGAATTTATCCTTTTTTATTTTATTTCGGATATGCACTAACGTCGCATCGTACTCTAGCTATGTCCTTACCGTCGCTGCTTCGTCGCTGTTCCTCAACGCCGTTCATGTTACCCTAACTGTTAAAGCGCGCCAGGCCAGCGGCTTAAAATATCCAACCCCCTACGCCAGCCAGGAACAGCAGGAGAAGGACCCCAAGGCCTACGCTTTCAACTGTGCGCAGCGAGCGCACGCCAACTACACCGAAAACCTAACACCTTTCCTGGGTGCCCTTCTCATCTCTGGCCTCTACTTTCCAACTGCCAGTGCTGCTCTCGGCGCCGCTTGGGTTCTCGGACGTTTGTGGTATGCGATCGGCTACACCTCGAGCGGGCCGGCGGGAAGGGGTAAAGGTTTCGCATTGAGCATTCTGCCCGCGTACGCTTTGAATGTTATGGCTGTGATTGCTGGTGTCAAGATTATCCCGGCTGCTTAAGATTCCCACTCAGAAGACAAGGTGGGGTGGGTAGTGGAAAATCTAGAGATAGATGTAAACCAGCAAACTCAATATATTTATATATTTGTATATGTAAACGCGACATGTTCACTATGATTAATCTTTACATAATGTTGTCACACCATCTCTTTCGTGTATCTTGTAACCCGGCCAACTATGGGTTAATTCGTCACGACTGCGGATAGCGTCCTGCGAGCGCCTTTTGAATAGCACGTGCAATGCCTCCCTGGGAGCGAGATCGTAAGAAGAAAACAGAATATTAAAGACCAAGGAAAAATAATGTGATGTCACGCCGAATACAATGCTAAATAGATGTAAAATAGATTTCCTAAATATAAATAAACTAAATTTCTTATATGCAGTCGATGCATTTCCTTCGACGGCGTCGTCGAAGTTCCACGACGCCGTCTTCCTCAGGGGTTAGATCGGTCTGTTTAGTGTCAACTTTAATAGGGGCAGAATGATCCCATGATTCGTGGCCGTTATTGCCAAGTAGATAATCCCCGAAATACTTCATTGCTTGGTATAATTCTTCACCTGTCGGGATAATATATTCCCTTGGGAGCAAGAAGCCGTAGCTCCCCGTGTCTCGAAGCTTGATCTGGTAGCTATATCGAGCCCCAAACTCGTGGAATATATAGTCAATGGCTGAACCCCCGCCGGCTTCGACTCGAACCCTTCCCTTGTCTCGGACGCGGCCTTCTTGCATATTACTCGCTACAGCACCCTCGCAAGCTGTCGCTGTAGTGTAAACTTCGCCATTAGACAGCCTCATATGCTTAGCTAGATTCATGGCCACCTCTTTTAGATTTTCAATATTAGGCGGATGGTCGATGCACGAGTATGCATATGGGTATAAGATTTGCTGAGAATACGAATGGAGATCTAAATAAGCAACGAAGTTAACGCCATTCTGCGTCTCGTTCCGGGCCCAATCCGCAAGTTGAGCAGCTTCAATCGCTTGGAACGCTTGGTCACCACCGTAACTTTCCGAACATGGCTCGGTCTGGTGGTCCGTTGCGTCCCATTGATAGCCAAAGGCGTGGTCCAAGTCAAATCCGGGGCAATACTGCATCTTCGTGCGTTGCCTGTTTTTGCGCCATAACCGGTCAACTTCCCAGCTATATTTGTACCCGTCCGGATTTAGGACGGGAATGAAAACAATGTCAAGGTGTTCAAGTATCTTGACTATCATCGGGTCCTCGTCGATAGTCCTGATAAAGGACCAAGCAACATAATTTACTGTGCTCGTAGATATCCACTCTCTTGCATGAATTCCTCCAGTGATAAGAATGGTATTCTTGGGACCTCCTGGGCCTCTTTTGGATGTATCGCTTGTTGGTATGCCTATCTTCAACGCTGCGATGTCACGCCCCTCGTACGATTTTCCAATGCTGATCATCCGAACCAACCCACGACCCCTAAACATAGAGTCCAGCAGCTTCATCCACGTGTAAATGACAGAAAGCGGCTGGTAGTCGTGAAAAAATATATCGTCAACACCCCGCTTCTCAGGTGAGGGTATGTCATTCGCGGGGGTGATTCCTCGGTCGTTCGAATGCGACTGGATAATGGAGCGGGCGGGGCCATTCGAGGGATAAGTAGCAGCGACCGCACGAGCTAGATCGGGAATCAGGATGAAGTGGTTGTCCTGTAGCGAAGAAGGGAGTATGCCCATCAACGGTCGAATGCGACGAGCTTCGAGGCGGATGTCAGTATAATTATCGGCGAAATCCCAGACGTCAAGTAACATCTGGTCGATAGCCTTCCTCAATGCTGCTTCATGCGCTTCTGTTGATACGTTGAATCGTATCACAACCTCATCTTCATATCTTCGTAAACCCTTGAGGAGGTTTGGGTGGGCGTCGAGCCATTGATTTGGGTTGTCTCTAGACCCTTTAGAGGCCCATGCGAAGGGAAGGTCGAGTAGACGGTGGAAATAAGAACGTCCATTGTGGGATGAAGAAGAAGAGAGACGAGGGAGACTTATCGCATAGGAAGGAACGGAGAGAGTGAGGAGGAAGAGGAAGACTAAGAGCAACGATTGGCGAGGAAGAGAGGTGGAGTTCATCGTGACAAACTACCAGTAATGGGATGGGAGGGATTGAATTGGTGCGTGACGTCGTGGGACATGGAGAAATACTACCTAGGTATGTAGGCAATTAACAATCGTACCTGGCTTGAAAATTGCCGGCATTGAAATTTCTCGACGAGCAAGCCTGCTACTTGTGTACATAACATTTAGGTGTATATCTATGTTAACTCGGCTGAAAACATTGATTATATGCATGTGCGTGACAGGCAGCTCGGCTTTGTTCTTATTTTTCTTAGTGCAAGTTTAGGCAGACTCTTTTCCATCTAACGGTTTAGTCCTTGCATGTAGGCAAGTACGACGTATGCCGTACGTACCCAGCTAGGATATGTACCTATATAAGCCTGCCAACCTGCCAACTTACATGTAGATAGTGGACATTATGTACCGTACCTCTAGGGCTACATATGTACTTCAATGCGAAGAAGTGGGGGAGGGGATACCTTCCATAGCAAAGCAAATTCTGGAACAACTTCAATATTGTAGACATCCAATGTTGTACCTCTCTTGTGTACACGTATGCGTTAATGATGTAAGGTCTGCACTTACATTAAACATTAAAATATGCCTACGTATGTACATGTACGTACATACATATATGTATGGGTGTACAAACTGGAGTTCTTATTACCTAGGTACATAAGGACTTGAAATCTTTAAAATCGAATACACCTTGTGTAAATAGGGCAAGGAAAGGGAAGATAAGAAAATGACGGACACATGTCGATGAAAAACGCATGTCAATGTGTATGTCAATATCAACATTGAGTGCTATAGAAATAAGGGGATAGGTACGCTGATCTGTCTATCCAATTTGTCGGGTCTTGTTCTCTTTTAATCTCCACGAGGGCTAGCTATCTCCACCCAAAATCCATAGAACACCTAGGCGCCTACCTGGTTACATTTCCAAGGTTGCTATTCGTACATCCATGGATGCGAAGAACGATAGTATGTACCTGTGTATGTAGACAAGAATTACCCAGGCATGTACCTATTTAACCTACGTACGTACATAACTAGCTGTCCCGACCTCGCCATTTTAGGTAGAGACTTGGGGGTTCTCGGCGGGGGAGGGAAGCAGTAGCCAGGTACATACAGAAATGGAGGAAGAAGACCCCAAGAACCCCAAGGGGTCATGTTTTTTTTTTTTTTTTTTCTTTCTTTCTTTCTAATTTGTTTCTACGACCTACAGGTTCTACCCAGGTACCTAGGCACAGAAATGGTAGGAACCAATTTATTACGCTAGCAAGTACCGGTTAGCACAAAAACCCATACAACCTCGACGGGATCCTACCTATCTACACCTTACACACATACACACATACATACGTACATATTAATTATTTGAAGTAAATGAATTGAATGATTGACTGGCTGACTGAATATCAAGCCCGACTCGGTCCAATCCGCCACTACCCATATAGCATTGTACTTACCTAGGTAGTTTCGTCGGTTGCTGACTTCGTTTCGTCCGCCAGTTGCCAGTTGCCAGTTGAACAAAACGTGCAGACGTCCCGGGTCTGACAGCTCCCGTCACTGTAACCCGTCCAAGAAACTTCTCTGCCCCCTTTAGAGAAACCTCAACACCATCCATCCATCTATTCTATCATCGCCTCCGCCTTCCTCTATCGATCCCAAGACAATGGGTTTTCGCCATTGCGATTCTTGACGTGATGACCATCGGCTTTTGCCGCCATATGCACTGCTCCAAGCCGGACGTGCGGCCACTCTCGCTTTCCACGCGGACCTTACGCCACCATCTACCAAAATGCCCTTCCTACGCCGTCGTGGCGTCATGGCCAGCGACACGGATATGAGACGACACACGATCCTAGTCGACTCAGCGCCTGTTCCCCCGAAGCAGCTTCCGCGCAAAATCCAGTCAGAAGCCCTACTAAGCCCCGACCCTGCCGGAATTAACGGAGAAGGAACCACGAATGGAGCCCCGGGTGGGAATGGTGAGGGTAGCAAATCTTCGGTTGATACGGTCGCGTCTACTTCAGCCTCCATGTTTCCAAGTAGAAAGAGCGAAGATCCGTACAACCGCCCTGAATCACCCCCGATCCAGGATGAATCGCCCAAACATCGCAGATTCAGTATGCTTAGATTTCGCAACGCCTCCGATTCTCAATTGTCAGCTCGACTCAAACAACAGCAACAAGCTGAAAAGCTGCCACCTATGCCACAACGTATGTGAAAATCCCATTCATCTTTGGAGCCGTTGCCTTGGGTTTATTTGCTTACTCTATTCCATCTAGCTCCCGCCATCATTACCACTGCGCCTACCATGGACATGGATATGCAGCCCAAGAAGCAATCTCGGATGAAAATTCCTATACGAATGCGCCGGTCAAGCGACCTCCCCAGGGGTGACCAGGAGCAACTACCCAAATTTATACCCCCAATCACGAAGAAGGATAAGAGGAAGACGATGAACGAACGAACCATATCCTCAACGAGTAAACAGACGGTGACGTTCGAGGAACCTCCCATACCTGAGACCTCCGCTGTAACGCACACCGACATCGATGACCAGAGTGCTGCACTGACACCACCCATGAACCGTCTATCTGAGTCGTCTAGATCAGAAAGTAGCTTGAATGAGCAAGCGGTAGCATCTACGCAACCGACCGGGCTAAACCCATCAGCCTTCTTCCGCCTCCGTCGCAAACAAAAGCAACCTGAACCTCTCTTCCCTCTAGGACATCTCCCTCAGAAGTCCAAAACGCCTGCGTTGTCCGGTACCGCTTCCTCTGTGTCACGTACTTCGACCTCCTCCCGCCCTTCCAACGCCACCGGCGATATATCTCGCCCGTCTACGGGGCACGATGGATCGACACCCTTAGCTTCTCCTTCCCATACCGGAGGTTACCCTGGGAGACCTTCCGGATCCCCAGCCACGGCTTTATTCAGGCCCACCTCTCGTAACTCCGGGCAGTCCTCTCCAACTAGAGTACATCTGAGCCTTAGAGGGCGATCCTCTACGATGAGCTCTCTCGGGGAGAGCTTTGTAGAGGATCGCCAACATTCAGGAACTACGCGAACTTCATCTTCCACCGGTCGCAAGAGCTTTGGCGATCTCCTGGGGCTTGGCCGTATGCGGCAGAACACCGATGGACTACGGCACGGGACGCTGACGCCGGCAACGCCAGGCTCCAATACTTCAAAGAACAACTCGCTACAGCTAAATAGGGAGCCGGTTATATTGCCGGAACGCCGTGAAGATGATACCCCCGCGAAATATCTGGCGCGCATAGAGGAAGTGCTCAGCCGCGGTGTCATTGCAAGCGCTTTGTCCAAAGGAAACGACTCATTCTCAGCAGCCGTATTGCGAAGTTACATGCGGACTTTCAGTTTCTTCGAGGAGCCCATGGACATGGCCATTCGAAAACTCTTGATGGAAGCTGAACTTCCCAAGGAGACTCAGCAGATCGATCGTTGCCTGCAGGCTTTCGCGAACCGTTATCACGAATGCAATCCTGGAATTTACTCAACACCAGACCAGGCGTATTTCATAGCCTTTTCCCTCCTTATACTTCATACAGATGTGTTCAACAAGAACAACAAGTACAAGATGCAAAAGGCTGATTATCTCAAAAACACTCATGGCGAAGGCATTTTTGACGACGTACTGGAATGCTTCTACGACAATATCAGCTACACGCCGTTTATTCACGTAGAGGATGACCTAGCCATGAACGGTGACCGAACCGGTAGTTTTAGGTCCAAGAAGAAATCGATGTTTCCGAACAGTACGACCGAGACGTTACGAAGGTCAAAGGATCCAATAGACCCATATACGTTGATCTTGGACGGTCGTTTAGATACACTGCGACCACCTTTGAAGGACCAGATTCCACTCGAGGAGCACTACAGTTATTTAGGTACAGCTAGAAATCTTAACTTGAAGGAGCTACAAAAGACGTTTTTCAAGACTGGGGTACTACAAATCGTATCAGCGCGGTCCCGTCCGGACGCTTTCATGACGGAGAAGACGGCAAATAACCCACAGGAAGCCCATCCCGGCATTGTGGATATCAAGGTCACTAAAGTCGGGCTGCTATGGCGAAAGGATGCCAAGAAGAAAAAAACCCGTTCCCCGTGGCAAGAATGGGGTGCAATATTGACGGGTGCTCAGCTGTATTTCTTCCGCAACACGGCGTGGGTCAAGAATTTAATGCATCAGTACGAGACACATGTGAAGTTGGGACATGATGGGATCCCACTTATTTTCAATCCGCCTCTCGAGCAGTTCAAGCCCGACGCATTGATGTCCACCCATGGTGCTGTCGCTCTATGGGACAACAGCTACAAGAAACACAAGAATTCCTTCGTTTATGTCAGACATGGCGGGTTGGAGGAAGTGCTACTCGCCCAGAACGAAGAGGACCGAAATGATTGGCTCGCCAAGTTGAACTATGCAGCTGCGTTCAGGACATCTGGAGTGCGAATGCGAGGAGTTATTGGTAGCAATTACGAAGGACAAAGCCGTCGTGCCATTAGAAGGTTGGACAGCACCGATGCAACGCAGCTCATCCAGACACCTAGTGGGGAAGTCAGCGTCAATCGAGCTGGCATTGACCACGAGATGGCTCGAGACATCCTCATCGCTCGCCGCGAGATAATACGCCAGAAAATCGAAGAAGCCGACGAAAAGCTCCAGCACGCACAAAAGCTCCTTGAGACACAGCTAAGAAATGCCAGGCACCTACTCATATTAGCACCGATTCAGGATAAAACACGAGATCAGGTTCGAGGAGGCGCCGCCAAGATTATTGCCCAGTTGAAATGGTCTCGAACCGAAATCTGGAGACTGAAGTGTCATCGCGACATTCTTGCCCTGGACCTTGAGGAAGAAAAGGAAGTCAATGGTAATTTCGAAGAGGATAAAACCGAGGCTAGTTCGTCTATTGAGAAGCAGTTACTCCTTGAGAACGACTCGCGAGACAGTTCTCAGAAAACCGAGCAGCAAAGTCCACGAGCTCCAGCTCCACTTACATTAGTCCAGCCCCCAGAACCGGCAAAGGTAATGGATGGGGATTCGCCAGGGGCAGAGGAATTCCAGACTCCCCCCACAACTGCTACTGCTCCGTCATTCCATGACAGCCAGGCTCTACGAGACCTTCCTGCCGCTGGCTCCGATCATCTTGGCCCCAGGAAAACATCGGTGTCAAGCGCCGCATCCTCATTGAAATTAGCTACAACATCCACTCCACCTCGGAAGGCGTCGAGTCCCGCGGCCGGGCAGGACAAGGACGCTATCGACGAACAATCCGAAGATGATGAAGGCGAACGGCAAGTCCTCGAACAGGCCGGCCTCCTTGAGACAGAATCGGTTCGCACGTCAGGTCATAAGCGTAGCTCCTCCGGCAAGACTCACGACGATAGTTCCGATCGACCCAAACGCACAAGCATCCCAGGACCAGATAAGGATGGGCTCGATCGGAGCAAAATGCGTCGTAGCCTCCAACGTACACTCAGGGATGGCGCGGGTCATTTGTCACACCACCGTAGCAGAAAGGGTAAAGATTCCGCATCGAGTGGTGGCATATCGGACGAAACTGTCCGAGAGAATGAGACCCTCACTCGTGGCACCGGCAGCTTTACCGTGCATGGTAAGAAGGCCTCTGTCGTCAATTTTGGTAGCGAATTGCAGAATATGTCGACCGACGAACGCATTAGGCAACGCAAACAATCCTACCAGGGCTCATCAGATGACCATGGCTTTGGTTCTCCCGGTAGCATTGACGATTTCCATTCAATTCTCGGTGATCCCCCAGAGCGGATGGACCGGCGCGGGTCAGGGGCCAGCGCCAGCACGGCAACAGCTCGATCCTTTCGCGAGCTACACCGGAAGTACTCTTCATCGAGGGCCCACCGTCTCGCTACGGCAGGAGGTCTAACAGTTCCATCCGACGAAGACAGTGATGCAGCTGTCAGTTTTTCAGACGGCCGAAGGTCGCCTTTACCGCCCTTGGATGACGAAGACGAAAACCAAGGGGCCAACCCGTCAGTGCAGGCCCGGTTCTACACACCAGAGCCCCCTAGTTCCCCAATTCAACAGAAAACATCAGAAACAGGGGAGGGAAGCGAGGAGGAGACGGTAGAACGTCTTCCCAGTCCCGTTATTCAGGCAGTCGGCGCATAGTGTACGCAGCCGATTGCAAGTCAGCAAGGATATTGTGGCGATTGTTTCGGTTTTGACGAAAAGGTTTTGACCACCTTTGTGTAGGAGTTCTTAGAAGACGGCTCGGCAGGCAAACTGGAAAGGTACTTGATTTGCAAACACTTGAAAAGATATCACATTATCATAATCTGTACTGATAGAAAAGGACATGGACCAGTTCCCGAAGAGGAAGAAAAACCTTGGAACAGCCTGCTGCTTTTAGGTACTTGATGAGGATGATTCAAGAAGGTTCTCAAGCGTCACGGCAATGCTGTATATACATGGATTTTCAGTAGCATTCATTCACATCTGGATCCAATTTCAATCCGGCCTATTATATTTCACGTGCCACTGCAACGCGACATCAAATACCGCCTTAAAGATGGTGCTTTGATCTCATAAACCAGGCAGCATGTACTTAAGTGGCGCGAGTAAGGTATAGTTTAATCAGTGTAAATTGAGGCGTACATGCCTAACTGTCTAAGATCTCTTTTCTTCGGGGAAAGTTGGTCCTTTTCAACTGCCTCCTTTTTTATTTCTTACCCTTCTTTTTCTTTTTACCTCCTTGGACGCCCGACGCCTTCTCCACCTTAACAGCACCAGCACCACCTACGAGCTCCAGCGTCTCTTCTTCTCTGACAACGCCGCCTTGCGTAATCTCTTGGGCACGTTTCCTACCTTTCTTTCCCTTAGGCCTGTACGTACTACGATCCCGAAGAGGAAGCCATCGCTCTGGATCAGGTTGTTTGCCTTCTTCGTAATCCTTAGGTAGTCGCTTCTTCCGGCGCCGCTTCGCCAGTTTTTCTGGTTCTCTATCCGCTGGTCTCTTTTTACTCGAGGGGATGGTGGAGGTTGGGGTCGAAGCTACACCAGCATCGAGCAGTTCCTTGGCATCAATCCTAGCAGTGAGTCTCTCTACTGCGGCGAGGTTTTGTAAATAGGGCTCAATCTTGGCATAATCATTATTTGCGAAAGAGGCCACGAGTCCTGCGACAGCAGTGGGATCCTTTTCGGACTTAGCCACCAAGGTCTCAAACGTTTTCCCCGCCAATGTGATATCCTGGGGGTCAGATGACCTAAGAAGTTCCACACCAGCTTCCCGTAGGAGCGACGGCGCAAATCCTTTCGACCTAGAACGCCAGTACGTGGAAGCCTTTGCTAGTTCGGCACGGATGGAATTCTGTCGTCCTTGGAGTCGATATAGCGCCACCGCTACGGCGACAAGGCCGGGCGCAAATCGTACGTCTTCGTGGCTGGGGGTTGTCGTTACTTCGAGACGCTTTAGGGAGGCATTTAGAAGGCTCAGTGCTGGTCCTGGATTATTCTCCAGCATGTAGAGCTGAATACTAGTTAATAGAAGCCCAACATCAGTGGGTCGTTTTTCAAGAAGAGATAGAGTTTTCTTTAGAGCATCTGGACCAATTCCCAGGTGAGTGTGGGCCGCGGCGTTGATGACCCCAAGGCCGGCGATCTCTGTAGAAGCTGTGGGTGATGGACTCTGTAGAATCAATTTCGAGGTAGAGGACTGGAGACCGTCGAACTTTTGCGCTTTCAGGTTTAAGCTATATTTATTGCGTCTCAATGTAGACGCCTGGTACTCAAAAAGTTTGTCGCGGTCAGACAATTTTGTGGCCGACTGAAGGAGACGCTGAGTAAGAAAAGGATTTTTCTCCGCTGCGTTGAGTACAGCCTCGTTGTTCTGTGCAACCGCCCTAGTGGGTGCCTCAGGAATCCTGATGACTATCAGAATATAATCGCCAAGCGAAGGTAGCGGGTTCGTTCACTCACTCAGAAACGGGGATAGATTTATGCAGGGCTACAGCCTCCACTTCCTTGCCTCGTCTTGCTAGGACATAGGCATTTTGGACCATGATAGGAAGAAGCTCGGCCTTCTTTTCATCAGCAGATAGGTCCTCGCTAGCTTCACACAGATCTTGTGCACGCTTAAGGAAAATAGATGCGCGATCTAGGTCATCTCTAGCGATACATGTACACGCCGCGTTATAGGCGGTCTCGAAAGCTTCGAGATGGTCACGCGACGGTAGCCTCTCCTGTTCTTGTAATAGATGCCCAAGGCCGTTCCACTCGAGCTGGGCATTCGTAGCCAAAAGGTTAATCTTTAAGTCGTTCTCTTCACCAGCTAGGCCCCCTGGTTCCTGGGAAAGATGGCGATAAGTGTCGGCGGCATCCGGGAATTTTTCGGCGCGATAGGCAATCTGAGCAGCAAGATGGCGAAAGGCACGAGAGGACTTGGAAGCCGCTGGGGCCGCCTCGAGCGATTTTTTCGCCTTTTCAAGTTGACCGGACTTGTATAGAGCGTAGGACTTCTCAAACAGACATTCTTTTTCTAAAGCATCCCCACCCTCAACTATAACCCGAAGGGCGTCATCGAACCGATCTAGCTTTAAAAGGGCGACGACGCGTGTGCGCTGGGGGGTAATATCCCCTTTTGAAGTCTTGATAGCGGCATTTGCAGCTTTCAGAATTTCGTCATGGTCTTGGATAGTCGAGGCCCTAAGAAGTGATGTGAGAGTCGCCGCGGGACTCGCCATAACCGTAAGTGAGGAAGATCGGGCGCTGGAGGAGGGGAAGAGGAAACAGAAGAAGAGGAACTTCCCGAGAAGTCCTTGCTGGGGAAAAGGAGAAAAGGGGCAAGGAGAAAAAAAATAACGATGCGTATGTCACGCCTGAGAGTTACTATAAGTTTGTAACCATCAACACGTACATGCCAGCGATTTGACCTAGAAATAGGTGCCCGTAGATAATAATCAATTGATGTGAGTTGTTGCAAATAAGAATACGAAGATGGTGTTGGTGGGTGGGGTTGCCCAGGTACAATGGTACATTACATAAAGCCCACCAAAGGCAAAATTAAGTTATCGCTTTATCTTATCGTCCTATATATATGTACCTATGTAGGTATGTGCATACCTAGGTAAATTCATACCAGAAAACTTACTTACCAATTCAAGCACCAACGCGGAAACCCTGAAATATACTAATCGTCCTTAATAAGTCTTCAATGATCTATTACAAACCCAATTTAAATCTATAGACAAAAAACTACTCCCTATTTCCTGAGCCTATAGCCACACGTATACCTACGGCTTAAAGAGGTGTAGCTCCATCAAACTGGCGCCATCTTACTATCACAGTAAATCACTCGTCCGCATTCATAATTGCTTTCCTCCTTTTGGTGGGCCGTTAGATGGACGTCCTGCTACGTAACGTCTTTCTTCCGGAACTACGTTGCGCGGTAACATCGGGGTAATATGTGACGTAAGAAGACGCCTATCAGCTCTATTATATTCAAGCTGTCGCCTCGGCCTTCTACCCATATGTGATTGAGAATTCTGCCTTGTTTCGACAATTTCGGAAAGGACTATATAAAAGTGTTGGTGGACACGACATATTGCCTCATTGCCTTGTCCGAATCTCGGAATGCGAACAAAGTTGCCATGCCTACGTTGCCTGATGCCTGTGTACGTATAGACGCATAGGTGGTAGACCGCACAACGAAGTGTAGAGAGCTTATCATATTGTCCAGCTATCCAGGGGCCCAGTAGAGCCGCGATATTTTATTGGTATCGGCATCAAAAGTGTATTTACCACCGGTGCCAGGCGAGGTGAGCAAGATATTAAATAAAGCCTGAAGGAGAAACTGGTGAGAGTATATGCTTATACGCGCCAGGAATTAGGACCCTGGTCGTGACCATAATGGCTCTCACGGCGTGGGGGGGACCTCCATGCATGGACTGTACATGTGTATAAGGCATGCGCAATCGTACACATACCCTGTCCGGATCCTCCTGTATGAAGATGTGCGATTGCCATAACTTGCGCATCGATGTTATCTGCATTCTGTTCTTGGTATCTACATACCCGGGATAGTTAGGTATATACAGTACATGTGTGGAACAGATTCCAGATATCAGAGTCTACATATACATATGTATGAAGGTATAAATATCTGGATACTTGCGGATAAGGCGTTCATAATTTACAGATGTAGTTATAATTTTCCGTATAAATAACGTTAGGTAGATAATCGATGGTTGAGACATTATTACGCAACGGATTCGACGAATTAGTCTATTTATTGCATCATCCCGTCATCCCTCAACCGTACCGATATTTTTTCGAGTGTGGCATTGTGGGGCCTAGCAGAATACCATGGATCTACACTACGAAACCCTACAATACTATCCCTTAAATATGTATACCATTAGTATCACGCTAATTCAACCCTCATAACGCTTGCTGACACAATTGAGGGATATCGTCCGAAGTATCTTACTCCAGACTAGCTATGTACATAGGGTGACGGTCGCTTGGGTCGCTAAGAAAGATACCAGCAGAGGCAGAGGTCAACGCGCTTATTATTATTATGATTATTACCCACTTAATCCACATAATCTACCTATACAGATTGATGCACGACATAACACCTCTCATGTGCTATGCTATCGCTACTATTACCGAATTCATCCATATCATATAATAAAATGAATTTAAGGTATACAGATAAATATATAATAAATAAGGTAGGAGGTAAGAGTTAAGATAGTTACGTTATTCACCAGTCAATATCATCACTTCTCACTTATACTTTATATATACTTTTATTATTAATTGTTATAAGCTGCTTTCATGCGAGTATATATCTGTAATAGTATACAGTTACCTACATAGTATGTATATAGAGTAGTAAGACGGCATCCAGTGTTATAGCAGGCATGGGCTATGGTTGCATTTGGATTTACTATGTACCTCAGTATATAGGTATCTATTCTGCAAGAGATGTGGGGGAGGATTTCGATGGGAATAGCCGGACTAATCATAAGTGCCCAGGAGTTCTTGTCTTCCCGTGTCCCCTTATCGGCTCCCCACTCGTCCAAGGGAACCCCCACAGAAAAAAAAAAGGTGAAAGAAGAGAAAGGTCACAGGTACATTTGTTCCGCTCCATCTTACCCACTATCAATCCTTGTATTCTATACATGTATGTAATAAGACCTGCGGAAAATCCATGTGGCATTTTATGGCTTTTACTGGATGCATTCTAGGGGTCGCGATCAAATCTCTGATCATTGATTAAAGTCGCAGTAGAGAGACGCGGGTCAACTTCTTAGATATGAAAACGACCCTCCCTTTTCCATAACACATGTCAAATCTTACGCTATCGCCATCGCTATACATGCCTAGGTGACTATTTTATAGGCATACCTTGTATCTATATATATACCTGATGTATGGAAGTAGGCCGTACATATAGAGAACAGCATTTAATATGTACCTATATATAAAAGGTATATATCGTATATACATACAGGTAAGGACATTCATTGAATGCTGGAGGTACTAAGGTACATACATTAAATACATACATACATATTGTATATATAATTGATGGATACGTTTGAACTTCCCCCTCTCCCCCCCCTGGTCCAACCTAAAGTGCCTCCTTCCTCGCTCCCTCCACGCCCCCCGTTCCCCCCCCGCTCTACTACGTTAGGAGGTCGTCTGGGTTAGCTGGATTAGTCCAAGAAGTACTTACCGTACTTGACTGTTAGTTTCCCGTGTTCTTATTCCAAAGGCCAACGCAAATATTTTTATCTTCCGATTCGGGCCTACTCGGCCGTTACAACATTTTTTACAGTTTAGTTGGCAAGAAGAATTATTGATCATCATCGTCGCAGGTAGATTCTATTTCTTATTATATATATAATACTACCTAGGTATACCTTATATTTATATATTTACTTACCTATACATTATACATTCTATATTCTACATCACACTTTATATACCTTATACCCTATACCTTCTATTTTCTACCTTCTACGTTATACATTTATGTATATATATGTTGATACATAATACCTGGCCCAGGCCCGTAGTCGAAGCAGACAAATCCACTCCTCCCCGGCAATCCTGCGCATCTGATAATAATAATAATAAATAAGTACCCAGGTAGAAGAAGGGTAGACTTGGCTGATCCGAACTGTGCCGGACATCTTCACAACCCTTGCCCCGGTATCTGATAGTATCTGATATCCCTCTCTCGACCCTTTCTGGCCTATCGGTTTATCTGCAGCGGATCCCTTCTCGAGCATACCCGTCCGCGCATTTCGTGTGCTCGTCATTTGGCCCAAGTATTCCCTCTTGCCTCCTGTCTCTTGTCTCTTTTCTTGCATCGATTTCGTTATTATCCAGTAGAGGCACATCACCTTCTCGTTATCTAAAGCCACCCATCCTCGCCGCCACGTACGTACCACAACCGGCATACCCTTCGTCGTTGCACCCAGAGACCTAGCCGGGACCCTACTTATCTGCTTCTGCTTTTATCTTCTGACGACCGCCTGCGCTGGTCACTCCCTCGCTCACCCTCATTCATTCACTGGTCGGATTCTGGCCTCGAGCGCCGTGGGTAGTTTGATAACACATTGTGGGCCCCAATCGTCTTCCTAACCATAACACACCAAGTTGTATCCTTTATTATACACCCAGCCTGGCCTTACATTCCCTCCTTCTCGTCACCCTCTTCTTCTTTCTCAATAGCCCGTGGCCTTCTACGCCAGGAAAACGAAAGACCAGGTGCTCCGCTCTCTCTACTTCCCACCCCCGTGACCTTAAGCATTCTTATTCCTACTCGTCGCGAAATCGGTATATGGGTATCTCGCAAGCCGTTCCATGGACCAAGTAAACCCCTTCGAACCGCTCCTGTATTTCGCACTTTGCATTCGATAGTACTAATTGGCCTCGTCGTCTTCTGTGACTCGTACGCTGTTAACACCACGTTGGGTCCCCGGGCTTGGGTGGCCTCGACACGAGGCTCCGTATTCCCAAGGCATCCTCTCTCCAGCCTGGGATATTCTTCCTTATAACCAAGACTGCAGACATGTCTACACGCTCTTCACGGTCTCCACAGGTCGAACCTGTAGTTCCCAACCAGCACATCGACGAGAACAAGCTCCCAAGCGGACAGTGCCGATACATTCTCCTCAACCCGGAGATCAAAGGACAACGTTGCGCTTGTGTGGGCTTTACCATTAATCGCTCCCTCCCAGGTGTCACCTGTGAATGTGGTCATCTCTCGTGCTACCACATCCAGTCCGCCGAACCGCCCCCCGATAGGAGCGAAGTAGACATGCTTCGACGGCGTATCAGGCTCCTTGAAGAGCAGCTTGATAGGGAGAATAACGGCGGGCTTGGCAGTGCATTGAGTCGCGTGGTCCGACGTTTGGGAGACTTAGAGGAGCAGGTTGAGAGGAACAGAGACGAGACGAGCCAAGAAATGAAGGGCTGCTACAGAAATGTTGACCGTATGTGGCAATCCGTCGCCCAGCTTGAAAAAAGGCAGGCCGGATATGACGATCGTTTTCTCATGTTTGATGAACGTATAGACGACCACGATGATACGTTGCAGAGATTGAGCGACAGACTCATCGAGTTTGATGAAGCGTCCATGGTATTAGAGGAGCGCGTCGAGGCACTTGAGGGGCAAGGGAGTCCTCATTTCGCTCTCCGCGACAGCAAAAGAGGCTCTACACCAGGCTCAGAAGGGTCAAAAAACTACAGCCGGGCTGTAGCAAGGCAATCCTGCCCGCCGAGTAGCCACGACCATAGTATAACGCACGCTACGTCGACTCTGGTCTCAGATGCTGGCAGAGGAATTAGCCAGGCTGGCCCAATGAAGATAAACGGGGCATGGACCGTACATGTGTCGCTTCTCCCAACAGCCTCACAACCGTTCCCCTTTGAGAAAGACACAAATGCGTATAAACGGTGCTTGTCCCGTGGGCTTCACCAAATGATTGCTGTTAGGGGAACAGACGGTGAATCCTTCTCAAAGGCCGTAACCAAAGCTTTTGGGAGTCTGCTTAGAGGAAGGAATTGGGTCCCACTACAGGCCAGATTATGCGATGCTGCGACGCTGCAAGGCCTTCCCATGTTACGACCGCTAGACCCTACTTTAGTCAACGCGACTTATGATCTCGATTTCTTACGCAAATATTGCGCCGTCTGCTGCCCTAATGGTAAGGTGGAGTCTATGTATATCGCTATGCTATCGGATACGTTGTCGTGGCAGTTTCTAAGGCGATCACCGTGTTATCTTGAAGGCCTTGAAGATTGTTGGGCCTACGATCCGCTTCTGGATCCGAACGACAACTTCGAAGATTGCGACAGCGAAATAGACGATCGACGGTCGGCAGGGGAGATCGTACCCCCATTGCCTTCCCTAAAGCGAACAGCTTCAGAGATATCGCGGACACCAACTCTAAGTTCGGCCTCCAACGAAGGAAATGACAGCTCACGGCAAAAACTACCACGAACAACCTGTATTCAAACAGCTATGGAACTTCGTAGACGAGGAGTGGAAATGGTTTAAACTTGATGCTTGGATATACCACATAGATTATGATGACGTACGGATAGACCTTGGGGGGCGTTTTTCTCCTTTTCTTTTTTATCGTTGCCCTCGCTCTTTATTGTGGGTGGGGGACAAATAGTACCTGGGAAAGGAATGCTATTGAGTTCCGACAAGCGTGGACACAGCTTCTTTTCAACCGTCGGTGGCCACAGAAAGGCACACGCGTTCGAAGTCTAGGTCAATCGCTCGTATTCTCAGTCAAGTCGGTCATTTGCTACAGTATGAGAGGGAAAGATCTAGAGAATGATCTAATCTGGCATCTCGAGGTGCGAGCTCGGGATCTTATAAACCTACACATAGACCAGAAGGATCAGTCTACGTGGCATTAGGCCAGATGAGGATACGGGATCTTAAATACCTACGGCGAAGAATGTTCAAAATTATAACCTGGCTATCTGGCTGCCGTCATATCCGCCTCTCTTGGCTAGTCAAGGCGAGGTTAATCTGATACGATTCGCTATATTTGGAGTTCGCTTGTATATATCTTTGACACCGTTAACTAGAGGTAGCTACATCTACTTTCTTTTATACATACGTGAGCTATATGGTAGACAGTATTTGAAGTTGAAACGGAAGCCAAGTTTCGAAAATACTGATAGGCACATGTTGCTACAACACAATGTTACTAACATAAGGCGAACCGTACTCTTTGCAGATGTTGCTTCTATTTGTTTCACGTTTTTATAACTAACGCATATCCGGGCTAGATACAAACGACGGTCGTCCTGCCTCGGCATCCATGTTGATGGTAAATTCTCCCATTGTCAGCCCCCTCCCATTGTTATCTTCTCGTATCTCTTTGAGAGTTCTAGACATATTTTCCAATAGCGTGCCAATTACGTGCAGAAGGGAATCTCTATTTTCTTCGAGACGTCTTAATCGTTTTTCGATCTGCTGCGTCATGTGCTCCCCTGGTGAGTCCTTAACAATTTCTCCTTCGCTTGCCTCTCCTGTTTTAGGCGTGATGATCATCCTATCGACTAAATCAGATATTTCTTGCTCCTTAGCTAGTTTCTCCCTTTGTAGACGCTCTTTTATTGACGTTGCCCGACATTTGTCCTCGTAGCTTTTCTCTTGAACGATGGGATGCTGTGCCGGTTCCTCTGGCTGTGAATTCGGCGTGTTGTGAGAATTAGGTGATTGTGTGAGGGAGATTATTCCAGCAGGATGACTTCTCCTCCTTAGACTTAGGATGCTGGGCGACGATGGTGGCGTTGGCATGCTGGTCATACTGTGACGATTGGATTTACTCGTTGTAGCGGATATAGTACGTTCAATATCACCGGTGTCAGGGTTCCTATGAATCAGAATTGACAAGGGTCTCGGACGGGGTTGTGGGATTATCTTCAGATTGTGCCTTAGAGCTGTTCTGAAGTTTGGATAGATACTTGTTGGTGACGGTGTTGGGGGCTCGTGTGCTGGATCTGGCTGAGGCTTTAGGTCGGTAACGACCATAATGGGAGATATAGAATTTCTACCGATTTTACCTCGCAGAAGCAAACCATAGTCAACCTGTTCCGGGACTACCTCTGTGGTCATAACAGCAGAGATTCCCCAGCCATTACTTTGAGATTGGCTTGTGGACCTCGATTCCAGCACTACAGGCACCGTGGTGCCGTCATCCTCACCTGGGAGAGATAATGGTTGACGGCGCCATGCAGACTTGTTGGTGGTAGGGATTAATTGGTTGGTAGATGCCATGGGCGATTTTCGATGTAATAATCTTTGTGACTGAATCGCATTCCCGGGAAACCACCCGAGAACAGGAGAATCCGTTGACTCCAGGTCTATTGGGTCTGCTATTGCATCCTTGAGAATAAACTGAGCAGCGTCTAAGTCTCGTCTCTTGTAGGCTTGGACTTTGGCTCTCCGCGCGATTCGTCTCTCGATTATGCTCTTTCGCCCACTTAAATCGCGACTTGAGAGGGCTATTGCCCCGTTTTCTGCGTTAATCTTGTTATATAAAGATGCTCCATGGTCTTGGAGTGGTGAGTTTATTGAACTCGGATCCCGATGAGGCCGCGGCGGGATTGCGTTAGAGATTGGCTGTCGATAGACAAAGTCGCTGTATGCTGCCGCTTCTGGGTCCGGTGAGCACTTCTTTACGCCGGCCGCGACATCTTTGCTTTGACTAGTTGTACTTGTTATCGGAATATGACACGCGCTATCTGTAATGGAGGATCCTTGACGCGTACTCGTCATCACCGTAATATCACTGGCTAGAGACTCCCTAGGCGAATCTATATCAACACTCACTGTCGGGGTGGTGGAGCCGTAACTAGTCCTAATTGATGTAGCGCATGTAGCTGGAGAAGGTTGCAATCTCAAGTCATCCATGTTAGACGGTTCATCTTGCGTTACTATAGCCGCAATGACTGGGTCCTCGACCTTGTGGTTGGACGCCGAGCACCCTGGCATAGAAGGAAGGCCGGGAACATTCTGAGGCTCACCATGGTGCGCGAGCGGCTGTATGTTTTGCATCAAAAGCTGATTGAGCGAGGTTGTGAGCACTCCGTTGGAGGTATACGCTCGCTTACTGGAAGTACGGGGCCGTACCACTGGGGGATTAGCGTCATCTGTTTGAGCTGGCGTTCTTGGGCCGACCTCTGTTGAAGCTGACCCTGCCGCTGTAGGTGGTGAAGGAAAAGTCATCGCTGCCAACATTTTGGGGAACCCGGGGGATTCAGGTAGCGATTGATCCTCAGGGGGTGTTAGGGTCGATCGGGCAAGACTCAATGTGTCTACCCGTAAGCCTTCATGCGAGGCGACCAGATTCCCTGGGACGCCTGGGTGTTGTAGGATGTGGTGGTCGAGTCCTTGCTCCTCATTTTCCACCGATATTCTCAGTGAAATTTGGGACGTTTTGCCCGCAATTGTCGGAAATTTGTGGGTATTAATCGCTTTAAATTCAGTGGAAATTCTCTGAGTTATTTCCCTATTTTCGCGACTCCGAGAGGGTGGTTTACCACCAAGACACTCCGTAACAGATTTAGCATCTATGGGTGTAACCGTCCTCGCTAGTGAGCTAAACCAAGGATCCCTTTTCCCTATCGAACCTTGGGTTCTTGGCCGTATATCATCTGTATGTCCGGCCCGAGAAAGTGTCTTTGACGACAGAGTTGCCGTAAAGGGAAGACCCCAACCTTTCCTCGATGAGGTCCTCTCAGGCCACTCTTGACTTGTAAATGCACAGGAGGACTTTGACCTCGTGCGGGAGAAGTAGCCGCGACTAGGAGGTGAAGATGTTATCGGGTAGCGATTTTCATTCGTCCTACTCGGCATAACATCAGGTACATATGACAACGACTGAGTATGTGTTTTCGTTTTCCACTCCCTTTTTAGGGACTTTATTGACCATCTTCCATCCTCATTGGATGTCAACAGATTCGGGGCATTTTCGGACTGTGTATGATGAGCGGAAGGAGACTTATCCGTCGCTAGATTTGTAAAATTATGCACGATATCAAGCATATTTGAGACCGATCGAGAGCGAGGTAAGCGAGTGAACCTCGAAACTCGCTTCTCTACCGTCGATCGATCCATCTCTGGGAAATATGCTTTGCTAAGAAGAGGACAGCGCGGTTTGTAGTATCAAAACCTACACGCCGACATCATCACTACCCAGACATCTAGGTGGCTATATCGCGTTCGACGTGACGTAACGACAACGGGAGGTTTAGCAGCCAACACTGTGGCATGCTCGAAGTAAGAAAGAAAGGCTCGCCTAGCTTATTAGTCTGGGGTAAGGGGTAATTCCTCAATCAGCTAAGGACGTATAATACATATGCGTAGTTGTATATCATATACTTGTGTATACACGTGTATATGTATATGTGTGTAGGATGTGTAAAATGTGTAGGCGAGCTATCGCGGAGCTTTCCAGAGAAATTGGGACGCGCTTTGTACATAAGATATACCGTACACACATGTTCATTACCTAATAACGATTGGCGAATTCGGTTCAGCATCCTGCGGATTTAATATTAGATATGTTAGGTACCTTGTACACCGAATTAGTTATTTTCTAATTTATTTTGATTCCCGTCCGCTCTAAGTGCAAAACGGACGCGACCTTACCTGCCTTTTCCTTGTGTTGGGGGTTCCTTCGATTGAATTAACATGGGTTGGGAGACGTGGGCAATCCATAGTGTCGGTTCATTTCGTCTCGGCCATCCCCGGAGAGGTAAAGTCTAAGTGATGATCTGCAACGCCTTCCTCATCTGCCAATCGTCGTTGTAACGTATGGATATGGATATGGATGTACCGTTCGTCTCTCAGCCCCTTCCTACAAACCTGAACTGAATTGCGAGATTTCATAGTGCTAGTAAGATGGAGGCGTGTAGTCCTCTCAACCTTAAGCCACGTACTCTATGTTGATGGGTGATATTGATAAAGAATTAAATTGGGTTAGGTTAGTCTCTCGTTCCTAGAACGCGGACGATAAACCTTTTTTTTTTTCCCTCCCTCTCAATGTCTACTATGTAGTAAATTAGGTTATTTCGGTTCATCATGCACCTACCCAGGTATTTTTAGATTTTTACCTGCCTAGGAGAACAATTATGTTTGTTCTAACTACATAAATGTGGATAAATCCGTTTTAAATACTCTTATTATACTATACAGGTGTGCTTACCCGACTAAACGGGGGTTCCCCTCCGATATGTACTTACGGATACTTTACAGGGATATGTACACTTCTTTTTTTCTCTTTGGCCGCAACTTGTTCATATCTCTAAGAAAGTAAGGTACAGGTGCGACGTTAGGATTGATTGACGGATTTCCAAGCTTGAACTCCCACCGACCCCACCGAGCCAGTCTGTCCTCAAGCTTCTAAAGTTGCCATGCTACACACATCACGAATTTGATGAGCAAGAGAAACCGAAACAAAAAGACGAATTTAAAAACAACAATTCACCCTCTTCGCGCCAACTAAGGGCTTGCCGTCTCGTGTCCTGTGACATTGTATTTGGAATTTAATAAGTCCACCCGAGGATCGGCAATTGCTGCATTGATCTCGACAACAAAAATAAAGAGAGGGCTTGGCGAACTATCGCAAACGCGCCAACAACATGGATTATGAAGCGTTAAAGGAACAATGGGGTGAGGTTGAAGACCGCGATGGCGTTCGGCTGAGTTGGAACGTCTTCCCCAGCTCTCGGATGGTAAGTTGTCTCCTTCCCCTCTTCTCTATACCTTCGGCCATCTTCGTAGCGGCCATCTTCGTGTAGAGGCATACGTTCTAAAGCTTCGTGTAGGAAGCATCCCGTCTTGTTGTCCCCATCGGCGCCCTCTACACCCCCTTGAAAGAGAAGCCGGATACTCCTCTACTGCAGTTCGAGCCTGTGACGTGCAAGCAACCATGTCGATCCGTTTTAAATCCTTTCTGGTTGGTTCCCGATTTGTTTGCTAGTTGTCTCTCGCCGCGAAGCTAACGATGCCCAGTCAAGTCGACGTTCGAGCACGGCTATGGATTTGCCCGTTTTGCCTTTCAAGAAATCCCCTCCCGCCTCATTATAAAGACATCACGCCCAATGCCATCCCTCCCGAGTTACACCCCTCCAACACGACTATCGAGTATAGGCTCTCTCGACCTGCTCCTAGCCCGCCTATCTTCCTTTACGTTGTCGATACATGCCAAGAAGATGACAGTCTTTCGGCCCTTAAGGAGTCTCTTGTCATGAGTTTGAGTCTTCTCCCCGAGAATGCTCTGGTTGGCTTGATTACCTATGGGACAATGGCATGTCTTTCCCTTCCCACCTTCCCGATGCTTTTGTTGCTAATAAGACCTTCCAGGCCCAAGTTCACGAGATCGGATATACCGAATGTGCTAAATCATACGTCTTCCGCGGCAGCAAAGATTATTCCGCCAAACAAGTCCAGGAGATGCTGGGGCTGCTCGCCCCCAGTTTGCGCCCTGGGATGCCTCAGCAGCAGCCCGGCCGACCGATGCTTCCCATGGGCCCTGCAACTAGATTTCTCTTACCTGTCCAACAATGTGAATTCCAACTTACAAAAATCCTCGAGCAGCTGCAGAAAGACCCCTGGCCCGTCGCCAGCGATAGGCGAAATCTCCGTTGCTCCGGCGTCGCACTGAGTGTGGCCGTAGGTCTTCTTGAGTCGTCTTTCCAGAATGCTGGCGGCAGGATTATGCTCTTTGCGGGCGGCCCTGCAACAGAAGGGCCCGGAATGGTAGTTGGTCCCGAACTAAGAGAGCCTATTCGTTCGCATCATGACATCGATCGTGACAACATCAAGTACTACAAGAAAGCGCTAAAGGTAAATGATTTGCCTATCTTCCCCCGCACTTGTGCTAATGCATCTTAGTTCTACGATAATCTCGCGAAGCGAACAGCTCACAACGGCCACATAATAGACATTTTCGCTGGTTGTTTGGATCAGGTAGGATTACTCGAGATGAAAGGCTTGTGCAACTCTACTGGCGGTCATATGATCCTCACGGATAGCTTTACTTCGTCCATGTTTAAGCAGTCGTTCATTCGTGTCTTCGAGAAGGATGGTGACGACAACTTACTAATGGGTTTCAACGCCGTTCTGGAGGTCTTGACAACTAAAGAGTTAAAAGTAACCGGCTTGATTGGGCACGCCGTATCGCTAAATAAGAAGTCGACCTCTGTTGGCGAGACTGAGTGCGGCATTGGAAATACTTGCTCGTGGAAAATGTGCGGCATTGACCCCAATGCGAGTTACGGTGTCTATTTTGAGATCGCAAGTCAAGGCGGCCCCACACAGCATCAGCAAGGTCAGCAGAAGGGTATGATGCAGTTCTTGACGTATTACCAACATTCTTCGGGTCAATTCCATCTTCGGGTCACCACCATTGCCAGGAATCTAAGCGGCCCAGCTGGGGATCCGGCCATTGCCCAGTCCTTTGACCAGGAAGCTGCTGCGGTACTCATGTCCAGAATTGCTGTTTTCAAAGCAGAGGTCGACGATGGTCCCGATGTCCTTCGATGGGTGGACCGCATGCTTATCCGATTGTGTTCGCGTTTCGCCGACTACAGGAAAGATGACCCGTCGTCATTCCGGCTTGAGAAGAACTTCACTCTCTACCCTCAGTTCATGTTCCATCTCCGACGGAGCCAATTCCTCCAGGTCTTCAATAATTCACCCGATGAGACCGCCTTTTACCGTCACGTGTTAAACCATGAAGACGTGAGTAATTCTTTAATCATGATACAACCAACCCTCGACTCGTATACCTTCGACCAGGACGGTGGCCAGCCGGTTTTGCTAGATTCGACCTCTATTCAACCCACGCATATTTTGCTTCTCGACACGTTCTTCCACATCCTTATCTTCCACGGCGAGACCGTCGCGGAGTGGAAGAAGGCTGGTTACCAAGACCAAGAAGGCTATGAGAATTTCGCTGCCCTACTTGAGCAACCGAAAGAGGACGCAAGAGTAAGTCGGGATTCGCTATCGCTACGAGCGTATTGCTAATTTTTTTGGGCAGGATCTTATTGCCGACAGATTTCCACTTCCGCGTTTTATTGTTTGTGATGCCGGTGGTTCTCAAGCGCGATTCTTACTGTCGAAGCTTAACCCATCCACAACCCATACCTCAGGAGCGTACGGTGGTGTAGGTGCCCAGACCGCCCAGACTATCTTTACCGATGATGTGTCACTGCAAACTTTCATGGATCATCTTATGAAGTGAGTAATACCGAGTAAAGACGTTCCGGGATAGACATGTGTAAGACTGACAAATTGTGATAGGTTGGCCGTAAGTGGTACGAATTAGACATGTTTGGGGGCCTCATGAATTGCCTTTGGGAAACTTCTACGATGTGTGCTACATTTTGAAGGGGAGATAAGCGGCAAATTCAATGCAAACTGGGTTAAAATGAACAGAAGAGCTTAAGTATTGCGGAAGAGATAAGCCTAACTTGAGCCCTAGGTATTTTTCAAAGAAGGGAACCATTCATGCATTGAGAGATACGTTGTCCAGTGCACATATCCCCTCATTGTTATCGTAGACCATTAGCATGAATCGATGGGTTTTGCCTCTTATCATCTATCTAATGATTGAATGGATGAATAAATAAATAAATGAATAAATAAATGAGGGCATGCGAGAAACTAAATGTTCTAACATTTAATCACTCTGTAAATCTAATGTGTTGAACGGTAATAATGAAGGGATATATATAAACATATGACTAGAAGTTTGTACCTATTTAGGTCTACCTACCTAGGTTGTACGTGTAGGTAGAACCTGCCTAAGCTTTTTTGAAAAAAAAAAAAAAAAAAAAAAAAAAAAAAAAAGAAATCATTCATACAAGCAATTGCCTAAGCGAAGTTGTTTGCCAGGTCTATGCTTTCAAACCTAAGACTGCATAAAATTAAACCAATCATATCCTTAAAATCCCAACAAGTCTCCATTTATATTTTCCCGCCTTAGTACGAAATACATACCCCCACCGTCTAGGGTTTGCGAAGCCCACAACCGATTTTCCTCAACATCCAAGCTTCTTCAACTTCCACTGAATTCATTCCAATCCCTCCTCACGAGGTTCAGAATATCTTGCGCGAGAAAGTCTCCTCAATTTTTACAATTTGACCTCCGAGACTTATTCATATAAGCCAAGATGCGTAAGTCTATTCTTTGACTAAGCTCTTATCGTTTTGTTTTGTCTTGTTTTATTTATTCTTGTCAATTTTCTGGCTGGGGTTTTTTTTTCTTTTCCTATTACATTCATCAAGCTAACTGCTTCACACAAAATTATAGCTCCCAAGTTTGACCCCAACGAGGTTAAGGTGATGTACGTCGAATGAGATGCCCACAGACACGACTTCGCTAGAGCGGAAACTTGCGACCGTCGCAGACAAAATACTGACCGAATATCATATAGCCATCTTAGGGCCACTGGTGGAGAGGTCGGCGCCTCGTCCGCGCTCGCCCCCAAGATCGGTCCCCTCGGTCTATCGCCAAAGAAGGTCGGAGAAGACATCGCCAAGGCCACCGGAGATTGGGTACGCATTCTTTTCAACATCATACGAGGCCGATTTTCCGAGCTAACACTCACGATCAACAGAAAGGCCTACGAGTTACCGTGAAACTTACTATCCAGAACCGTCAAGCCGCCGTCTCGGTTGTTCCCACAGCTTCTTCGCTCATCATTAAGGCACTGAAGGAGCCGCCCCGCGACCGAAAGAAGGAGAAGAACATCAAGCACTCCAAGAGTGTGCCTCTCGACGACATCATCGAGATCGCCCGAACGATGCGATTCAAGTCTTTCTCGAAGGACCTGAAGGGAACCGTGAAGGAGATCTTGGGAACTGCGTTCAGTGTGGGATGCCAAGTCGATGGAAGAAGTCCGAGGGCCGTCAACGACGACATCGACAGTGGTGAGATCGACAGTAAGTCTCGACATACACCCCTCAGCTCCCCGCTAAGCTGGTTACTAACAAGGAATCTATCAGTTCCGGACGAGTAAATATGGATGAATTGGGTGGGCTAAAAATGGGCTTCTTTTTTTCCGCTGCATCTTTCAACAGGAGTTCAGGAATGGCTTGCGATAGTCTTCGCCGACGCACTCTGAATTGAGACGAATGAATCAGTAAAATTATATCTCCTTCGGTTTTCGTGACGTGTATACCCTTTTCCTTTCTAGACGGACCCATTCACGTCCTTGCCTACACTCTGAGATACACCTAATTCACCATGGTCTATTTCTATTTCGTGTCAAGGGAGATCAAACCAACGCCGACTACTCACCGCGGCCTTCTTGCTATCGTAGCAATGTGGAAGCTGAGGTCCATCTCACTAGGCTAACATACGGGCATATCTCGTGGGGGATGAGGGAGCTCTAACCTACCTAGGTACCGTGGCGAAGCAAGGATAGATGTGTGTAACTTTTTAGTAGGTTATAGTTAACCTAGAGGGAATAGACTCCGGGATTGCTAGAGTCGCTACTTGAGGACCTAAACAATTCCATCTCGTGCGAGTAAGCATAGCGAGTAAGCATACAATGGAATTTGGGGCGGTTGCGCTCTGCGACGTCCTCTAGCCTGATTAGTAAACTATAGATATACAGTCATACTCCCATAGAACATCAACCATGAAAATCCCACCTCGAGGCGTAGTTTATATATACATATTGGAAATACTCTAAAAGGATATCATTAGTGATGTGATTAGGAAATCGGATAGTGGCCAATCGGGTTGGTAAATACTACGCCGTTACGCATTACTAATCCCCCTATTATACTTATGCTGCAAAGACTCAAATGCACAGCAAGTCGACCGACTATGGTCGTGGTTGTAACGAATAGATGTACTGAGGGATAATTTTATCCACGTAGTTACATGGTCATCATGCATCTGATCAATCTTATGTACGAAGCACTTACATGTAGCTTTTACGCATCAGCATTCAGTACCTACCAGCCTACCTAGGTAGGTACTTGCCAGATCAGCAGGGAGTCACCGACTTTGTTAGGTATTAGTGGCTTAAATGTGGCGGCTTGAAATGTCAATCACGCGCAGTGAATTTATACAGGTTACGTAGAGTATCTGATATACACATGTAGGTACCTACCTGATGTAAAAACAAACTAAAAGCATGGTGCAGAAGCGGTGTATGTATTGATTACACGTGCCTCGTAGGCTTACGAATGTATCTGGGTGTATATAGGTAAACAATTGGGTCTTACATACCTAGGTATTTATGTAACTCATGCGGGAAATAAACTTCTTTATAATCTCTCCTGCTTATATTAATTGTTGTACATAATAAACTTATGTATGCATCCATGTTTGTAGTACCTAATTATGCCTTTGTATGTTTATGTATATGTAGGCTCGGAGTTCAATGTTGCTTCAGAGAGGTATTTCGCGCCCTATGTATGCTAGCTACATACGTATAAATGTTTATATATCCATACATATGTATGTATGTACCTCTATAATATATATTTGCGCGCGATGTCTAATACTGGGGTACTTAGCGTAGGTTGGTTTCATATATTATTTTAAATGTCATGAGTACCCGCCAACGTCAAGTAAGTAACAGGGATAAGCAGGTACTGTTTACTTGATATGATGTACTCACTAAGGCAGGCCACCTAATGTACATCTGCTAGCGCCCCCCAGCCGAAGAAATGGATGTGACAGGAGCTGATGGAGACCAACATCCATGGATGAACCAAAATTCAATTTGGACTCAGCCCCCCCACATACAACCAGCGCCGTTTCCTCTCGACCCTCATATTCTTTCTGTTACATATACCTACATACCAATATACGGACTGGCCGCGCGACTTGAACCTGATTTGATATGACATGACCTTTGATAAGTCCCTTTTTAACGCCAGCTTGAAACGATACCTCCCATCTCAATCCTTTCGACTCCCTTTTTGGTCGTCTATACCCGCATAGAAAATTGGTTTCTTACCCGTCATCCCAAGTCCATTCCGTCTCTCACTTGCCGGTCTGACTTCGAAAACCGCGTTCCTCTTTCGCATCTCGACTACCCCTTCGGAGTCGGAGTCCTTTCCTCTTCCCTGCCTCGCCTACGTCCTTGCGCCTGGCTGGCTCCGGAGCTTTCCCGTCGTGCGAGGCAGAGCAGAGGACGAGGAACCTATCGTCTGAGGAGGTAACAAGGAAGTCGGGATTTGGCCTGATCCTATACTTCGGATGACAGCCTCAGGTCAGCCCCCTGGCTAAGAGACCTACCTCTGCCTGTTTTTTTTTTCTTTCCTTTTCAATACCAATCTCCAAGCTACGTATACTTCCAAATGTATACCAGCCAGCTTCCCTCAGCCGTGCTCTAACCAGCAGGCTATAATGAGACCCCCCATCAACTCTAGCCTCTAGACCCCTCCTCTCTCTAAGCCTGCGCGGCCCTTGCCAGATGTTGCCCTCACTTCAAATGCACCATATGGTGCAGCCTTCACTGCACCTTGACTCTCCATCACCCATCCAACTAGACCGCAGACAGGGCCGCCTGTCTTTCCCTCAGTATGGAGGCATCGCCGCAAGAGCTTCTGGGTCGTCACTGGCTTTCGGTTTCGCGCCCGCCCACCGAGCCTTCCCCATTCGTTCTTCACAACCGCCGGCGCCATCCCTGCCGACTCATCCGAGGTCGAACGCGTTCATGATTCCGTCCCACCTAGCCGAACACGACGAACATCAACTTCGACGCAAAACCCCGAACGGTACAATAGATGCCGGCTACGATGGGAACCCAGCCCAGCTCGCGTCTGGTCCGCCACCCTTAAAGCACATGATACTACCTGCATCTTCTAATTTTATACCCACTGCCGTCTACTCGCAACAAGACGGTCATGCGATCAAGCACCAAGCCAAACTCTCGGCTGACAACTGGTCTTTCCAGTCTGCAAATTTCAATGTCCCAGACCATAGTAACCTTCTAGGTCCCGACTCGAATTCATTGGCTTCAGGAGGTGGTTGGCATCACGGTTTCGGTAATGATTCTCACAACTTCGTGGCCCTTGATTGTACACCTGGTGGTTTGTCTACGGCCTACTATCCTTACAATAATGGCGTCAAGATCCCGACAGCTCTGCAACCTATATATCAGCATTCTCCAGGGCCGGCCATTTTTGACAATGGGGGCCTCCTTCCACCCTCAGCCTGGCCCGATGCGAACATGCCTACTTATCATCCTACCGCACACCCAGGAGCCTTGAGCCACCATAATATAAGCCATCAATCAATGTCCCATATCCACTCTGCCAATGTGCTCATGCCGTCAAGAACTCCCTACAATACCCTCCTACCCCGTTACGACGAACCCTCGATAGGCTTGCAGGCGCCAGCTCATGGGCTAGAGTCTCTTACACTTGAGTCTACTCCGTTTCACAGACCTCGACCTGAGTTAAACGAGCCCACTACGCCCGGAATGTTTAGAGAGAAGGCTCTCGCAAATGCTCATCGGTCTTATATCGAGCTATTAGCGTATCTCCACCATAATAGAAAGTCGCACGGTCGCTCCACGCAGGAAGTCAAAACTTCGAAAATGGTCATATTCCCGAAGCTTCCTCGCCCCCAAAGTCATCCTAGTTCTGCTACTTCTTCACGGCGGCCCCAACATGCCTTTGGGGATTTGGGCGGTAGCAACGGTCACATAATGGGTTCGCGGGCCGATCCATCGCCAGAGTCATTCGGGCCGCGTGTCATGAAACAACAACCGCGGAGCGGCGGAACGTCGCATTCGGCCTTCTATCATTTATTCAACTCGGAAAACTCGGGGTACCCTATCGCCGACTCAGAACGAGTTACAACATCCAGCACGCCCCTCTCCGGCGCTAAAACTGCTGTGGTAATGTTGACACATCTGTGTGAACAAAGCGGCTGGAAATGGGTCGACGGAATGCTGCTTGGAGGCTGTTTACACTATGGCCTCGAACATTATGAACAATCCTTAGAATGGTTCCAAAGGATCGTATCCCTAGATGAGACGTAAGTCTACGTTTCTTATTACCGTACTCCCCTTCTTTCTTATTTTCATCTACGGCCAATATATAGTTTGAAATAGCCTAGCTGACCGCTATCCGTAGCCATGTTGAAGCAATTTCCAATGTCGCTGCTGCCCTGTACTGTCTTAACCGACATGACGAGGCGGAGCGTCATTGGCTGCGGGCCGTCCGCCTCCGGCCAAGCTATCTGGAAGCTGTTGAGCATCTTGTAGGACTCCTCTGTTCGAACCACAGGAGTAAGGAAGCTGTTGATATAATCGATTCGGTCCAGCAGTCTATCCGCCTGCATAATGTCCGCCTCAGCTATGACGTGGGCGTAGACGCAAGCAATGGAATTAGCGAACCCATATATGGTGCGCCTGAATCGCATGCGCCTATCCCCCCTGGGTCAACGAACAACGGGGGTGACTTGCAAGAGTCAAGGCTGCCTGGGTTTAGCTCAAGTGGCTATCGCGTAGCTGGTAGCGAGAACGGTCGTGTAATTGCACTGATACACGCCAAAGGAAATATGTTGTATGCACTAAAGGATATTGACAGGGCTTCCGAGGCGTTTGAGGAGGCAGTGCTCATCAGTACTGGACGAAAGCTTCGATGTATTCATTCGCTCATTCGTAAGATACAATCGGTTCTATCTCCCCCTGATGCCTTTGGATACACAAGGCGGAGTAATATACATGCGCCCTCCTCAGGACCATTGCTATTACCGCCGGAGAGGGCAAGGCACACGGCCCAATTGGTGTTCGCCACTCATGGCGAGCTTCCTGGGTTACGTTTTATGCCAGAGGGGACACCGAAAAGGTCTGCGATATCTACCACGAGCAATTCGCTACTATCATTAGCAAAAATCTTCCAAGATGCCATGTCTAATGGGGGCACCTTCCCGAGGCTCTTGCGTCAGCCCTCTGGCATTGGTGATATTTTGGCGCTCTACTATCTCTCCCTATCACTTTCCGAGAGCCCCTCAACGGCTAACAACGTCGGAATTTTGTTGGCCAGTGTTCAACATACAAGTTCAACACAGCAATCGCACATGTTCGAAAGCCCGAATATTCCGCAAATCCCGGGAATCGCTCCAGGCAGTGGCCTCGCTCTAGCTCTCGCCTATTATAACTACGGTTTAAGCTTGGATTCCAAACATGTCCACCTTCATACGAACCTCGGAAGTCTGCTTAAGGATATCGGACAGCTTGATCTAGCAATCCAAATGTACGAACAGGCCGTGGCTTGCGACGGGAACTTTGACATCGCCCTTACAAACCTAGCCAATGCTGTCAAGGATCGTGGCCGCATTAGCGACGCCATTATCTACTATAGACGAGCCGTCAATGCCAATCCCGATTTCGCGGAAGCTGTGTGTGGTCTATCCACTGCTCTCAACTCCGTCTGCGATTGGAATGGCCGGGGTGGTGTGCTTTTGCATGGCGGAACGTATGACCGTTGGCATGTTGACGAAAAGGGGATGCTTCGGGATGTGAGAAATGAAGGGGCCGGCAGCGGCTTGATGAAAAGAGTCGTTGATATTGTCTCGAAACAACTCGCGGACTCGTATCATTGGGGCGCTGGTGCCCTGCGAAACGGAGCTCTCGAATTATTAAGCCCCCAACTCAGCCTATCAACAATAGAGACGCAACAGTTAAACATTGAGAACGAGCTTCGTAAGTGGGCCGGCCGCCCGTGGGAAGGCTCAAGAATTTTGCGGCTTGTGGAACGCTCGATGAAAACGACGATGAGGCGATGGTATCTAGATGTCCACGTCCACGGCCGGCCGTCACAGTCGGGATACCCCCGGCTAAGATTGCCGCCTTCGCTAGCTGTACCATCTGCACCCACGGTACTTCCTTTTCACACCTTCACTTGTCCGTTGACGGCCAAGGATATACGGATGATTTCCCAAAGAAATGCTGCTAGGATATCATGCTCGACTCTCAAATCAGCATGGCTTCCGAACTCCGTTTATATGCCGCCGCCGCCTCCTCGCCCACACCTTAATGTCGGATATGTTTCTTCGGACTTTAATAATCATCCACTTGCACACCTGTGAGTTTAGGCTTCATTTCCCTTGAGCCTCCCTTTTCTTACTTGACTAATCGTGGTACTTTCAGGATGCAATCCGTATTCGGATTCCACGACCCATCACGGGCGAAAGCCTTCTGTTATGCCACAACTGCTAGTGATAAGTCGGTCCACAGGTTACAAATCGAGCGTGAAGCCCCCGTGTTTCGTGACGTGAGTAATTGGCCATCAGAGAAGCTCGTGGAACAAATAGTCAGGGACGAAATTCATATTCTTGTCAACCTCAACGGCTACACTAGAGGGGCAAGAAATGAAATATTTGCAGCTCGACCCGCCCCGATCCAGATGTCTTTCATGGGGTTTGCTGGCACACTCGGAGCCGAATGGTGTGATTATATCTTGGCCGATGAAACCGCCATTCCACCTTCCACATTACGGCCCATGAGAAGCAACATTAGTCTAGAAGATGTTTTCCGAGATGACGAGTTCAGTGATACTAACGGTTGGATGTATTCCGAGAACATCGTTTTCTGTCGCGATACTTTCTTTTGTTGCGATCATGCGCAGTCATGCGATACGGACGAGAGGAAAATCACGTGGGCCGATGAGCAACGGCGCAGGTGGAAAATGCGCAAAGAAATGTTCCCTAATCTTCCAGACGACACCATTATCCTCGGTAACTTCAACCAGCTATACAAGGTACGGTTCAAAGTCAGAGACTCGCGCAACTTAAAGTATGACTGACCATCCCAATTAGATTGAACCGTCAACATTTCGGACGTGGTTGCGCATCCTCTCCAACGTACCCAAGGCAATTCTGTGGCTTCTCAGGTTTCCCGAGCTCGGCGAGAATAACCTCAAGAAAACGGCGAGGGCCTGGGCAGGCGAAGATGTGGCGAGCCGAATTATCTTCACGGATGTAGCACCAAAACAACAACACATCTCACGAGCCCGTATCTGCGATCTCTTTCTGGATACGCCCGAATGCAATGCGCACACAACCGCAGCCGATGTTCTATGGTCTAGTACTCCGTTGTTGACCCTGCCCAGATATCCTTACAAGATGTGCTCACGTATGGCGGCATCAATCCTCAAGGGGGCATTGCCAAAGACGGCTCAAGGAGACGAGATCGCCCGGGAACTTATTGCTTCCAATGATGCGGACTACGAATCCTTGGCGACTCGGCTTGCAGGAAGCCTCACTTATCAATACACAAATGGCCAATACTGTGAAGGGTACGGGCGATTAGCTGAAATACGAAGGGTTCTTTTTGACGCAAAGTGGACATGCGCCCTCTTCGACACACATAGATGGGTAACTGATCTCGAAAGAGCATATCAAGAAGCATGGCGGCGTTGGGTGGCTGGAGAGGGCGGTGATATTTACCTATAGGATGGCGAAGCATATATGCAAGATGAGAGCAATTTTGATGCTCGATTTTGCACCTGATGTCGATGGGAAACGATGTCAAGTACTCGAAGCTGCTGTGGATATTTTTATCTCATTAGATATAATATCTCCTTCGGTAATACCTTAGGGAGCGAGGAGTTCTGGCGACTTGGGAGGGAACCGGCGTGTCAATTAAGCCTACGCCAGGCCCTTGTTTGCATTTTCCAACCTGGTTATGAGACAGGTATACATGAAGAATTCAATTTCTATGATAGAATAGGTGACGGACTCGGACCAAGTGCTGGTAGGGTTACGTCACATAGGGACGGGAATTTCAAGTCGTTTCAGTAGCGACTGCTAGGGGCGTTTGGCATTGCGGCAGCATGGATTCATGGATTCATGCTATCGATGGATTTTTAGATATACCCAAAGCTGACACCCCGATGGGCGAAAGGCTAGCGTTATCTTTCTTGGTTATGGCTTTTTCTTTCGGTTGTTTTTTTTTTTTTAACGGTTCGCTCCTCTACTTCCGTATCCTTTGGAACCAATAAAGAAAAGAGGGTCGTCCCTCCAAACACCAGGCAAAGTTACATGAGCTCGTAATATTTTCAAGGTCCGTTATTCGCCTTCGTATCACTATAAAACCCATGGCGGGTATCTGGTTCGTGAAACATCGGCATCGCTTATCCGTCCCGTTTGTACCTTTGTATGTTACGCAGAGATGTTGGTAAGTATTCAGTAGCAAAGAGACCAGGCTTTCAAGGTGTATCACCCGTGTATCACACGATGGAAATACACCGACTCGTCCCAGCAGGCTGGCTAGTACGTGGTGGCTTGGTAGGAAATGTAGTGGTGTGGAGCAAGACTTTCAGCCGGTGAAGGAGAAATCGAGGTGCGGCTGAGGGAAGTCTATTTATTATGTCGTATTTTATTTTATCTTATTTTTTTAATTTTTTTTGTTCCTTCAACGGTCACTATATCGAAGGCAAGCAAGGAGTACCCCAGCGAATTTTGGGGAGATTGTTGGGTTCGCTTGGCTTTACCGTTTCAAGATGACAGATGATTGGGTGGTGGTAAAAGAGCAAAGAGTAGGGGAGGGAATTAAAGAGCAAAGCAGAACAAAGGGCTTTTCCAATAAAGCTGACATGTGTGGCATCAAACTTCATTAAAGATTGGGGCTAGGACGCATGTACATATGCAACCTATGCAGCACCCTGTCTCTTACGCAAGTTCCAAGGTTTCTTTACAAGTCTCACGGATACAAATACACTTCAATAAACCAGAACTACGTCAGGGCGCGTGGTACGTGATCTTTTATTTTTATCATTACTTTTCCTTTTTTTTTTTTTTTTTCCTCTTCCCTTTCATTATTTTCCCAGTAGCTCACTATTTCACCTACGCCCGGGGTGGCTCCCCTAGTTCAACGCCTCCGAGCGCTTCCAAAGCCAGCAGAGTTTTTACTAGACGGAAGCTATAGATACGATTATTAAAAGCTTCCTTCTGTTAGAGCATGAGAACAACCATAGGTCTGATATTACACGCACACACACACACACATATATATATATAATCAACGATGTAGATAAGCACCATAAATATATATATATATTATGTACCTAGCAGCCTAGGTATGTAGTAATAATATATTTGTGGCATAAAGCAAAGCGCGTGCCACCTCCCATTAGGTACTAAAGTATGGTTCAGCCGGGCAGGGTGGGATCCAGGTGAACGGGTCGCTGGAGAAGCCATGAAAAGATCACCGTTCTAACGAACTTTGAATGACCAGGGTTTCTGTACCAGTACTCAAGCAAGTACACATACGACCTACACACAAGGCATTGTACATGATGCTGATACAAGTATCGGGTACTTTGGACCTAACGTCTTATCGTACAGGGACAACCCTATATGCCCTTGTCGGATCTGGGGTTCGCAGGCGGGTACTATCAAGTCACTGGCCCACTTTTACAGACTGAGTGTAGCACATCAAGAAACTCTAAAGTCTTTAAGTCATTACCAAAAGAATTATTTAGGTGCCTTCCTTCTCGAACAGATGAACAACTAGGGAGGACCCGAAATCTAAAGCCGAAGCTAAGTCACAAGCTAGACCTTAGTTGGCAACCATGATCTCGTTCTAGAAACCCTTTGAACCTCGTGGCCCTGTAACTCCTACTACCTACATGGTAAGGACATCAAGCATCTATCGAGTAGGGGACAGCTTTTCTTTAGTACTTGTCAAACGCCGCGGGTTATGGATAATAGACGTTTAAATAAACAACAATGGAGTAATTAGGAGAATGTGTATGTCCAAATTCATGAGTAGATCTAAAGGAATACGAAGAAAAAATAATATCATGAGCATATAGATACAAAGTCAAACATAAGTTCAAGAGACTATTATAAGATATATGTATATGTATTATATGTAGTTAAATTATTTTTTATCTCACGCGCAAATCTCGGTCTTTGGGTTGATCCCCTTTCTTGAGCGCGGCATCATACGTCCGATACGTCTAATAAATGGACGAAGTACTTTTAAGTGTATTGATTTTTTCACTATGAATTTGATAAGTACCCGACCACTGAATATGGCCTCTTTCTTTTTCTTTTTCTTTTTCTTTTTTTTGGGGGGGGGGGGGGTCGGGGGCTAGCTTAAATATTAGGGTCTGCCTGGGAAAGGAAGACGTACGTGCCTAGAGTTTCCACTCGACCCGCTGGAGGCAATTACTTAAAATATGTAAGTGTACATGTAAATAGGTAACTAGCATGTAGCTATCTAAGTACCGTGCCTACCTACGCACCTACGTACACGGGAAGTACCTTCTATTCCAGCCAACAGACTAGCGTAGGGGTGGATAGAGCTACACACGTACATAACATGTGTACCTAGAAACTTAAATCTAAGGTAGGAAGAAGGGGATAGGATAGAATAAGATGGAATAAGATTTATGGATGGTAGCGGGAGTGTGGGAGTGTGGGTCTCCTCCTAAGACTTACAGATCTAGATCTACGCCGACTATCCACGAATTCATGAATCCATAAACGAGGAACGAGGAATGGTATTGCTATTATCAAGCCCGCCCGTTATGACTCCTGTTACTATTAACTGCTGGTCAACCCATACCATCTCACCATCCCAACTCCTCTTCCCATCCTATCCAAGCCCTGTTCGTTCGTTCGTTCGCCGGTCTCTTCTGCTTAGTCCACCCACCCATCCATCCACGCACACACCGTCTCCCTCCCTCTCCTTTGCTCTCTTTCTATTTCTCCATCTCTCTCGCTCTCTCTTCATATTCTCTAGCTCTTCCACCCTTACCCCTCCCCCTCCAAAAATACATACACACTTGAATGTACCCTAAGTATCTAGCTTGAGGGTCGGGTCCCTTCCGGATCTCACCCCGCTGCCTACTTAAACTTCGTCCATAATTCTATCTATATAGGTTTCACTATCTCCCGTCCGAGCCTGGCCTCCGCCCCGAACGATGAACTATCTTGAAGAAATCTAGCTTCGACTGCGAAGCATATGCGTCCCAGCGCGCATGTCTATTGAATTCTAATGCTTCTTCTTCCCGTTACTAGCTATACTGAAGTCATATACTCAAAGTTTAGCTTGTTCAAAGAAAACACTCTATCTTGGTGCGAGAATAGTCATTGCTGTACCTAGCGAAAGGACCTCGAAGCGGGATGGCAGGCACCCAACGAGCCGGCTACTACTGCCACATCGCTATTATAAATAATAGCTCTCTCCCTCTCTCTCTCTATCCGGTGAAGAATAATCGTTAACATCAACTTGTCTGTCCAACCCTACTCTCTGGAGCACTCAAGCACATACACATATCGATATCCTAACATTCTTACCATAGTTACAGCGGTTGAAAAAAACTCTCAATGTCTTCATCAGAACCGGAGCATAGGCGAGGGCCTTGGTGTAAGGCCGAGGATGATAGCCTGATGAGCCTCATCGATGCCCAAGGCCCGCTAAACTGGGTTAGGATTGCTTCTCGGATACAAACCAGGTCACCCAAACAATGCCGTGAACGATACCACCAGAATCTCAAACCATCACTTAACCATGGACCCATAACGCCCGAAGAGGGTGTGCTCATTGAACGAATGGTGCAGAATAACGGGAAGAGGTGGGCCGAAATTGCAAGGGCACTCCCGAATCGAAGTGACAACGCTGTCAAGAATTGGTGGAACGGCAACCAAAACCGCCGAAAGCGTATGGCGCGCAAAAGCACTGCTGCCGGTTACGGGAACGGCTACGATCACTTCAGCCGGTATTCTGGGTCGGATCGTTCCCCATCCCCACCACAGCCCCCCTCGGCGTCATTCCACACACCTTCAAGCTATACCACTCCCTCGGTATATCCACTCGGCTCACATGACTCGGGCCATTTCTCTGTGTTTAACCCTCACCAGCAGCACCATACCCAAACAGTGCATTACTCAGGGCTGTCCTCTCCTTCGACAACCTCGTCTGGTATTGAGTTCCTAGACCTGCATCCTCTGTCGAACTCGCATCCTAGGCCCATACATGATACTATTCAGTTTCCCAGAAGGCTACCTTCGCTACGGATTGACGTGGAAAGATCATCAGAGAGCTCGGCCACAACACAAGGCCCTATGTTACCGACACTAGAGCCACCTGTCTTCCCAACAAGGGATCCTAATGCAATACGGTTACCCTCTATCCGAGAGATATACGATGATTTAAGCCCACTACGTACGGATGTACTCTTACCACCAGTACGCCTTACCGAACAACTGCCGCAGCTGGGGCCGGAGTCCTCTGCATCCAAGGAGAAGATAGAAGCAGCACGTTCGCTGATTTCCATAAGCAGTCTTCTGACGTCATGAAGAGAGCACGATGTGTTGTTTTTGGTGTATAGTTAGGATATCCTCGCCGGAAGTTGAAGCAAGGATAAATTTGGTTGTGTTTATATTTTGTCTTATAGATACCTAGGTAGTTATGGGCAGAAATCGCAGAAGAGGACCCCATGGCGCAATTACATAGACGGCCAACGACCCGATCGGCGTCGAGAGTGGTTGGAGCGGAGAGCAGCATGTTTCTAATAATGCCCCGCAGGAGGCTCATATTCTGAATGGCATTGAAGCCTCTAGCGATTATAAATTTATCAATATTTTTAAGAGGAATGATGCCTTTGATCTACCGATCCTGAGTTGAATATGTCTAACCCGAACAGTGCCGCTTAACGTGGTCCGATATACAGTGGTTGGAACGCAGAGGACTCCCGAACGAAGCAGTGTGAAGCATCTGCCCTGCAAATGGCGAGATAATTTCAAGTTTATTAGATAGATCGTCAAGTGCAAATATGTTGTGTCTCCCAGTAAACAGTGGTCAGGATAATTCCACCATCGTCGAAAGGGGACTATTACATCTGCCATTGACAAATTTAGGGGGTGTATTGCGACACCTTGGGTATCTTTTTATCTCTCTTTACGCAACGCTGAACAACTAATATTACAAGTGACCCGCTGTAAATATATATCGACAGCCAAGGCTAGGTAGAGAGGTATCGACCAACAGCTAGGAAAACACAGCTATACGGTCCGGCTTGGATGAGAGGGCTCTCGCCGGGCTTGGGCATGGGTGGGCAGACACGGCGAACGGTGTAAGTGCTGCGTCCAAAGTCCGAGAAATTTTGTACGCAAGGCAAGCAATATCCTTGTCTGGATCAGCCAACCAAGCCTGTTCATTTGCCTCGAGAATCTTTGATGATCCAAAATGGATCACCGGCCATAGCATTGTGCAACGTTTATCAACCAGGGCATCAGCAGCGTCGAATCGAGGCTACCTCAACATCGAAGGAAGGACGCTACAACATAGTACAAACGTACGCACAGACTAATGTGCAATATTTACCCATGTCGACGAAGTTGGTGGCTGTGGCGTAGACTTGACTAATCGTTAAGTTGCATTGACATGGACGCTCTATCAGCTTTCCTCCACTTGTCTGGCGCCCTTACATGTACGTACATATGTACATATACCTTCGTGCTTATCCGATCTTCCCTGCACTTCCAACTGGAGAGCGTTTCGGTGGAGAGGATGGAAGGGGGAACGGTCTACTAGGATCGTGGCGGCGACCAGGTTCCAAGTATTTATCCATACTCCGTGGAAGAATATCAACCTTCGTCCTCCTCTAGACATTTCAATGGTCTATCATTATTCCTTCTTCCCTTTGATGAGCGGGGAAGAAATACCCATACATACATGCTCGCACACATACGCATTTACTTGCGTATGCACATGCACAATAAGCGACCAGCCATCTTTCAGGCTAGGCCGTTACCAGATATCAGTTAAGAGGCGAGCTCACCGTACTTCCCTCAAGTTCGTACAAGTGCCACGTATTGGTAGGACAACTTTCCAGCAAGTACCTAAGTAAGGTACATGTGGTATATGCTACTCAGAGTGAAGTTACCTATCACCTCCTCTTCCTCCTTCTTCTGTGATAGGCACCAATGAATTAAACGATGCAGGGACATGGGTATGAGAGGATCATATACATGTATCTCCATTTATGCTCACGGGAGCAATTTTTTCGGCTGTCTCCGGTCGATTAGACTCCCGACCGTTAACCGTTTCGAGGGTGGAAGTGTTACCAGTAAGCCGGTAATAACGACTTGGCGCAAGGATCTACTGTTGTTGTACTGTATAACATGTACGTACCCTAGTAGAGAGGTACGAAATGAGTGATTTAAGCACGATCCGCTGTTGTCCCCTTAGCCCTTTCATTTATAATTTATGTGATAGTAGGTCGTCAATGAGATGCAAGATTCGCTCTTGGAGATTGTCCCGCATACCGTATATATATATAATACATACATACATATACCTGTGTAAATGTATACATGAGCAATTAGTGGAAATACACAGTGTGATGTACATGGGTATTATGTAGGGCACAGTATTGTTCTTTATCCGCTCCCATGAAGCCTTGGCATAGCGTTCCGAGACAAGACTTTGCTAAAGAAGTGATCTACAGAAACAGTAGGGTTACTATTGATTACCTAGGTATTCGATTATGAGCTCCACAGGACTAGATAGAGATATACTAAGCTAGCTGATGGAAAAGATGCGAATATAAAGGACCGAGAGTCCGGTTCATTGGAACATACCCGGGGAAATTAAGAGGTGAGTGGGAGAGAAGCGGATAGAGATCCGATATTCCACAAACAGCATGGGCCCAGAGATCTGGTTCAGCTTGTGCTCGGTTATCGAGAAATATCGCTGTTACATCGCAGGGGACTTTGCTTCTTGCCACAACCCCTTGTAGTTAGATACACTCGCAATTTTTTTTTTTTTTCAACTCTCTCCTTAGGTAAATACTACTACTTATAATTGTGACACCCACCCTGCCCGAATAATTGACAGAATGGTACCTTAACTCCTCAGCCGATTGCCATAAGCATTAAATATATGCTTGAATATAGGCATGCGATAACACGGCATGGTCTCTAAAATTATATGATCTGTCTGTGTCCCCTTCCTCTTGCCGCCATCCCTTCACGTCCTAATATCGGTCTTTTTATTATTCTGTAAACCATTATACCATTTACCGTGGCTCGGCCGCGATGTCAAAAACAGTCGGGTTGTTTGATGACAGGAGAGAAGTGATCCTTCTGACGCTCTCCGGATTTTCATCGCTTTCCTCCCTAGATGCTTCGAATGATCGCACTGGCGACGCCGTCATAATCCAATTATCGGTGTTACACTGAAATCCAGGACTGGGGTTTATCACTATCCTAGGAGTCCGGCGCTATCACATTCTTAATGTTTCACTAGCTTTCACAAATAGCCGTTCCTTCGATAGCCTAGGTCACTATATTACATTACTTCGCAGAAATTCATCATTGTCTTTTATCTCAGTTAGCTAACATAATCTTGAAAGAGTTGCTAAGTTGGGTGCGTAGCCGCTGCTTTCCTCGTCAAGTTTTTAATCCTGTACCTGTCCAACACTTGCCCAATCCATTGCCGCAGCTGGTGTCGTAATTGTTCCATGTTGCCGTCTCTGTTGTGGCCCGGCTTTGGGGCTCGTTGTCCATCGTAATGGGGAAGACGTATCATCTCCCGGTACGAAGGAAAATCTCGATAAGCCTCGTAATTGTTCGGAGCATACACGATGAGCACTCGTGCTAGCAGACTCCACACTCATATACCCGCCAGTATGTCTCTCCGATTGTAGTGTAATGTCTTCGCTGCTCCTATGGATTACGTCGCGATCGAGCAAGTCTTCCAGCATTTGTCGCCTGGCCTGCTTTACCCCCAGCATAGGCTCCCCTGACATCACCTCTACCTTATCATCGAGCGTTGAAACGTCCGGTATGTCATCCGAAAATAAGGGGCGGGTGTTTAACTCTATACCACCTGCGGGTTTATCCACAGTCGCCACGGGACTTTTCCCCAGTCCCCGAGGCACGGTTAAAGCACCGTGGCGTGATCGCCTCCCTTTCTGATAAGCCATTTCGATATTGACAATGGCTTCGTGTTTCCTTATCTTCTCGCTTATGAGGATATCATTCCTGTTGTCTAAAACCAGCGCCGACGGCGATGATTTAGATGGTTCCATATCATGGGGTAAATCCAATGGGATCTCTGCGAGGGCCACGAGTGAGATATCGCTCTTGGATGACTAAAGTGGTAAGAAGCAGGTAAACTCACCTGGCATAGTATTGGCGCTAAGATGCTTCAGTTGAGATACGAGCTGCTTCGCCTGGGGCCCATTCCTATCAACGATGGAGTTTGTCCTGGCGACTGTGACTGCTTCTAGCCCTTCGCGGGACGTCTTTGAGAGTAAAACCTCGAGCCTCTTGATTTCAGTTTTATATTGGTGTTCGCGTTCCAACCATTCATCAGCCACCGATTTGAAATGTTGGAAGTGATGCTCGAGCGAGTTCTTGGCTTCAGCACAAGCAGCTTCAAGAGTTCGGATACGTTCCTGTGCATGAGCAAACCCTTCGATTAAATGTATAATGTAAGAATTATACCGTGCGGGGATGGGATGAAGCACATCTCGGGTCATGATGGCAACTTGAAGTGCCTCAACCATCTGATTTAGCGATGGATTGTACCATATCCTGTCCTGTTCACGCACGAGCAACCTGGTGTTGTCATTGCCACTTAAAGGATCCGAAGAAAACGGAGGGGAATTAACGAAATCCGGGTAATTCGAATCTAGAATCGGTTCACATTCAGGTGTTGGCGACTGAGGCATACTGGGTGGACGGGAACGCTGCCCCAATCGAAGCCAACCAAAGTCGGTCATAATGGGAAGGGGAGGTTCTTAAGGATCTAGTAACCGTGTAGCCAGCTGTAAATCGACAGAGTAGTTATCACTATGTTAGGAGAGAATGTGTTGTCGCGTGGGGGTAGGAATAATAGAAACAACCGAAGGCGAGTACAGGTGAAAGGAGGTGGCTGCCAGGGAATGAGTAATGGGTGGACTTTGTAGGAGGTGCGGAAAGTGGAAAGTAAAAAGTAAAAAGTAAAAGTAGAGAGTAGAAAGAAGCATAGAGTAGAGTAGAGTAAAGATATGAAGAAGGCATGAGGATGAAGGCAGGATGTGGGAAGGCGCGATAACGTGTCGACTAATAGAGTTGGACAAATCGGTGGGATGCATCTAATGGGATATGCCTACATGTGCCTGCTACATAAGGAATGATTTCTACGGGAAGTGGCGGTTTATAGTGTCCAACGATAAGTCACCTTCCACAGCCATCACAAATCAAAAATCATCTTCTGAGACGCTTCAGTATCAACCAACCCATCCTTTATTATGTCGATAGCTTATTACAAGCAATAGCGAAAAGGGAAGAAAGGAAGAGCAGGAAACTGAAAAAAAAAAGGCCGTCCATATCGGTATCAAGGACAATTAAATTTATATTGCTGAGGCCTGGAGAGCATAGCTGTTGATGCCTGTCGCTTAAACCAACGCCAACCAGTGCCGTCAAAATAGGAGAGCATCGTGGATTTTTATCCCCCAACCCCTGTCTATGATGGTACAAATTATGTTTACAGTGTTCAACAGCACATGGTGTTATATCCTTCTAGGATAGTATCGCGATGATGCCGTATTTAATTCACCGAGAAAATGGCGCCTGTGCAACGGCCCTAAGGCCATCCCGTCTCCCCCTTTAGTCAAATAGATCCCCTGCTCTCTGCCTTTGCCTTGTTCTTCTCTCGAGCCCATCCGTGAACAGCTCTTTTCCGGCATTCTGACCAAGTTTCTCGGGGAACAATTCTCTAGCAGACCTGCCAGCACTACCCTTGATCGAAAAGCCTTGGTTAGTACTCCTTTGGGTCGCTGTACCGCGAATGTTGAATTCTTGTCGGTCCTCGGTACCCGATGCCTGGCCCGGGAATCTGTCGTGCCCTGGGACCGTAATTCTGTCTTCGAGCCGCCCCGTCACCGCCGGTGTATCACTGGTCTCATCCATCAAAGGCAACATTATTCCCTTTGCCAGTAGAGTCGTCGTATCATCAACATCGTCACCTAAACGCCCAATCCCTGTCGCCAGTGTGTCAGGGAAAAGCTCCCTAGTCTTCGCGCGATACAGACGACTCTTCATAGCACGTGCAGTGTTTCGATTTCGTTCCGCCGAGCCGTCACTACCATCCAAGATACCATTCGTAGCTCGGATACCATCCCAGTCACTAGGAGAAGCTGATCGCGCTTGTCGAACGTCGTCCCGGGTGCTTGGGCTGCTGGGAAATAGCTCCTTACCGCGATTTTCATTACGATGCGGAACCAACTCGCGCCGATCGTCGTTCGTATCTGGCGTAAATGATCGCCTTCGCCGAGGTCGTGATTGCACGGCGCGGTTAGATAATGTAACTTCATCATCGTCATAGAGGCTAACGTCAAAACGGTCGAGAGAATCTTGGTGTCGCGCCTCCCTTACTCGCCTGCGATTATATCCATCGCTATCTCGATCGCGGTATCTTCGAGCTTCATTCCGTCGCCGCCGTTCCTCTGGGTCGTATTCAGGATTAAGAAGGTAAAATCGACTTCTCGAGGCAGCACCCGCCTGTTTTTTATCGGTCGAAAGAGCTGGTCGTATACGTAATACCACGTCGGGCCTTGACGCAAAAGGCTTCGCAGGGACTGGTTCCACTAAATGGGGCTGCGGAACATATCGAGCGCTGTCGTGGGTACCTTCTATTGCTAGAGAACTTAAGGCGCGAGTAGTATTATATTCCGAGCTAAATATAATGTTGGCAGAAGAATCATCTATCCATTCTATACGCTCCACTGGTGAGTCCGGGAAGTGCTCGAGTACGTAGGATTTGACTTCTTCAGTATTTAGGGTCTCCAAGCCGCGGATGTGGAGTTTATTAGGAACAATAGTACGCTCCAGTGAATTTGCGTCAACTATCTCGCCAGGAGACAAATTGCCCTAATGAATTGAATCTTGTGTCAATATCTTTTCCCATTCCTGATTGAAGGAAGTGGACTTACGGAATGACTATGGGACTCAGGCTCGGTAATTATCGGCTCGTCAGGGACGAGGTCTACGTCAACATCCATTTCAATATCAAGGTCCATGGCGTCCATAATTACGATACTAGGATTCAAAAACGTAGTGGGATGAAGAGAAATGGGATGTGCTAGAGGGGAAACAACAGAATGAAGTATGGTATGGAATTTGGTGGTTTAATTTGTAAATAGAATGGGTGATGTTCTGGGGTAACCTTGTTTACGGAGAGTGTTATCGATAAGGATAGCATAATTAAGAATATACCTCCTTAGGGATGACAAAGGTGACAACTCCATTAAGGCTCCATTAAGTCCTATTATAATTAAGTAGCTTACCACTTAATTTATATATTAAAATACTTATAAATGAAATATTTTTATTACTATTTTTAATAAAAGGTATATATAATATTTAATAATATTAATTAAAAAAATATTATTATATAAATTAAATAATAAAATATATAAAAATAATATTAAAAATATATAATAAACTTATGCTTTAAAAATATAATTACTATTAAATTTAATTAATTTAAAATATCTTAATTTAAAGATAATAATATTAATAATAGATTAGATAATTAAATAAATTTTATTTGTTAAAAAGGCTTAAAATTTTCTTATTATATTTTAAAAAATAATCTTAAATTAATAATTAAAAATTTATAAAAAGAGTAATTAAATATATAATTATTCTTCCTTTCCTTTTAAGGTTATTATAATATATTATATTTTAATATATTAAATTAAAATTTAATCATAATAATGTTATAACCCAACAGGAGGAAGGCCAGGAAATAAAGACCTGGTAGGGCCAGGGTAACCAATTAAAAGAGGTCTTTATAAAGATAACAAAGATTATATATTAAGACTTATATAATAACCTTTGGAGGTCTCTGGGAACATAATAGAGACAAATAGAGAAAGGATTTCTGGAAATATCATAGAAATAAACAAAAAGGAGGTTTTTAAAGGTCTTTATCTAGGAAATAGAGATTATTTAAATAAAAGATATATAAAAAAAAAATCTTTTATATATCTAATTATTCTTTTATAACTTTTTGATTATTAATTTAAAATTATTTTTTTAAATATAATAAAAAGATTTTAAGCTTTTTTAATAAATAGAATATATTTAATTATTTAACCTATTATTAATATTATTATTTTCAAATTAAGATATCTTAGATTAATTAATCCAGTAATAATTATACCTTATTAAAACATAAGTTTATTATATTTTAATAATTCTTTAATTAATATTAATATTACATTAAAAAATGGTATAAACTATTTATAAAATATTCTTTTACCATTATTAATTAAATCTTCTTTTATTTCATTAATCTTTAAAGATAAAATAAAAAACCTCCATACCTTTTAAGAATTATTTTTCAAAGAATATCATAATTAAATATAGAATAAATTAATAGATCCTAACTTAGAAAATAAAGAAAAGTTAAATAAAAAGGAATTCTAAAATGAAGGCTTAAATAATTTATAATAGCTTAATCCATTATTATTTAAAATTTATTACTAATAAAGAAGGTATTTTAATTCATTAATAAGATAATGCTTTCTAAGATATATTCATAAGTCCCAGAATTAGAAGTTTAAAAAGAAATTAATGTCAGAATAAAAAAAGATAACCAGGAAAAAAAAAAGGCCTCTGATTAGGAAGCTAAGACAGTAACCACTTTTAAAAAAGTTAAAAAATTTAAAAAAGAATTGGCTTTAAAGAAGGTTAAATTAAGGAAGGCCTTTAAAAGGTCCTTATTAAGAACTTCTTAATAATTAACCCCTTTTCAGCCTTTGGTATCCCCTAGATCACCAGATAATGACAATAATGGGGATAAAAGAAAAAAAAAGGAAAAAAAAGGTAGAAGATCCTAACTAAAAAGAGAAAGAATAATAACCCCCTTCCTATTTGTTAAGGGATACAAATCAGCAAACCCACTAACTTATAATAGGACTTTAAACGTTAAAGATTGGCTTATATATATAAAACTTTATTTATTTTTTTATAAAAAAAACTTATTATAGGAAGAATAATAAATGTTTATTATTATTTAATTTTTAAATAAAACTATCCTTATATGGTTTTAATTTATTTTAAAAAACCATTTTAATATTATTAAAAAAGAATTTAAAAAGTTTTAATATATTTTTAAATTATATAAACATTTTGAAAATAAAATGTAAATGATATTTAATAAATTATTTAAAAAGGAGGAGGCACAGAAGGCCATCCATCACCTTAAATAAAAAAGACAAATTATATTCTATGTAATAGAATTTAAATGACTTATAACTATAAGATAATTATCTAAAGATATATAATTTAATTACTTTTATAAAGAAATGGCTACCTAGGTGAAGGATAAATTCTTTATGATAATAGGTTATATAAAAGGTATAATAAGAAAAAAAAGGCTTTAAAATAACAAAAAATCAGAGAAAAAAGGGAACTAATTAAGAATTAAAACTTTAATATAATTAATAATAATAAAAAACCCAAAAAGGATTTAAATAAGATTAAATATTATAATTATTAGGAAATGGAATATTATAAGAATCAATATAAGAAACCTAAAAGATAATTATGAATCTTAAAGGGAAGATTAATTAATATAATAATAACAATATTAGGATCCTTAACCTTAGAAATATTTAACATTATTGAAGAAGAGGAAGAAAAAGAAAACCCATTATTGAATTATAATAAAGTTATTTAGTAAATAAAAATGGAAAATTTTATGGACTAAATAAATCGATTATAGGATCTTGGTGTAATAGGTATGAGAAATTCCAAAGAAGAAGAAATGAATATCTTTTTGGAAGAATTTAGTTCTTTTTTAGATGAATAAAGATTATTATAGGATATAAATTAAAATATAGAAAGAAAAATAGAAAGAAAAATAATGTTTTTAATATAGGTTAATAATTAAAATATTTTTATTATATTATTACTAAATAAGAATATTATTTTAATATATTTTAATGAAATATAATTATATTAATAAATAATATAAGATTAATAGGATTTTAATAATAAAAAAGGATAAAATTAAACCTTTAAATTAAAATTCATATATTATATATAATTAATTAAATAAATAAATTATTATTCTTATAATCTTGGTAATTTATAAGACTTAAAATATATATTTAAAAATAATGGAAAATAAATCTAAAAAAATAAGAAATAGAATTATAAAAAAACCTATAGAATTATTATTAAAAAAATATTTAAAAGATAAGGAATATTAATATTATTTATCATAAATATATTCAAAGATTTAAATTATAAAAAGGTAATTGGAAAAGGATAGAATTAAAAATTTATATAATAATATTATAAGAATATATATAGGGTTACCTATATATTATTCTATAAGGAAAAATAAGGCATAATTATCTTAATTAAATTTATTTATGGATATTTAAAACAAATTATTTAATATTTAAATATTGTCTTAAATAAATATTATAAATAAATGTTATTATAATATAAAGAGATAATTAATTAATTTTAAAGAAAAATATAATATTTGGATAATAAGATTGTAGTTTTTTAAAAAAGAATTAAATAGTTAATGGACTTGTTATAAGGAATAATAAATATAATTAATAAATAATAAAATATAATAAAGAAATTGCTAAGAATCTTATAAATAATATTAAATAAAGTTAAATTAATATGTTTAATGGGAATAATTAAGAAATCTTATTTAATTATAAAAATAATATAGAAAAAATATAAATTTAATATCTTAATTAATTTAATGTTGGTAGGTACGTATGTAAGTAAAGCAAAGTAAAAATAAAAGAAAGAATAAAATGGTAGGGGTGAGATGATGTGTATTAAGTTATCTAAGGAAGAAAGGTTTATCTACATAAGTAGGTAAGCAAGGTATCCTATTTAAATGCAGAGATGCTGACCAAGTAGGTCACATATTCTTCATTATACAATCATCACTTACTCTATTTTCTTTTCACAATTCAGTTGATTATAAATTCATCACTTGTCTTCACGTTTTACCCATCCCTCCAATCATAAATCAATTTGGTTGTCCTTCATTAGCCTTTTCATAACTTCATTTGGGGATGCCTTCGTTATGGCATCCGCGGGGTTATAACTGCTATGAATCCAATGGATGTCATCTATCTCTTGGTTCTTATACAATTGTCTTAAAGCCATCAAGTTGATCATTAATCTTTTTTTATTAGTACTGCCTATCTGTACCAAATATTAATATAAGGAGAAAAAATTGATACATAGAATAAGAGGGATTTTGGTAAACAAGAGGTGCCTTAGAATTGTGTTAACAATATGGTAGATAATGTAGCCAATATCAAAACCTTGGACTATCCTATAAATTTTGTTGGCAAGGATGTTACGAGTGACACGCTTACACTTGGTGGATAATTAATAGATAATATTTCTAGTGATCTAGACTTTATTATCTTGGCTGGTTGATTTTTTATTGCCTAAGATAATAATATAACCAATCTATGAACTTAAATCCTTATTATTTACGAATGATCTGTTAATAAAGACGTATAGATATAAGTCTTATAGGTCTAATTCAACATAATTAAGTCCTTATATTTGATTATCCATCTGCCACTGTATCCTGGCATTAAAAGACTTTGCTTTCTTAGGGCCTGGCTTAAGATATTAGGCTGCTATAGAATAATCAAAAGCAGCTTTGGGTTGATAGATAGAGGTAATATACATACCTCTAACCCTCTGCTCCATAAACCTCTTGATCATGTCGGGGTTTTTTATATCTAAAAACTTAAGCTCTTTAGTTTGGCCCTTTTGAATGATGGAGATCCCAAAATCCTTATCATGGACCGTGATATGTAAACCGTTGAAGTCCTCAGATCCTAAGTCCATTACTTTTTAAAGGCGTGCCCTGATTCCTACCTTGGCAAACACTGCATTTTCAGCAGTAAGAAAATCTATAATGCCTATATTAAAAATGTCGTCTATCTGAAATCCTGTGATTCCGAAAGGGCCTAAGTCCGTCACCAGTAAGCATAGGTCAAAGACTAATGGTTTTATATGTAACTTTTGTTAATAATGACATAAATAAATTTTAAACTAATAGATGCCTAATTCTATAAGACCATACAATAGCTTAACAACTCGTAATAATATTCCTTTAGGATATTTATCCTTTAATTCGGCCAGTAATTACATGAAAATTATCCTCTATATTGATATTTTGGACTAAATATATACCATGATTATATCCTATATTATAATCTTCATCCCTTAATAATATAGCATAAGGATAAGAACCAATATTAGTTATTAATTTATCCTTTAAATAATGGATATATATATTATAATAAATTCCTTATCGGGATTACCATATCCTTAGACTATAAATCGTAACTTTTTATAAAAAAAGGAAATGTTTTTGGCCTTAATCTTATAAATCATTTTTGATTTGAAGATCGTCACACCTCGGTAAACTGCCTCGTCATACATTTCAGGTTGCAGGATGCCTTCTTCGAACAATACATTCACCTCCTTTATATCTAATTCCTTATATGATTTACCTAGAATAATTATCTTTCTATTTGCTTATAACTTGAACACGAAGGTGAGATTATCTTATTCCTTGATAATAAGATATAAAATAGCAACATGGAAGATGTTATTGATATATATGAGATCTTTTTCGAGGATAATTTCAAAGTTATCAGGGTTGAACAAGGATGGAGGTAACTGGATCTCCAATTTCTTTGTTAATTCCAGGATTTCCTTAGGTTAGATATACAATTTGATATGGGAGTTCCTAAATATCAACATATTACCTAAAATGTTAGAAACTATAATCATATCTTTATTAATAACCATAATAACTTTATATGGATCTTTCCATCCACCCTTCTTATAATATACCAAGACTTTGCTACTAATAAATAATAATATAAATAATATCTTCTATATATTAAGGCCGTTTTATATGTTCAAGACATCCCTAATAGAATATTATGCCTTGATCTTCCTGATCTCTACCATTGCCTTTTAGACTATCTATGTCCTCTAGGTCTGTAAGGGGATGGGTGGCAAATCCATGTTGATCCTTGGGTAGATGTCAAAGACTAAGAGAGTAGGGATAAGGCTGTCCGGATTGGTGATGTTGTTGACCACCTTAACGGCCATCTAAAATTGTAATACCTTTAAACCAGAGTCCTGAAGTTTATCCGTTATGATCTCGTAAGCTCTACAGATGGGGCTATAATATTCCTCAACCTTGCCGATGGATTAATATGCCTCTACTAGTATCTGGTTATAGATAATTCCAGCGATACAGGTTTCGTTTCTGAATTTGATGTTGTCAAAGTTGGTATCGGTATCGTATATGACGATGTCCAGGGGGCCAAGGTAAGTATCAATCTAGCATTATTTCAGCATCTCCTAAGTTTCTTTAGCTGAGATGGTCCTTATGAAATATGTTATTTAGAAGTCCATAGTTACATCAACCATGTATAAGATTGGTCATTTATTAAGGTACATTATATCGATAATTATCTCGTAATTAAAATCCATATCCAGGTTCCTTAAGCTAAACCTAAACCTTTAAAAAGCCTAACCTTTGATTTGGCAATAATAACAAAATTTATTAATTTTTTTGATATTATTGATATTAATATTATAGCTAGCCTTGTCCAATAAATTATATAGTTTATTCATAAATGGGTGACTAAAACAGGTATAAATATATTATAATTTAGGTTCTATAAAATAAATTATATTATCTAAATAGAATTATAGATATCCTTATCTACAAATAATTATGATTATTATTCCATTTTTTTTAATTAATTAATTTATAATATTATTTAAGTATACATCTAAATAATCCATATCTTTAAGATATATAAGGAAAGGAATATCTAACTCTATGATATAGAAATTAACTAATCTGAATAGGATGTTGATTATGATCATTCCCAGTGATTTAATTGGAGGTCTATCGCTAAACCTAATGTTTATTTCTCCAGTTCGGTTGGCATCTACCTTAAGGCCGCGTTCGGGGAATTCCTTGATGAGGGTTTGATATTATCCCTTTTCGACCATGGATATTTTTGCTACGCCTATATCGGGAATAATCCCTTGGAAAATATTTTTGGTATAATGATCTAAAATAAAGGTAACGCTTATCTTAGATTTATCAAAATGAAGGTTGGATGTAATGCAGTGTTGACATGTTTAATTTGCCAGATATGCCATGGTTAGGTACTATTTAGCGTCTATTTCTTTTGGTTTGGTGGTAATGGGAGTACCATTGTTATCGCCTTTGGAATCAGAACTTTCTTCTTTAATTCCCTTATAACCAATTAAGAATATAACATACTTATCCTTATTTTATCCTTTTCTGATTTTCCATCTGCCTTTAGCTTCCTTTTGATTTTCTTCAGAATGTTTTATAGATTAATATCCTTCCTTCTTATATACCCAGCATCATTGCTTCCAACTTTATAATACCTTCTTTGATTGGTATCTACTACCCTTGTTGCTATAATAATACCTTCTTTTAATATAGAATTAATTGATATCTTTATTACTGTTATTATTAATCATATATTAATATGTTTCCCTTAGATTCTTATAGATACCAATTAACACATATAGCTTGCTAACCAGCTCCTCAAATCAATATAATGGAATAAATAAAGTATGCTACAATTATGGGATGCTATAGCAAGCACATTATACCATCGCAATAAACTATTATTCTCCTCTGAAGTCTCTTTTAAAAACTTATTAACAAAATAACAGCTTATCCAACATGATTTTGAATATCTCCATGTTAAACTTTCCTTCATTTTTCTTATCAACTTTGCTACCAAAGAAGGTGATAATAATCCAGTTATAATAATACTAGATCTTGTTTTATTCCATGTTAAAATATTATTCTATGGTGAAATATATATTTATAAAGTATTAATATTGTGATATATTATATAGGAAATAGATTATTACCCTTCCTATAAAAATGGTAGAAAATATGGCATAGAATTATATTTAATATATTCCAACCATATAACATATATCTAAAAAAAATTGGAATTTATCTTCAAAGATATTATATATTTTATTTATATAATTATTCTTATTATTCTAGGCTTTTTTAAAGTGATTAATAATCATTAGCAGGCACATTTTATTCAGAATTTATGCTAGGGGAACATTATAATATATATTACCTTATTGGTTACTAATAGGCATGGATATTTATTCTTATTAACTACCTGTTAGCATAGGTAATAAAGCCATCTAAGAGGAGGAACCGAAGTTTCTAATAAGGTAGTCTCTTCTTTTTGATCTGATATTAGATGGAATTGCCAATGTTATATATGGATCACCCAATAGTGGTCTAAGGGGTCTGGATATATTTCCTAATATTGATAGATTAGGTTGTTCTCTTTGTATATGATTATTACTATAGGGGTATCGAAGGTTGTATCCTTGTTAGGTTGTAAATGTTGGAATATTAGGATAATTATTATTTAAGGTAGCCTAGGGGGGTATAGTTATTCCTTATTGGAATGGAAGAGGGGGAAGAAAGGTTATTAGTAACTAAAGATTACCCTAGTTATCTTATAAAGGTGGAGGGGAAGAGGTTAGATGAGAACTGGGCATTTATTAAAAAGGGGGCTGAGTAATAGGTCCCTGTGATGACGGATTATTATAGGTAGGAGATGATACTTCTTATGGATTATGTGTTGTGTAAAATAAATGAATGGATGGTGGTTTAGTAGGGATTATTAATGGAATTAGATCCTGATCTGTATGTCCTGTTATATGTATTAGTATCTGTAGGTTGGAGATTACTGGTTATTATTGTAACGTGACATATGTGTGCGTGGATATATGGGTTTTAGGATGAACCAATCCTTTTTTAGTATTATATATTGATACCTTTTATACTAATGTATTAGGTTATCTCCATTTCATTACTTCTAACTTGTTGGAATTTTATATTGGTAGTTTGTGTGATGATACAAGATTGGCAAACATTTTTATATGGTTGGCATTATGTTGTCCTATGTAAATACCTTGTTATATTAGTGTAGTTCTCAATGCTGATTGTAATTATCTTGGTATGTTAGTAAAATCCATTACTATAAAGTTTTGAAACTATTCCTAATATTTGTCTATTATCTCCTTAATTATACAAGTATATGATATATTTTTGTTGGTAGTCTTAAAATCTATTAATATGAGTAATATCTAAATTACCTTTTGTTCTGGGGTAACTCTCTAAAGGTTAATGATTTCTTATCTTACTACCATATAATTAAAGTATTACATAAAAATTATTATTTAGCTAGGAAGGTAATTTATTAGTTCTTATAACTTATTCATATTCTCCAGTTTAACTAGGTTAATTTCCATGACGCATATTTATACCTGTGCTAAGCTTTTCCCTTATAATATTATAATATATATAAAAATTAAGGATAATAA